ACCTCGTTTCTACCCCCAAACCCCACAGCCCCCCGTCGACTCGATCTTTAACTTCCGTCTTAAGTTGCGGCAAGAAAAGTACACGGCAGCACTGTATTCCCCCTCCTGCTCTAATATCCCAGCCTCGCCTTCCCCACCTCCCTCCACGAATCGAAGCTTCATTTTCCGAGCTAGGAATTTGTGTTGCCCGTTCCGGAGCGGCGCGATGTCTGTGCACAAAAGCACAAGGCTGACAATTAAAGCCGCAAGAAAGGAGCCAACAGACCAAGCATCCTCCGACTCGCCCCCCCCCCTCACCCTCACCGCCGCTTTCCTCTCCCACAGGGTGCCCCACTAAGCAAAACGTTTTAGTCCCAGCATTGACCTTGAGTCAATCGTCTGCTCTTGTGCCGTCACTTTGACGGATTCGTCGCAGTCAACGCGGCGCATTGTCAGACGCCGAACGGCTCGAATCGCGGCCTTCGGCGTCTGGAAATTCGGCAGACCGGCGAGAAACGCACGTGCCAGGATCGACCGTCTCTTTGGCTCCGCAGCGAGCGGGCTTTAGAGATGAGAGAGCGCTTGTACGGTACGCAATCTCGCAGGTGCTTACAGCTCGTTGGTGGTAGAGGATGCTGCTGCTGCTGCTGTTCACTGTTGATATTTCACATGGTTTTATTTTAGAGGGGGTCGTTGGAAATGTTGCACACGCTGCACAACCCCCCCCCCTCCCCACCACTCGAAGCTTTGCGCATCTTTGCCAGAGGCGCCGTGTTCATCTCGTCTTTCAGAAAACTTTGGAGGAAAGAGAGGGCTTTGGCACGTGCGCGCGCACACACATGTAACTGGACTTGGACATCAAGTCTGCAGTTTTTGCTGCTGCTGCTGCTTCTATTGCCTTTTTGTGTGAACGTGCAACTCCAAATATTTTTCGGTGTTTTCGCTCCGAGACAGCCAGATATTGCAGGGTTTCCGTGCGGCTTGCATTTGTGGCTTTAGGGCCCAGCACGTGCGCGGTCACACAAGGCCGATGGTCAGCGCGGTTCGTTTATTTTTACTCGAAGCGTGCTCCGAGTGAGATTGTTCAACCCTTTTCCAATCCTTCGCGGTGACATCTCCCGCCGGTGAATAATCTACACGCAGCAAAGCGTCGCCAATGTACCGGACCCTGTAAAAGGTGCTACGTTCGAGCCAACCTTGGCACGTGGTTGGAACCGTTGGCGCCCTAACGTTGGCCCAACGTTTCATGTTTACGGGGAAGATTTTGCTTGCAGTGGAATCTTGCATTGTGGAGCCACGGACAATAGGAGTCGCAGGTCGCAGCAGGGCAGATAGGAGCTATACTGCACAGTGTACTGTATGAATAAAGTCAGTCAGTCTCTTCAGCCTCACCCACTGCTATGAAAAAGAGAAATTGCTAAAAATATATACAGGGTGCTTCAAAAAAATGTGAACACTTGGGAGAATTTGCAACAATGCCCCAAGAAATGTGCTGCCTCCGGGCTCTGGAGATCACCTGGAGAAGATTCCAGGCCACGTGTTGACTCTTTGACTTTTTGAAGCTATTAGCATACATTTGTTATCATGTTACAGTGTATTATCTGTTCTTTTTTCCATTAAAAACGATGGTCCCGTATAAGAGCTCACATTTTTTGAAGCACCCTGTGCATCACCCTACGGTGCAGTTTTCCATCAGACGGCAGTGTTAATGGCAAACGTAGCGAGGTGTGTTTTGTTGCTGCTTGCTGTCGTGCCTGGTCACCGCCTACCAACACAATCCCTTACTTTACATTGTCTCAGGTTCACGGCGCACGAGTTTGGTTGTTGGTTGAACGCAATGCCTGTGTAAGGTCTCACAGCTCATAGGGCAGTGCGGTGCAAAGATAATGAATGTGCCCAGTACCGTACGACAACCGTGGAGTTGCTGATGTTGGCAACATCGGCAGCGTACATGTTGTGATTATAATTGCCATTGTTTTGGGTGTTATGCTCATTGCTGATTCAGCCTTTCACAGGGGCATCTTTGGCAGAGTCATCTGGTCATTTAGTTGTTCAAAGGTCCAGTCTTTAGCTTCAGTCGTTAATTGTATTGGAGAAAGACCCAGCGATGTGACATCCACATGAGGTGCCCAACTATACACATCACAAACTGTGTCACCTACCAAACACGCACACAACAACGTGCGCTCGCCTATCCCAAGCAGCGTACGATCTGACAATACGCTGTTTATTAATTCGATCTCCATTGTGGCCACATCCAGTCTATTGTTATTGTGTCCCATTGTGTCTAAAATAAATGAAGCGCCCTTTTACCATGACCTTCAGCATGAAATCACCTTCGACAATTAGCGCTGTTGGCTACGTACGGCGCGAAAGAAGTTCAACAGACGTAGCAAGATCACCACTCTCCACGAATGATCATCATAGTCATCCTTATGACCACTGCAATCATTATATCAAGAATAATCACTATCCAATTGTTATCAACAGTAATCATCAAATTAGTATTATATTAATCATAAATACTATCGAATAATCATCATCCAATCACAGTTCACATAATTATTATCATCAACAGTGTTATTTAATATGGCATTCATCCTTGACGCACGTCTCAAAGCCAATGCGAAGCACCTTGTAAGTGTGCATCGTGAGCACGAACCAGTCGCAGCAATCTCAAGGAAAGCCCCTTCCTGCCACGAACCCTGGTCAACCTACATGATGCGTGGGCGACGCGCACGATTGCTCCATCTTCACGTGATCCACCCACCCACGGGCCTCGAGTGGCTGTAGCACTGCAGGTTTTTGCCGCTTACACCCGTGAACCTTTTTCACCCGGACCTCCGCCCCGCCCTCCGCTTCCCTCCTCTCCTGCCGTGCGCGTCCGTGCCGTGCTTCTTGAGATATTTCCGCCGATCCATGTTTGGCAGCGATGAATCAAAACAAAAATGCTACCAAATAATAACACACTTTGTTGCTGCGCCCCGTGGTGTTTTTTATTTTGAAAGTTAGCAATAACAAACGGGAAGGTCTTTGTTTTTTGTATTTCTTCCATCAGATGCTGATGAAAATAAATACGCCTGGGTCAACACTGTCGCTGGTGTGGCCATGCGGTGAAAGGCCCTTCAGTTTAAAGCCCTCCCGCATATATTTTCAGACGCAGTGGTCATATCAACTTTCCGAATGCCTTCGATAGCATAGGAAGATGTGTTCCAGCAACAAAATATATACATAAACTGTATACATATTCCGTAACTCATACGTTGTACCGAATCTTAATCATTTTTCAGAACTTTGTCAGTCTGCCATTGGATATAAGGCCTCCCCACGCCGTTGTCGGTAATGGAGGATGTTTTGGCCATACTTCACCATTATGGTCCGTGCGGGCTGGTGTGAAAAATGGTGGGCTGGGATTGTCTCAGATATTGCTCCACCGCTGGCGTGAGTCGTGATCGGGAATCGATCTCAGGTGGCCAAGTTCACAGCTATGTGCGTTAACCATTGCCACCACCATTCCACCACGATTTTGTACATGCACATACATATTTAAGAAAAGGTGCTTTAATATACATACATACACGCGTGTGACTACATGCAGCCTTCTTCAGGACCATGCCAGATTCGCCTATGCAATCTCATACTGAATTAGTCAATTGACACAGGAGTATTATTGACAGTCTAATTGGCTTCATGTAATTGGCTCAGTATGATAGGCTGGGTAGTGTACGATGATTGGATGAATATAATTGGATCAGTATGATTGGTTGAGCATGATTGGTCACAGATAACTTACATTCTCTGACTTCTTGTGTGATCCTTAAGCACCCTCAAGAACGTTGTAGAACCTTTGGCAAAGTTGTACTGGAGAAAGCCTTCAAACGTTTGAACCTCTCTTTCTGATTACTGCTAACAGCCACAAATTTTCTCAATACCAGTAGCTCGTATGCGTGTGTGTTCAGAGCCGTGCAAGCCTTCGTAGGTGCTTGCTAACCGCACTTGCCCCAAAAGTCTGCGAAGGCTATATGAGGGAATCTGTGTCTTTGTTTCATGTTGGGAGTGGTGGTGCAGTGGTTAGAGCACCCCGCCTCAAACTCAGTAACCAGTGTTCCATTTCTGGCCAGTGGCGAGCGGTATCGGAACTTGCCCTGGGCCTCCTCTAGGTTAACTCAGCCTTTCATTGAGTACATGGTCCATTGGGTGTTAAAATGTCAGCACAAACTCAGTTCAAAGTTGCGTCACACTCACTGTTGCTGGATCGGTGTTTTTAAACGTTCGAAGAAAAACACGCGAGTATTTTTTGTTTGTTTGCTGAGGTGCTGATATTGCGAGGCCTACATCACCCAAAAGGCCCTTTACTGCAGAATTCACCCACGTACATTTTTACAGACTCCGTGCTTGTCGTGAATTTCCAAGTACTCTCGATAGCACCTCCGATGAGCACGGTTGGCTACACACGGTGCGAAAGAAGTTCAACATACATACTGTGTGTAGCATCGAGGGATGTGTTCCAGAAAGTAAAATATACAGCACTTGCAGCACGCCCACTTTTTTCTTGACCAGGTTAGACCCACTGAGCTATATTGCTCTTTTTCAAAAGCAATCTGGCCACAAATGATAGCTCCACGAAGTGGCTTATCATGTGGAAATGTATAGCAGCCAAATACTCTCAATGCATGTTTCTAAATGTGAAGGTAAAAAATAGAGGACACGGAGAAAAATCCACATCCAAATATATAGCAGTGGTCAGGGTCGGGATCGAACCCACGGCCTCCTGCATACCAGGCGAGGTAGTTAACATCTCCTAGCCACCGTGGCGAGATGTTCACGGTGGGAGACTTGTACGGGGAGATGATGGAAGTCACGTGTCTCCTGCGTGGTAGCGGCTGCCAGATCTGCCAAAGGATGGAACGCGTTGGCGAGAAGGAAGTATTGGTGGCATCAATGTCTTTGGCCACGGTGACACCTCGATCTCGGTCGTGATGACAGCGCGTAACGCGTCGGCACTGACCGCTCCTCTGCAGGACCTCATCGTCGACCAGCTGATCGAGAAGGTGTCGTTCTGCGCGCCCGACCGAAACCTCGAGCGAGCCTTCTCCTACATATGCCGCGACGGCACGACGCGCCGCTGGATGTGCCACTGCTTCATGGCCGCTCGCGACTCGGTGAGCTGCTCCGCAGTGAGACGAGGGTTGAGGCTGGGGTGGTGCAGAAGGGGGGGGGGGGGGCGCTGGTTTGACTGGAGGTCAACGGGACTTTGGGGGAAGGGGGTCAGCCACGTACGTGTGCTGTATGCTCAGTAACAGGGGCGCAGAGCTGAGATGGTTCGTCAATTAATTGGCTAAACATCGTAAATGACTACATCGCCAGGACCCGTAGGACCCTCTAGGAATTAATATCCAGGACCCATATATTAAAGGGAGGGTCCTTGCCTGTGACATCTGGCAGTTCACCAGCGTTGATTCCGGCGGGCCTGGCTGTTGGTGAAACGACGTGTGGCCGAAGCCAGTCCAGAGTCTGCTTGTGCTGAATCAATGCTGCTGAAATGATTCACTCCCAGAAAGGCTTTGGGCCAAAGGGTTGCGTAAGAAGTTTTTTTTGTTTCTTGTGTGGAGAGGCTGATGTAAGAAGGAGACATTGTCCGCTCGTCTGTTTTGTTTCATTACTGTCGTCAATTACTCTGGTCCCTTTAAAAATAGGGACCCCACCCACATCCAGCCTCCCGAAGGTGGGAAACCCCCTACAAGCCACTCCCAGCGCGACGCGGCTGGAAATGCCGATTAGGTCATAAAACACCGCCCACACCTTCCGTTCATTGGCACACTATTTTCTTGTCATCCGATTAGTCAAGAAATTGAATCGTTAATAGGTAGTGTAATCGATTAATTAAATAATCGGATAGATCAGCACTACAGGAGTGTGACGATACATCGATTAATATTATTCTTCAGTTCTCGTCATCATCAGCCATGATCTATCCACCGCTGGATGAAGGCCTCCTCAAGCCATCACCATCCCTCATCCATCTAGCTCCTGCACATGGGCTCATTGTCGCTCCATCTCCACGGTGGATGTCCCCTCGGCTGTGCTGTAACGGATAACGGCCGGTCGTCAAGACTAACGATGGAATCACAGAAATTGGCGTGTATGCACATCCGGTGCAAATTACATGCTAATGTTACATTTAGGCAAATGGGAATATCAAACCGTACAAACAAGGTGGAAAAACATGGGAATAACAATGCGACGCTGAACACTGAACCGGAAAAAGAATCGATTCTTTCCCAGCTGCGTCCTCCCGCGATTCATCACTGCCAATTACGACGACGACGATCATGCCGGCGATTGCGCGGCTGTTATAATCCGTCGTTTAACCGTTCACTCGTCCGCTCTTTGAGCAGGGGGAGCGGCTGAGTCACGCGGTGGGCTGCGCCTTCACCGTGTGCCTGGAGCGCAAGCAGCGGCGCGAGAAGGAGTGCGGCGTCACCGCCACGTTCGACGTCGACCGCACCAGCTTCATGCGCGAGGGCTCCTTCCGGGGCGGGCGCTCCCCCGGCGGGCCCACCGCGGACGGCAGCGGCGGCGCCGATGGAGTCCACCGCCACCACCACCACCACCACCGCCGTGGCGGCGGCTCCGAGGACGACAAGCGTGAGCGGCGCACCCCTCGAGGTCACCAAGTATAACGGCGCAGTGCCCCCAACCACAAAATGCGACGGAGACATCACGGCGATACCACTCCGCTGCTCCTGACGCCGTTATCTGGGCTGTAGTTGTTGCTTCTGCATCTGCATCAGGAGCCATGCGAAAGAAAGAAGTTGATCACCCTGGTCGCCACCTACCCTGGTTTCCCCCCCCGGATCACCCTCTTTATTGAGGAATCTCTCCCCGGTAATCTCTTAGTCCTCCCCGGGGATGTTAAAAGTCTCAAGTTTTTTCTCAGTGGCATAATAATCGACGGCTACCAAAACCACGCATTTACATGTAGTTCTGCCCTCACGCTGGTGCGGCGAGGCATTCTCCTTCAACTCTCACCGCAACCGTTGCCGCCGTTCGCCGCAACCATAAATAAAGCCCTCGCAACAACCGCCGGTCCCTGCGACGAGCCGGCCGTGAACGCTGCCCCGTCTTCTCCCCCCCTCCCCACCTGGTCCCCGACCCGCGTCGAACCCGCAGCGGCCAGCGACTGCGGCGTGGCCAACGGCGCCCTGTGCACGGCGAGCGACCGCCCGAGGCCCGCCGTCGAGACGGCGCCGTCCCCGAACGCCCGCTCCCCGCTGGCCACGCCGTCGCCGTCCTCGCCCCCGCCGCCGTCCCCCGCGCCGATCGCCGCGACCGCCGCCGCCGCCGCCGGCGTTGTCGCGGCGGCGGCGGGCAGCTGGGGAGCGGCCACGTGCGCTGTCCCGCGGCGGCGCGCGCCGCTCGAACAGATGGCGCGCCAGGGCTCGTTCCGAGGGTTCCCGGCGCTCGTGCAGGGCTCCTCGCCCTTCAAACGGCAGCTGTCGCTGCGCCTGGACGAGCTGCCATCGACGCTGCAGCGCCGCTCGGGACTCGACAGCGTGGACTGCGGCTTGTCTGGCGGTGAGGCTGTCACGGGGTTCTTCCCGTTCGCCGTGCGGTAACGCGCTTCCGATGAACGGTACGGATGCTTTGGCTGCGTCCGCGCATACCGGGAGGGTGCTGCGCTATCTGTCCATCCGGCCTTCATCCAACGGTGGATCGATCATGATTTGCTTATGATGATGATGAGATGATGATGTGCGGTTAAGGCTCCTGATTAAAATCCCCCCAGTTTAAAGTTGGGAATCGCTTGGGCTTGAAATGGGATTGGATCTTTAACGAGAATGAAGGGCCATTCAACCCCAGCGCTGACCTGGCCTACACACGTATTTTATTCTTATTTTACTTTCTTCTAAAAGCTGCTTCGTTTCAAAAACAATTGCCATGCTTTTATTATTTCTGTTCAAATCCCAGGTATATGGAGAATCTCAGTTATATCCGCTAATTATGCTGGGGTGAATGTATTTGCAAATGAGCCAACTTAAATATAGGAGGTGCACATTATCGTTGTTGAGTTTCAACAGGGCTCTCTTTGTTAAAGGGAAGTTGTGAGAAGTAAAAATAAAAATAAATATTCGGAGTCGCCATGTGCACACTTAGCTTTTGTGGTTTTTGTTAATTCACGGAACTTTGTTGCCGTGAAAAAGTCGAGTACATTTTTTCACGTCTGCGTTTAAAAACCTCAAATGTTGCAACGACACACGTGGAAATGCAAACGCACGTCCGAGAAGAAAGACAAAAACATTAAAATGTAAATAAAAAAGAATCATACAATATACTTTTTTTACAAACGTGTACGATTATTGCAGTGGCGCACCGGGTAGCATCACCGCGCATTTAATCCGGCACCGCGAGTTTGATTCCCGGCCACCTTTGGGCAAGCGATAGCTGAACCGGCCGAGGGCACCCTCGTCACCAACCCGTCACTGACCAGCGCGGTGAAGTATTGGTCAAGACAATCCGCAATGACCGACCGGGAACAGCGCGAAGGGGGCCTGCCCTCGGCAGCAGGTCGACAAAGCCCTGTAAACTACATTCAATAGGGAATACACTCAGTAACGGCTGTGCGTGCGTGCGCGCGCGCGTGCGTGGCTACAGACACCGCGGAGGCTGGCGGGCACGCGGACACGCTCTGCGCCCAGATGAACTCAACGAGGCTGGCGCCAAGTTCCCCGAGCGACCCCTTCTGCTCCCCGTCGGCAGACAACGGGCCCCGCATCGCCTCCCCTGCGGCAGGTTCGCCAACTTTGTCCGACCCTCTCCGTTGCACTTTCGGGGTTTTGTTTTTGTTTTGCCGCGCGTTGTCCGACGTTAAATCGGGAAAAATCGAACGAATTGGGAATTCAATTATTTGGCACCCCGAAGGGGCTCCCGGTACATGGAGTGAAACGTCAGGCATCGTGCCGAACGACACGCGGTAAGACCCTGACGACACACCAGAGGGCTATAGAGTGCAACCGTGAAAACGTACCCAGAAGTAGGCTCTAATGGCTCCCGACGCAGCAATCGGTCGCCGTTTGATTTTACACGTTGGCATACCCTGATTCACACACGTGTCAAATTCTTCAAGCGAGATTGATACAAGAGTTATCGCCCCGCTTCAATTGCTTTTTGTTACATTCCAAGACGATGCCAACATTGACCAAACTTCCAGTTTGTTCTCTCGGTGTCATGGCATTAGATCCACTCGTAACTCTCGCACACAAATGCGCCATCCAACGGGAGGGAATAGCCTGCGAAAGGCGATATTGCAGACCTTCTGAAATCCTGTCGAGTGCACCTATCGAGTTTGCATTTATTATTGACTCAATTACGTGAAAGAAAGCTAAATTATAGGTTTTTTTCTCCGCAATTATTGGTGAATGAGCTGAGACTACCGGTTTAATCGCGAGGGGTTGCGCAGATGGACTTACCGGCAAAAAGTGACGATGCTTGGCTTTTGAAAACGCGAACAGGACATTTTAAATAGTAAGCGTGAGGTGATGTAATATTGTGGATAAGGTAATTGTAAGATTCGTCATGAAAAAAAATCGAATTACATCTTATTTTAGATATATTTCTCAAAACAAATATGCTGCAAAAATTAATAGCAAACTCTTAACGGCCGCTCTGAGTGTAACTCCGCACAGTCTCAGACAGCTGCCTCCGCTGCCCTTGCCCCAGACTCTCCCCGCATCTCCTTGAGCATTTTTTAGGCCGTGCCAAATCCATTCCATCAACGCCACAGTCGGTGACCGAGATATTTTTAACTGGAAGCAGAACCGTTTGCTCCTTGCAGCTATTTCAAGCGTCACATTAATTGAAAAAAAACACCTTAGTTTGACAGAAACCGACACTTTTTCCGTGAGAGTGTCGATGAGTCATTCTATTTCGGCTCGCGTGCGCAATTACAATTTTGCAATTAGCGCAATTGCTCATTCTCTCGCTTATTCTCTCGCTCTTGCGCGTTCCGCCTTCCGATCCTGCCGTGCAGGGAACGTCCCCTGGGCCCCCGTGGCCGCTCGCGAGATGGCGACGCTTGCCGGGGTAAAGCCGATGAGCCTGTCTGAGGCGGAGCAGTGGCTGGCCGACGTGGCGCGTGCCGTCACCACGCCGTGCCCCTCGCCGCTGACGCCGCGCTCGCCCCCGGCGGCCGCGCTGCTGCCGCTGCCTGTGGCCCGCTACCAGGCCCCTCCGACGGCGCTGCCGATGACGGCCCACACGGGCCCGTACTCGTCCCCACTGCTCCAGCACCAGCAGCAACAGCAGCAGCAGCAGCACCGCACGGGGATGACGCCGTCGCAAATGGCCGCGTCGGTCTTCAGCAAGACGGGGTCGCCGAAGGTGGCGTCGGCGGCGGGCGCGGTGCGAGCCGCCACGGGCGCCGTCTTCGCGTCCCGGCAGACGACCGCGGTGTTCGGCGGCGGCGGCAATGGCGGCGGCAATGGCTCGGCGTCGTGGGCCCCGCGCGACTCGCCGGTGCCGGCGGCGTACGCCGGAGCGCCGCGCCCCCCGGCGCTGCCGCAGGCGGACTCGTTTGAGAGCCGCTGGGCTGCGGCTCAGGCCGACAGCCACAAGTCGTGCCTCAGCCCCCCGAGGGGCGACCCCTTCTGCGCGGACGCGTTCAAAACCTTCGAGATTCGCCTGTGATGCCGACGTCGGCCCGGCGTGCGTCGCGCGTGGGTGCGCGCGGGGCAGGAAGGGAACTGCGTTGTGTCAGCGGCAGTCCTGTAGCGTGACCCCGTATGAAGGTGCGGGGGCGTCCCAAAACTCAGGGGGTTGGGGGGGGGGCGCGAGGTACAACACAGCCGATGTTGAACTTCGAACAAATTTGAGCAGAAGGCTCAGCCCACTCCCAGAAGTGCTCCCTTCCTTCTGCGACGTTACGGGGCTGCTCAATGGTCACTTTGTTGTTGAGGTTTTTATATAATATATACACTAATCTTGCGGGACATGTGGGAAGCAAAGCTTTGTTTTGCATGTTAAGTTCTAGGTCCATGATGAGACTGCAGTTGTATTACCAAAGCTGCTGTTTGTCAGTATTGGAGCAAGGCATATGATGTGTATTATTGTACGTTATTTATAAGTTATAACCGGTCATAGCTTTAGTTTTACCGTATTTAAAAAAAAATATACAAAAAAGGGAGAAAAATATGAATCCCCGTATATATTATTATTGTTGTATCACAAGTTGTGTGACCTCAGTTTATGAATAATCTCAGTAAACGAGGGCACGTGTCGCGTGCGTGCGTGAGCAAGCAACAACAATAATCGCTGACATGCGATGACTTCAAATGTCCTCTCGTAACATCGCAGCAGTGTCGAACGAACAGGAACTCGAACGAGCAGTTTGCTCTTTCACTTCATTCCCTTGGCTCCGTGCCACCTGTACCGTTCCCGCTCCGCTGCGACGTTGCCACCCATGCCCACTTTACAGAGGGCGATATTGGCACGTAAAAATAAAGATCGATTGATCAAAACGCTAATGCATTCGAAGCCAAATTTAAGACAAAGGCACTGACAGTCATTGTGTTGTACGACCAAAATGTGTTTTATCTTTTATTTCGGTGCCAAAATATATTGCAATCTCTATTAATACTCGAACTATTACGCTACTACTACGATATATTTAACGTATGTGTGTGTTTGCCGAGCGCGATAAACACTCGTGTGTCGTCGGGAGTACGGTAATTATCGAGCTATCATATGTAATGCAGTAACACAGTAACCTCTCGGATATTGTTGTCGGTGTTAATATATTTGACGCCTCGCTCCAGAAGCTTCCGGAACGCCTGTTTTTTTAATGTCGTGCTATGACGAGAGCACTCAGGCATCGACTCCAACGCTTCCAAGGCACTTCGCTTCCTCTTGCCGTCAACCACTCCGGCATGCACAGCACTGCGGAGTAAGCGGCGGCGGGCGGGCGGGCGGTATGAAGACTTTCAAAAAAACTAAATACATTTCATTTCCATTTTGCCCCAGGACGACCTCGTGAGCCCGATGGGCAGAGCTGATCGAAATTTAAATCGGCCACAGCGAAATGAACCTCTCGCCTGCTGGGTAGGCCGTGCCCAAGGCCAGCCTGGCGCGGCTCAGGAGCCGCCGGTCTTTTGTTCCGCTGCAGTAGTCGTTTCCTTTCTCCTCTCTGTATCGGGGCAAGTCGGGAAAGTGCCGCCACGCCCTCCACACCCAGCGTGGATAAGAGATCACGCGAAGGGATACCCCAGAAGTAGCTGTTGCGCGACACCCTCCTCCTCCTCCTTCTTCTGCAGGCCGTTCTCTAATAATGCAAGGGGTGATGCGCTGGCTCCGTGAGATTTCCAAATGGGATGCTTCTTTGTCGTGGCGATGACACCCATTGCACAACTTGGATAGAATGGCGGGGGAAGACAACAAAAAAACATAGTGGTCACAACGTGGGGAGTTTGACAACCACTGGTTTTGTGAAGGAAAGGGGGGTCCCCATTCGGATGCTCGGTGTGATAGCGCAATAGCTTTGGCTCAACGCTTCTATCCCCCCCCACCCCGACCGGGGGCTATTGGAAGGGACTGCAGGCGAGGCTTTTAAGTGTGAGCGGGCCACTCAAGAACACTGTAGTGCGAAAAGTTCTTTATTTAAACGGCAAACGGAGGTGAATTTACAGATATTTTTTTTTCTAAAAAGAAATTACAAGGTACGTACATGTGAGGGTACTAAGCGTGCAAGCGCGCGTGTTTGGCAAAAAGTTTTAAGGGATTTATTTTATTTCCGTTTGGCGCTCAGCCACGGGATTATTTTGCATTTGTTGAGATTAAAATGAAAATAAAACGTTTAAAAATAAAAAAAATATAAGCACTTGAAATCGTTTTTAAACTGCACGCTGGATTTGTTTTCCTTTCCCTCCCAGCTTACTTTCAGACGCTATTGTCAAACAACGCCGTCGACTGTTTACACCTCTCATCCTCACGCAGACTTCCCACCGAATGCACCCGGTCGAAATTCACATTGTTGCATCTCTCGACGGCGTTCGATAACACAACTCAACGAAAAAATATGTACATCTCTCCACGTCACCTTCGGTGATGCCACCCGCAAGCTCAACTCAGTCGTACGCACAATGCAGCAAGCTCGGAAGATGACGCTGAAATCCAACGTTATTCCCGTTACACTTTTCAGAATTAAGTCGGAAAAAGATAAAGAAGCGGCCCTGCAAATGCTTGCTCGCACCGCTGCTGGCTGATGATGTCTTTGCTCGACGGAGCTCTCGAAGAACCCCTTTAGAGGCTGTTTGGCCTACTCTTCCATACCGACCGGACATCTTCCACACTGGAAGAGGTGGAAGCACCGGCACTTTTACCCCACCAAACGCGACCTGCTGTGGTGTAACTCATTCATAATGCTGGGTGGACAGAAGTCGGGGGGGGTTTAAGAAAATGAATTAAATTACCTCGTACTTTTCAGCACAATAAAGAAATCAAACTAGGAAAGTCACCGGTGACGGCATTTCTCGAAACATAGGCAAAACACAGTCCTTTCCATCTCAGCTCATCTTACAGGAAAAGAAAAGCCTAAAATAAAGGATTTTTAAAATCTAATCCTTAACCTAAAATCTTTCCCATAATCGCGTCTCCTTCCGATGCACAAATATCCCTCGTGTAGCCTTTCACAGGCTGGTGGGGGGGGGGGCGAGTGCTGTTAGCGAGCGCCTATCAAGGCCAGCACGATGCACAAGGGGGATGGTGTCGTCAGCACCATGCCCAGCCGCCTTTGTTTCTCCAGTGCTATTGTTTACACACTGCACCAGGTAGTCACTAAAGGCTGAGGCCAGGATATTCTCCACTGGTTTTTAGCCATGGCCAGGAATTGAACTCAGGTGGCTGGGTTGAATGCGCAGTTGCGCTAACCACCACTCACACACAGGCCCAACCACCCTCCGCTCGCACACATGAGCACGTGCACATGTGATGTTTCTAATGGCTCATTAATTTTCATTGATGGATGGATTCATCATTACATGCCTAAAGGCAGAACTGCATCATCACCAGCCAAAAAAATATAACTGTCATCATCACGAGCCAATTCCTGTGATGCATCAATCCACCTAGCACCTGCAAACTAGCTGATATCCGATTTATAGTGGTTACATCATCACTATAAATTAGCATGCAAGCCAATTTGCGGGAGACACAATTTAAAAAATAGGTTAATAGAAGCCAAAATAAAAAAAATGCACAAAACGAAATATCACCACAACTGATGCGTCACGCCTCCGATTAGTGCAGTTGGCTACACACGGTGCGAAAGAAGTTCAACATACATACAACATACGTGTCCAATTTCACCCAACACCGGGGGCTTAATTTCTCACGGATTATCTTCCGGGGTCCCCCCAAACCCCAACCCCCCTGGACCACCTCCATTATCCCCCAATAGCGGTGGTAAGGGGGAGCAGGGAAATATTTTCTGTAGCTCAGCCTCGGACAGCTCCGGCTCAAATGATGCCCTGCCGAACACTGACAGAGGTTGAGTAGGGCACCCGTGCGCACGCCCTTAAGAGCTGCGATCAATCTCTGGCCAAATGGTGAGGAGGGAATCTCCACCGTTGGGAGTGGATTCAATGGCCTTGTGCTTCCCGTAGGCCAAACCTAGATGAGGCCTTCACCGGCCTTGTAAGCCGACCGCGAGAGCACTGGCTGACCGGTACACACAGGAATGCCACAAAAAATGAATTAGACGCCCAATGCTTAAAGTTAAAAGAACACACATTTGAAAAAAAAAAGTTCCCTTACAAATATGGACCACTAATGTCGATAAAGTAATCTACTCAGGTGAATACTCTTTGGTTCTTTCGGTAAAGTCACCCACGTCACCTACGTGATAACTTTACCAAAACAACCAAAGAGTATGGATTCCTGCAGTCACGAAAGCCTCAAATCAAGATTACTCAGGTGAAGTCACCTGGTGTGGCCATTCCCTGGCACAGGGTGGTGCACTGCTAGCTGAATAGTTCCAAATTAGAATCTTGTCACCTCACACCAAGATGGCAATAACACAATTTCAAGATAATTGGGGGGGGGGGGACATTTTAAGAAAATCTTAATTTATTCGTAGAAAATTATGCTTCCGTGACTGATGTAGATTTAAAACACTCAAGTGAATAGTTTTGAAATACTGGTGAGATCACGGAAAATGTCACTGATGGCCAGCGACTGCACAACGATGACATTCAAATAATACGGAGCGCAGTTCAGCTCTCCAAATCGTCAGACATTTTGCCACACAACATGCGATGCGACTCAAAAAAAAAACCACATCAGACGTGCGTGGCACAATTGTGAGTGCGCACGCAGTGATAGAGCACAGTTATCAGTGTGAACAAAACAAATAATTACTCGGATTGAAAACTGACAAATTACACTAGGCCAAGATTTGCATTGTGAGGAAACGGTTAATAAAATGCATCACCTAGGCCAGAGATTCTCAAAGTCCAGTCCTCGCGCTGCCCCACAATGCAGCATTCCAGCTGTGACGGTGCACTTCCAGCCGTGACACTGCATGCGCCTGATGATTGGTCATCGCCGACAGCTGCACCGTGGGGGTGAGTGACGGCAACTGGAGCTTAATAATCGTTAACTCAGGCGATTTGCCCGATCGTTAGCGACGGACAGTGACGTTTTTTCCGCCAACTGGAAAAGAAACATTCTCTGGCGCGTCTAAAGCTCACCCGCTACAAACTGTGTACCAGAATAAGGTTTCCCGTGACATGATACGATATATCAAGCGACATAAACTCCAAGATATTTGTTTAGTTGTTTTGCTAGGTATCGTATCGTCATTATTGTAGCTAATTATGTTTTTTTTCAAAATACAGGGTGCTTCGAAAATATGTTAACACTTCTGAGAATTTGCAACAATACCACAAGAATTGTGCCTCCGGGCTCTGAAGACCACCTGGAGTAGATTCCAGGCCACGTGTTGACAATGATGGCGAACAAGTGGAGACTCTTTGACGACTTTTTGAAGCTATTAACATTACATTTGTTATGTTTATTATCCGTTACTTTTCCAAAAAAACCGATAGTCCTATGTAAGTGTTAACATTATTTCGAAGCACCCTATTTTTTTTCACAAAACTTTGATTAAAGAAAAAAATCGCAATTACCCAAACATGTTGTGCTTTGTAAGATGATTTCCGAATAAACTGACAGCATGGTGGTTATGACATCATCACTCTCTGTCAGCATTATAAGCGTTATAGATTGTAAAGTTGCAATAAGATTCATGGCAAGCTAATGTTGCGTTACATGCAAATTCACAACTTTTGATCGATCTTCAAGCACAAAAATGCGACAAATGCAAAATTCAAATTGCGCCGACATCACTACGGTCGCGACAATCGCAAATAATTTGATCTCGCGACGTACGAAGCCTGACCAAATCCTGCCCACCGTGTTTCCCATCGCGCAGCCGCGTCCGCGCGTCCTCGCGAGGACGCGCGGACGCGCCCCAGTTGGTAGCGGACCGCCACGACGCTCCGGCCGTCCCGTCGCGCGTCATACCCTACGCGCGACCCCGTGCGCCCTCTCCCCCAGCCCCAGCGCGCGCCTCGGCTTCTCCCTCTTCCCGCGCCGTTGGCTCCAGCGGACGTTGATGGGCCGCCGGGCGGTGGCCCCGACCAGCAGGTCGGCGGGCGGCGAGCGCGCCACGATCCCTCCCAGCGTCGCCACGCAGGCGTAGCGGCCCGAGTCGTCGGTGCGAGCTGAGAAGAGCACCAGCTCGCCGTCGGCGCCCAGCGCAGCGCGGCCCTCCGACAGCTGCACCTCCACGCCGTCCCTGTGCGCGGCGGCGCGGTGGATGCGGAGAGCGGGGAAGGTGACACGCAGAGGGAGATGAACGCTCGCTCGCTCGCTCGCTCGCTCCGCCTCTCTCGGCGTTACGTTTCGAGCTTCAAGTGAATTTGTTTAACCCAGGTTGAGAAATCACGAGACTGAGATGATAGCGCCTTTTGCGACAGTGACCTGGGTCACCAGAAATACAAAGCGCAGTGTGTATCCAAAGGCGCATCCAAGTACCGTGTCCACTGGATGAAGGCCCGTTTGTCGGAGGCCGTGCAGGGCAGCTCCACGTGATGACCCTCAGACACGTGCGTGCTGCTCGGGGCCTTCACGATGCGCAGCTCACCTGCGCGCGTCACCGATGCAAGTCAGAGTGGCGCACTACACGACTGACGTCTTTAAGACGTGTTTACCGTTCCACTTAGAGCTGCGGAACAAGATTAAGCAAATATATCACCGGAAATCACTTAGAGCTGCGGAACAAGATTAAGCAAATATATCACCGGAAATCATCACAAACAAGGCATCGCTCTCCGCTTTGTTTTCGGGTCATACCGCGCGTTGCTCGGCATCATGCCCGACTTCTCCCCGCGCGTGGCTTCTTCGGAAGTGGAATTCGAAAGCTCACACCCCGTGAAGCAAAGCGTCGGACATCGTGCCACACGGTGCGACTCAAACAGCACATTGGAGAGCTACACAGCACAGCCGCTTTTTGAGTGGGCAAAATAATTGTAGGTATTGTTTCCAGACTATAACTTTTAAGTATTTTTATCATTAACAAAACTGAACTCATTTCGGACAGCCTGGGCCATTCAGCCGAGGCAGTGATTCGACAATGTAACAGCCAGCGGTGTGATTATCGAGTGTGCAGATGGTGTCGAGTGTGCAGATGATGCCATTGGCATTGGGGCCCACAGGCTGATAAGCAAGGTCGGTTACGTACGGTGCGAAATAACTTCAAAATACATACAGGTAGTACAGACCAACGCACACAATCGTCATAAGTGAGCACCTATTAAGGCCCGGATCATGCCGGCTTCAATGGGAAGCGGGGGGGGGGGGGGTGTGTGATCGGCGCTGATGTTTACACACCACACCAAGTATACATCGAGCCAAAAATCTTCCTTTTAAGAGGTAACACAAAATGGCGGCCGGGCGAGGCTCGCTCGAGACAATCCCGTGGTCACGCACCGGATATGACGAGGTTGATGTTGCGGAATTTGGTGCCGCGAGCGGTGGTGACGCGGCAGGTGAAGAGGCCGCTGTCGCTCTGCAGGACGTCCGTAACCTGCAGCGTGCCGTTGGACAGCACCATGTACCGTCTGCGTTGGCGGGCACGTCGCCGAGGAAGCATAAACAACAACAACGACGACGATAACGACATCAACCGCACATGCGTGGCTACGCACGTAGTTGTGCACGTTCACACACATTTACAGATACCTGCACAAATGCACTCGGGCGCCACGGTGGCGAGATTGCCTGGTATACAGGAGGTCATGTTCTCCCCGTGGTCACGTGGATTTTTCTCCGGGACGTCCTGTTTCTCCCTTCACATTTAGAATCAACATTCGTTCAAAATATTTGGCTGCTATACATTTCCACATGATGAGCCACTTCATTGAGAAATTCATTGTGGCCAGGTTGCTTCTGAGCAAAAGCTATAGAGCTCAGTGGGTTTTACCTTGTAAAATAAAACTAGTTTTATAGTTTATTATCTCTATACGCCCGTGCCAGGAGGGCACAACAACGTTCGTAAGGCTGAGCTAATATGGACCTGTAATACAGATTGGTGTTGGGATGAGGCACTTGCCGTATTTAAAAGTGGCCAAATTGAACAAAAAAGGTCGCCTTAAACCTGAAGGAAAAAAACCAGAATAACATTTACTATTTGCGCAAACGCCGTTTGCCCTGAGAGTTACCCGTCAGCTTGCGCAACTGCCAATAAAATACATCCCTGAGCAAACGGCGAGTGTTACGTCATAATCCGTGCGTGTGATGCACCAGGATTTTCAGGGCCGTGCCACCGGTGCGGCTGACGTCATGAACAGGGGGAGCTTGAGGGTGACGTTGCATGACGTGCGAACCTGCTCTGTTCGGAGATGGGCCGCCCGTCCTTCAGCCACTCCATGGAGGGCCTCACGTTGCCGGCGACCCAGCAGTGCAGCTGCACGGGGAGGCCGATCCGAGCCGTCACCACCGCCGGGTCCTGGTTGAGCACCCGTGTGCTGCGCCGCCACGGCGGGGTCGGAGAGGGCGCGGGCAACGCGGCGGGGGACAGCGGCATGCGGAGAACGATATTAAACACCATGGGCGGTCGGGGGAGCGGAGAGCTCGCGGTTCAGAGGACCCTCAAAGTGCGACAATGTAACAGCGGTGTTGCCTATCAGCTTGCATTCATCACGCAGCCCACACGGTAAAAGCCCTCGAAGAAAGACGCGGCGAGAGGGCACGGGGTCACCGTTAGCCAGAGGGCACCGAAGCAATCGGTGAGACTGGGCCCGTGGGCTCGTCAGTCTTGATACTCAGCGAGGCTTCATCTGTTATTCATTAATCTGTAAAGTTTAACGCAATGACAGTTGTTCTCGCAAATAGACACGCACAGAACTCTCTACGCTAACCCAGCGCTCGGTCCATAGCGCGTGTGGATTGCGCACGGTTTTTACGGTAGTGGCTGCCGAGAAGAGCAGGTTCGCAAAAGGCCCACGGTCTTGTAGCATTACCCAGCAGGCCCCAATACTGGGGGGGGGGGGGGGGGGGGGGGGGTGGACCAGGGGCATAGCCACACAGCGGGGGTTGGGCGTGACCGACTAGAGAACGGTTCCCGGTGGTTACTGGGTAAGGACAGGACCTGCAAAGTCTGCCCCCCGCCCCCCCCACTCAGCCACATCGAAAAGAAAATACACAGCAAGCTCCATTACCCAGCATGCTCCATTCATTACCCAGCATGCCACTCACCTGTAGTTGGTGTACGTGTAGCTGTATTGGCTGTTGCTGCTGCTGCTGGAGTGGCCGCCCTGTTGATTGTCATGGCTGCCACTATTGCCGCCACCGCCACCATGACCGCCGCCGCCGTTGTTGTTGTTGTTCCCTCCACCGCCGTGGCCATTGTTGTTGCCGTTGTGGCCGCCTTGGTTGTGCTGGTGGGCACCGTGGTGGGCGCCGGCGTGGTGCGACATGTGCGCCCCGACGTGGGCGCACGCCTTCACGCACTCCTCCTCCGAGTCGAAGCGGTTGGCGTTGCCGCCGCAGCCGCTGTGCCAGAAGCGGTTGCACACGGATGAGTCGGCCACGAAGTACCACTTGGCCGACCAATCAGAGCAGGTGCCGCTGTCCAGGGGAAGTCCGCACACGGGGTCTGGGGGCAGCGCGGAAAGTAGGTACGCGATCATTCGGTCCTCCAGAACCCCCCCGTCTCGCCCCATCCGCCCAACTGGCGAAGTGAATCGGAATCGGAATCTGTATTCTGGAGAAACCCGATGGGCTACGAAGCTCTTTTTTCACAGATGTCCAGCAGGTGGCGGGTAAGAAAGTTACGACGATGAACAATACATAAAACGAACGGAGTGCAATAGGGAAGGTAAAGGGGGACCTCACCGCCGCTACTCGCGTAGCTCTGCGGACAGCCCTGCAATTCGGGGCCCCGGGCGGGGGTCACGAGGTCACGGCAGCATCCGTACGCGCTCTGCCAGCAGCCTCCACCGTTCTACGCGGCGACGCAGAGGGGGGGAGACGGACGGCGACGTGCGCCGTAGGTGGGGCGGGGTCGCAGTGGCGACGAAGATGGGAGAGGGAGGGGTGAGAAGGGCGAGAAGGGTGAAGAGGTGGTGGAAGGTATCGTGGGGGAACGTTCGTGTACGGCCCCACGCATTGGACACCCTGGCAGCCTGACCCTCGAATTAAATGTGATCCCGTATATTTGTGTACATGGTGCTTTATTTACAAGGTACTTTCAAACGGCCACCGAATCGGTTCTAACCTTGGCACCGAGCGTGGGATTAACCTTCACCGATGCCGCCAACACAACGGACGGCCGATAACATTTCCAAACATAATCACCGCTTTAAAAAATATAAAAATTAAAAAAATACTCGTGTTATGAAACTTTCAATTATTCATGCTCGAGACGAAAAGGCAGTTACTATCAAACTAGTAAATGCATAAATTCACAACAATCTAAATAAACACAAGCCCTTTTTGCCAATGCACTGCTGGATCAGGGACTCCCCACACCATGCGAGCTGTGGAGGTTACGCGGTACGCTATACTTCACCACGCTGGTCAGCACCGGTGAGTGAAGATGGATGGGAGCATCATCGTTGGTGCAAAGAAGTACATCACAACGGTGGCTTTTACCACACCGACCTCCACCAACAATGGAGCCCCATGGACGTGTGGACTTGGTTTGTGACCCAAACCTCGTAGGTGCCCGGGTTCCGGTTGTAACCATTGTTGGATCCTCCGTCGTTGTAGCCGTTGTTGTTGTAGCCGTTGTGGTTGTTGTTGTTGACCTGCGGCGCGTCGTATCCATTGGGGACCCTGGCGTCACTCGCCGCGTAGCCTGGGCAGCCCCAGAAACTGGGACCCTGCGCCTCCAGCACGCCGTCGGGGCAGCAGCCGTGCCTGCAGAAGGGACCGAGCAACGTCGCTCACCCCACCCGCCCTCCCCCCCGCAAGCATCCGTCACTCACCCACAAAGGACGTCGCTCACCCCCACACGCGTCCGTCACTCACCCACAGAGTACGTCACATACCCAACAGAGTACAATGTACGTGGCTCACCCTGCATGTCTACAGCTCACCTCGCTCATCCGTCACTCGCCCCACTCATCTGTTACTCATTCCACATGTACATTGCTCACTCCACACTTCCGTCACTGATCTTGTGCATCCAGTCACTCGCACCCCCACACCCTGTCCATCGCTCACCCCCCCTCCCCCATATCTGTCATCATTTCGGTTCAGTCAGTATGAGGTTTTTTTTTCCGAGTCGTTAACAGTTTTTTTTCACGAGACAGTGTTATACCTCGTTTAACGTCACCCTTGCAAATAAAACGGGACGGTACCGTGAGGTTGTGCAGCTCTGGGTCTCAGCGGCGGGCCAGTATGCTACACGCAGCGCACACAGAGATGGTATAAATGATTAGTGCACATAGAGAAGAGAGCTTCATGATTCAGCAAAGGCAGTGGATAAAGCATATTCCCTGCAGGGGGGAGTTGATTTTTATTTGTATAAATTAACATTTGAAAAATGTTTTAATAAATCTTATTTCCGAATCCTAAATCTGCATGAATCTTATCGTTTGCAAGTGGATTGGCAACTTCCAATCCCATCTATGACAGAGGTCACATGACTACCCGATCTTGCGTGGTCTTTCAGCCAATCACTGGTCATCAAACTCACTTTTCAACAAACCGTTTCCATCAGCAGGACAGATCTCTATCGCTCTATGCCATTGCTCATACAAAGTTGTGACAGGTGTGTTGCCAGCATCAGAGATGGGCAAAATCAATTCAAGTTAAAATACTCAAGTAATGTAATGTAGATAAGAATGACCAAATCTCCGTGTTCCGTGTAATTCAGATACAAATTACAAACGTATTTTAGATTACACATTTTTATTACATGCAATGTATACACCGTCCATCTCCACCGTGCCCACTTGCCAGTGATAATTTCCACAGTGCACCCATGGGCCTTTAACAGTCTCACGTGCGCAAGCCCCGGGCCGGCATTACCGTTGTTTCTCTGGGGCTGCAGGGCGAGGGACTGGTCCGTGGAGTCGTAGCCCCGGGGGTCCGCTTTGCTGGGCACCTCTGCATCACGCGTCACGCCAAAGACAAACTCCGATGCAGCAAAAAGCAATCGTATAAGCTGGACAGCTGCAGCCATAGCGTGGAAGGAAAGGCCACAAAAATACTATCTCTCTCGAGTCTCCTTCTAGTGTAGGCACTCCCACCAGCAGTGGCGTGAGTAAGAAATTGCAGGACCCCACCTTTCCCTCTTAACCTACGCAGTAGATGCAGCCGCCATCCAGCTCTTGTGTGCACGCACACCTGACTTTACTTGGACGCCATACGAATCCCCAAAACGCAATGGAGGCTCCTCGGTGTGGCAGCTTGTTTTTAATACCGGGGGGCACAACTATACATGTACAACTATATCGGGCTTCACGGTTGTAGAAATAGTTGCAGGGAGGGCATTGCATTACAGGGGCGGAGAATCGGCCCAGCGATGGCGCTCACTGCCGCTCATTGCCGCTCGTTGCGAAGGCTCGCAGTTCGAGCGTAAAGCAACCGCCCAGGTTGATTCCTCGGGTTTACTGCCAACAACAACAACAAAATCCTCGCAGTCTGCTTCATCACACAGCAGCCGGCAAAGGTCCCGTGACCGTTATTCGCTGGAGGGTCACGCGTACCGGAATCGCGGCCCAAAGTTGTCAAACTTGAACATTACTCGCAAATTGGCGCATCGAGTGGAGCCACGCTGCAACATCGCGCCCTCCTGTGAAACCAATACAGGCCACTTGTGAAACACAGCGCCTTCGTGATAGGTTTGCGCCAATAAGAATGGCACGAATACTAAGTGTGCTAATGATATGATTTCATTGACCCTTCTCCCGCTGTGTTGGGGTGGAGGGGGGTGTCAGGTGGGTGAGGGACGGCCAGGTGGCGGCACCTTGAGGAAGGTAGCAGGCCTGGCTGTTGCAGTGCTCCCACTCAGTGGGGCGTTCTAGGAAGCGGCACAGCCCCGACTCCTGGCTCAGCTGCTCCTGGTTGAAGCAGAGGATCTGCCGCTTGCGCAATCCCCTGCCGCAGCTCACCGAGCACTGCGGGCGAGCGGGTGGTGGTGACAGAGATTAACGAGGTTGAGTGGATAAAATAAAGAAAATTCGTATCTTTTTTTTTGTTCTTCCATTTTCCTTCGGTGTTATTATGCCTCGTTTTATTTCCACTACATTATTTTTAGGAGGCGTTGCAATTCGTGTAAATATACCACGGCTAATTTATTCATTAAACTGCACAGCCGCGACTGTTTGTGCTGCACCGTGTTGTATTCTGAGAAGGTGGTAAAGACATTTCTGCGTGAAGGCCACTAAATTTTATTAAGAGTTCACCTCGTGAGTGTTTTTTTATGCCACGTGTAGTCAATTTCATAATAAAACAAAACCCATCGAGACTAAAAGTCGCTTTTTATGGGGGACCTTGCTCAGAAAACTTACTTATGTACATGACAATTACATATTAGAGCAATTATCAAAATCACAAATGGTTAATTCAACACAACATAATAGGATGCAAGACCAAAGCTAACAGAAAAATGTGAGACAAGGTTAAATTAACACGACTGCGTAGGTTTTGTTTTGAAGTTCCGCTGTACAGCCCTCCGTTGTGCTTTCCAGGTCGTTTCACTCCACGTGCTGGGAAGAAGCTCTCCCAACACGTGGATCGAAACGCCCGTCATCGTGCCTAACGGCGGCGCGCAAACAACCCGAAAACACATAGTTGAGCTAAATACAAATGTAACGAAACATAAGCAAACCATTGGCCCGACGAGCCCAGCCCGAATCTGAGGCCTACTCACCAGGCCCCACGGGCCGATGAACCAGCTGAACGTCTGCTCGCACGGAGCCTCTGAGCACATCTGGGAGTCGTGGGGCCGCAGCCCCAAGCACTGCCCGTCGTTCACCGTCTGCTGCTGCTGCGATCCGACCGCCGTAGAGCAGAACACCATGCGTAGCTGGACGCCCTCGCCGCATGACACCGAGCACTGGCGCACGCGAGGACGCACGCACGTGTATGTCGCATGTGCGTGTGTATGTTGAGCTTCTTTCGCGCCGTACATAGCCAACCGTGCTCATCGGAGGTGCAGGAAAAAGGAAAACAAACTAAGCGCAAAAAAAAGCAGTTCTAATGACTTCAATTTAGAGATGTGGGTGGAGTGGTAGGTTACATGTCATCATTACACTCGTTTACCCAGGAAAGCCTGAGTTTGAATTAATTTTCAGGAGGGGTCCTGCCAGGTTTTCAAAGTAGAGGGTGGGGGGAGGGGGGGCGATGTCTGCATCGAACCCACGACCTCCTGGATATCAGGCGAGGTAGTTAACATCTCGTAGCTACCGTAGCGCCCAGATGCTAACGCGGACAAGGCAGGGAGACCGTGCAGGCGCTATGCGCGGAGAGGCTCACGGGGCTCCAGCTGTTGGCGACCCACTGCGCCGTGGGGCAGGGGCCCAGGTTGCATGGCCGCGTTGTCGAGACGCATTTGCTGTCGCCGCAGCCGTACACGTCGTTCGAGCCGCACGTTACCTCCCGCGTCTGCTGGCCCGGCCCGCACTGCACCGAGCACTGCGCATGGCACACACGCGCAACAAACACGTTGAGTGCACACGAAGCGGTCCTGAAATTTCAAACTTTTTTTTTATAAATGTGGTCCTACATTATTAATAGTTTTCGTTATTGATTTAAAAAAACGTTTCATGTATTTTTCACTGGTAAATGTCAATGAAATACCAATTTTCGAAGTCTCAAGGTTGGGGTGATCACCCCCTCATTCACACACACATTAACACTTCTTCAGAACTTCTTTTTGCGTTTAGTTTGTTGTCCTGCCCCCGGCGCCTCCGATTAGCACGGTCGGCTACGTACGGTACGAAAGAAGTTCAACGCACACGTGGAAAGGTGGACTGGGGCGGGTAACGTACGGCGGACCACTCCCCGACCACCCACTCCGGGCAGGCCCTCTGGAAACACGCCTGCTCGGCCGCCGGCCCCTCGCCCAGCGTGGCGGAGCACAGCACGGAGTCCACCACGGCCAGCTGGCCCGAGCGCCCGTCCTCCCGGAGGCACGACACCGGGCGCGCCTGCACGCCCGTGCCGCACCTCACCGAGCACGGCCCCCAAGCGCCCGCCTGCCACCTGCGGGGCGGCACGAGGCGGCGGCGGCGGCGGGGTGGGGGGGAGGGGACGTGACACGCGCAGAGGCACAAGCACGGTCCGTTTGGCGGTGGCCACGCGAGCGCTGTTAGCTTGTGGGCGGGGAAGTCGCCGGGTTAGCCGCGTGTTACACTAACCAGGCAAATACCAGTCGTGTTATATAAGGCATTGTCCGTATTATGGACAGCGCGTTATTCATTCAACACCGGGCATTTGCCTCCGTGTTAAACTAAGGCATTGCATTTATCTAAGTCCAGGACCAGCCCCGTAGTGTTTAACTTCCTTTGTACAATCGTGACAAGGGTGTTGAAACCTTGCCTCGCGAGCATAGGAGGTGAGAGAGCTAGAGCGGATTGCACGACAGACGAAAAGCAGATCGTGTCGTTACCTCATTCGGTTTATCGTTTAACACTTGGTCAGAGTTTGTTAAACTTAAACTGCGTCATCGTGCCCCCCGCCCCCCCCCCCTCCAATGTGGTTTTGTTTGCCCCGTCACTTTAAACGCGGTGCCGCTGCATGGTAGAGTGGCACGGTTTGTTTGTTGTACTTGGAGGGTGTGAAACGAAACGAATGAGATTGTTGAACGAAGGTCTCTCCACACAGTGTCAGTTACAGGGGGGGGGGGGGGGGGGGGGGTTGACCGTACTTCACCAAGGAGGGCTAGGCCCTCGGTTCAGACATTACTCTCCGCTCACGTTCGCCACAGCCAAGAAGGGAACTCAGGTCTCCGAGTTCGTAACGCATTGCGCTAACCACTGTGCCATCCCCTCCACCCCTGAGCGTGCGAAGACAAGTGAGGTTTGCCGAAGGATGAGGCCGCAGCATGGTATTGGGTGTGGTGCAGCTCGGCTGGCGAATGCGCTGCTGCAGTTACCTGTAGGTGGATGAACTGGCCGCTCGCTTTGAGCTCCATTCCTCTGGCCTATATTGGTACGACAACCTGCGGCGAACACGTGGGGCAAGAAACAGAGCTGCCGGCCTGAGACACGGCGTGGGGAGAACGCAGATAAATAAAACCGCAGACCAGCTTCAAGTCCCGGTCCGACCGATATCTAAAGTTTCTCTTTCGATTTAAAGCTTGCGTGACTGCAGGGATTCATCTTCTTGGTTCTTTCGGTAAAGTCACGTAGAAGGGAAATAAAATAATACAAATAAAACATAATAAAATAAAATTCTCACGACGTTTCTGCCAAAACACAAGTAGCCTTCCTCAGGTGAAGAAGAAAGAAAAAAAGGAAGGCTACTTGCGTTGTGGCCGAAACGTCGTGATAATTTTATTTGATTATGTTTTATTTTATTATTTCCCTTCTACGTGACTTTACCGAAAGAACCAAGAAGATAAAGTTTCTCTGTCGCTTTGTCGAAGGGTAGCAGCCATGCCTGGTGACGATCCACATCTGCAAAACCAATCCAAGGCGGTTGCAGGGCATGAGCTCCAAATCAGCAGCAGGTAACGTCAGAGGCAATTCTGTCATCATTCACTGACATTCCACATTTTGCATTTTTTTTATGTACGGTGAAAATATTAGATGATATTATTATGTCAATGGACTGGAGTTACCTTAACTTTCTTTCACCCAACACCATGCAAGTGAGTGGGCTGGTGAGTGTTGGGTGGACAGGTGGGCGATTGGGCAGGTGAGCGAGTTGAGTGGTTGGGTGGGTAAGTAGGTGAGAGGTTTGGCGAGTCGGCGAAGTGAGTGGGTGGGTGAGCGGTTGGGCGCGTGACTGAGTGGTTGTGTGTGTGGGTCACGCGGTAGTGTAACGGTTAGCATGCTGCGCTACGAACCCGGCCACCCAAATTCAATTCCCACTCACGGCCAACACCGGTGACAATTATCTGAACCGGTCCTGGGACTCTCCTAGGTCGACTCAGCCTCAAATGAGTACCTGGTGCGGTGTTTAAACATCGCCACTGGGGTAACAAAGGCAGCCGAGCTCGGTGCTGGCCGTGCCGGCCTTCATAGGTGCTCGTTAGCAGCACTTGCCCCAACGGTCTGTTCAGGGTGCACGGGGGATGTGTCTGCGTGTCACGCACCACATGCCGGGTGGACACGCGTGGGTGTTGCAGCTTTGGTTGCTGCGAGGCCTCGGCTCGCCGCAGAAGTGCTCGTGCGTCACCTCGTTGTCCCGGGTGCAGTACACCGTTCGCGTCTGCTGTCCTGCTCAACCGCACGGGAAGCAAGCATCGGTCCGCCACCCGATTCCAACCAACGCCGCCTCGGCGGTTCCATTCGTTGGCGCAATTCGAGGTCACGATTTAACCCTACAATCGAATCTTTCGCATCTCGTTTTTTTTTATTGCTCCAGCTTCTTTTCCCTCTCGTTTGCATAGTTACGTGTCATCGCCCCACGAGCCTACATGTAGCATTAACAACCCCACACAGCATTCTAACCCCGGGGTAGTCCCATTAAATATAGATAGCGGTCATATTGCATGGATAGAATTTGTGCTCCTGGTTCCAAATAATTATTTATATCTTAACTCCAGGGGTGGGGGGGGGGGTGCTTTTCTCATGGGGGACGATCATTTGGCTATCAATGGATATTTAACCCAGAGTTAAAATAATATAACAGTAATTCTAGATTTGAAGCTTTCGTGACTGCAATGAATCATACTCTTTGGTTTTTTCGGTAAAGTCACGTAGGTGAAATAAAATAAATAAATAAACAACTAAATTTTATCACGACGTTTCGTAGTCAACACAAGCTTCCATCTTCAGGTGGAAACCGTCACAGCTGTGAAAAAACCAAAGACTATAACAGTATTTTGACTCCAGGGTCCAAATTCTATCAAAGTCCAAAATCACTCTTCTACGGTGGCTCACCTCCGCCGCAATCCATGTTGCAGTGGCTCCAGGAGCTGTGGCTCCAGATGCCGCGACGGGAGAGCTCCTCTGCGTCGTACACCGTGTAGTACTCGTACTGCACCCCGGGGTTCCGCTCCTGGCTGATCAGCTGCGTCGTGATTCAATAATAAATGCGCTTCAGCATTTTTGCCGCCAATCGTCTTGAAACGTTAATGACCCCATCGTTGGCGTCTTATATCATCGTCGCCTTTCGCGCGCGTACCGCGCGCCTCCCCATTGCAGTACTGTACATCTCTGCGACAGTCTTGCCAAGGGTGACCCCCAGTGGCAGCTGTCCTCGTGCGGCACAAGGCAAACAGGCAGCCCCGACCTGCGGGTGGGCATTAATCTGCCAGTAGGAGGGCGATGATGCTACGAGGCTCCTCCCAATTTAGTAATTTGCGAGTAATTTACCAAATGTGGTCAAATTGGATAGTGGGCCGAGCACACCATGGCCTGCCTACTCTTCTTCAAACAACGTCATGGGATTTTGTTTTACCTCAACGGCAAAGCAAACGGCGTGGAATCCCGCATTAATACAATCGCAGTATTAACCAAGGTGGCTGCTGGGTTCGAACCAGAAACCTCCTGAACAAGCGACCGACGCAATACCGCTGGGCACCAGTGACGAGCGGTACTAAAGCCCTCGTTAAGGACAAGTACACGGCAAACGCGCCGGCGAGATTAGAATTTGAATCCTGATGACCTTTTGCTTAATTTAATTGAGTTAGGTAAACGAGAAGAAAAGTAATTTATATAAAATGGAAATCAATATATGTTTTTTTTACTGTACTTTACAGTTACACGCAATGACTGTACCGTACACATTGTTGCATAATTAAAGTGGCTACAGTCACATCGTAATTTGGCTCTAGTCTACGTCTACCCTTCAACTCGATGTCCTTTAATTTGCTCCCAATTATGGAGTCTCTCGAGAAAACTTGGCAAAAGTTTTTTTTGCAGAACTGAACACCGACCGGGGTGCATAGCATTTAGCGATTCGACCGGTTTCTATAAACTCCTTTCAGGTCTTCTCCCCTCTTTTCCTGCTGCCTCAGATCCCATAGCCGAATCGAACAAAAGCAGCAGGGCACGGCCTCGGAACCAAATAATAAAAGAAAAACCACTGCTGTAAAGAAATCCAAAATGGCAATTTGCGTTGTTTGTGTAAAACACCAACATAGACGAGAGTCACTTACCAGCCAGGCGCAGTGAAAACTGTCGTCTGGTCAACTTGAAAACGCTTGATGTACGACAGGACATGGCGACGGGAGAATTCTGTAAATAAGCTGTCTCTCTTTATCTTTCATGTGGAAATGAAAATTGAGAAGGCCCTGCTTTTGGGATGGCGCAAGCGTGGCGTTGAAGCACCCAGGCACGCATTGTGCCTTGGTACATCTTCCATGCCAGCTAAAACCCACAACAAAGCCGCACGTCCTCCATCCCTGCGAAACGCCCAAAAAAATCCTTCCTCTGAATGCCAGACCTCTCCCGACAACAGTAGCATCCATCACCTCTCCTTCCCAAGCTCTGCGAGCAATCGCACGGATGTAAGCGCTGCCCGATTTTTCCTTGCCTCGGGCACAGAGAGGGATGAGTCGCAGCGTGCTCAAGAAGGACATCCCTATCGGGGAAGCGTGTCTGTTCCCGCAATAGAGGCGAACAAGAGGCTTTTGGGAAAAGAAAAAAAATACTCAACGCATTCGTCAATAACGCTGTGACCTTAAAAAGGAGCTCGTGAGAGGCGATGTCTCCGGTACTAGCCCTTCTTCACGGCACGTGGGGAGGCCGGAGGGGCGCAGTGTTTGAGAGCAGGAGAAGAGACACAATCAAAGAAATGAGACTAATTTCTTAGGAGTCTTGGGGTCCATTGATAACCGGTCATATTTGGAAATTGAGTACATTTTTGGAAAACGAATTTATGGAAATGAAAAGCAGCGTACAGTGAGGGAAAAAAGTATTTGATCCCCTGCTGATTTTGTACGTTTGCCCACTGACAAAGAAATGATCAGTCTAAAATTTTAATGGTAGGATTATTTGAACAGTGAGAGACAGAATAACAACAAAAAGGGAGTGCTCCTAATCTTAGCTTGTTACCTGTATAAAAGACACCTGTCCACAGAAGCCATCAATCAATCAGATTCCAAACTCTCCACCATGGCCAAGAACAAAGAGCTCTCCAAGGATGGCAGGGACAAATTTGTAGACCTACACAAGGCTGGAATGGGCTACAAGGCCATTGCCAAGCAGCTTGGTGAGAAGGTGACAACAGTTGGTGCGATTACTCGCAAATGGAAGAAACACAAAAGAACTGTCAATCTCCCTCGGCCTCGGGCTCCATGCAAGATCTCACCTCGTGGAGTTGGAATGCTCATGAGAATGGTGAGGAATCAGCCCAGAACTACACGGGAGGATCTTGTCAATGATCTCAAGGCAGCTGGGACCATAGTCACCAAGAAAACAATTGGTAACACACTACGCCGTGAAGGACTAAAATCCTGCAGCGCCCGCAAGGTCCCCCTGTTCAAGAAAGCACATATACATGCCCGTCCGAAGTTTGCCAATGAACATCTTAATGATTCAGAGGACAACTGGGTGAAAGTGTTGTGGTAAAGATGAGACCAAAATGGAGCTCTTTGGTATCAACTCAACTCGCCGTGTTTGGAGGAGGAGGAATGCTGCCTATGACCCCAAGAACACCATCCTCACCGTCAAACATGGAGGTGGAAACATGCTTTGGGGGTGTTTTTCTGCTAAGAGGACAGGACAACTTCACCGCATCAAAGGGACGATGGACGGGGCCATCTAACGTCAAATCTTGGGTGAGAACCTCCTTCCCTCAGCCAGGGCATTGAAAATGGGTCGTGGATGGGTATTCCAGCATGACAATGACCCAAAACACATGGCCAAGGCAACAAAGGAGTGGCTCAAGAAGAAGCACATTTAGGTCCTGGAGTGGCCTAGCCAGTCTCCAGACCTTATACCCATAGAAAATCTGTGGAGGGAGCTGAAGGTTCGAGTTGCCAAACGTCAGCCTCGAAACCTTAATGACTTGGAGAAGATCTGCAAAGAGGAATGGGACAAAATCCCTCCTGAGATGTGTGCAAACCTGGTGGCCAACTACAAGAAACGTCTGACCTCTGTGATTGCCAACAAGGGTTTTGCCACCAAGTACTAGGTCATGTTTTGCAGAGAAATACTTATTTCCCTCATTAAAATGCAAATCAATTTATAAGATTTATTACATGCGTTTTTCTGGATTTTGTTGTTATTCTGTCTCGCACTGTTCAAATAAACCTACCATTAAAATTCTAGACCGATCATTTCTTCGTCAGTGGGCAAACCTACAAAATCAGCAGGGGATGAAATACTTTTTTCCCTCACTGTACCAATGTTCCAGAAAAATAACGTTTTCAATCAGTGCCGCTTGCTCATTGGTTTCAGTGAGCAAGCGCGTGCCGCCTGTTTCATGTTATCAGCTTTGTGTGCCCGGTTAAGGCCATGTCTAAACACCGCTAAGACAAATTTACAATAATTTCTTTTTTTAAAAGCCACTAAAAACGTGGAGAGATATGTGGTGTTTGGCGATGTGGATTATCGCATGGCAAACCGGTGAGAGATGGCGACACGTTGGGGAAACCTTCACCCAAAGATGGATCGATGATGGTTAAAGATTATGTATGTTGAACTTCTTTCTCACCGTACATAGCCAACCATGCTAATCGGGGGTGCAGGAGAAGGACGACAAACTAAACACAAATAAATAATGGCTATTAAATACGTTTTACCATGAATGTTAGGCATATGATTCGACTGCCAGCGAGCCGGCAAATTGTTACGATGTCGAAGTTGCCCTTAGGCATTTTGTTTTAAAACAACCGACTTGCAGGAACAGTACATGGATCTTCGAGTGGTAAACCTCGTAAAGTAAAATCATAGAGTAACATCGCATGAAGTTAGGCTGCTAAAACTCTCATCGCCTCGCTGTGAATGAGTGTCACATGCGCCGCTAACGAAGGTTATGCACCGACGTGGTTGCCGGAAGAAAAGAAAAAAACACTGGCGAGACAACTTTCAAATAAAAATCTGCGTGAGTTTTGAGGGCCGTATATTTTATTTAAAAGAAACCAGGTGGGAAGTCCGCAGGGCTGTTTGTAAACGCTCTGAGCGCCTAAAACGAGGCCACGTCGCAAGAGAAGGAGACCTTCACTGGCACCAGTCTCACCGAATAAAAATACCGCACACGTGCAGGGGTTCGATTTACAACACAAACGAAACTACAGCCACCACCTCCACCGATGGCTTTTCCCCTGCGTCCGAATATTTTTCCAAAAACACCCCGAAAACGGGGCCCTCTGCACAATGAAAGAGGAACTGAGCTCAGGTGTCCTGTTTGGAAGCACTTTGATACCTGTAGAAAAATAAACATCGTCCCCAAGAATCCCTCAAGATTGATGGTCGGGTCGCTTTGGGATTAAAGCAAAGAGTCAGCACTACTGAGACCCTGGGAGAGACTCCAGGTTGCAACCGCCCGTGTAACGAGGTCGCTGATTAGTGATCATAAAAAAACCACAACGTTACGTTTTCTTCCCACTTCATGTTGCTTATTTCAGCTCTGAGACTTAAAAACATTGATTTGATTGACATACCGCTAAACATCTTTGCAGGGCATTACATGGTACCCCTCTAGTGTGGATATAAAAGGTCTCGTGCGGTGGCTTCAGAAATAGATCTGTGCCATCATCTACCAGGGCCATTCTCTACTCGCCGTGAGGGTTCTGAATATAAATATATGTCTCTTAACATCATGCTCAAAGCAGCACGAATAGAATTGAGAGGAAAAAAATGAAAGGAATTGGCCAAACATCCGAGTGCAATTTGAATGTAATTGAAAAATAAACCCCCTGGAGAGAATTTTTTTTTTCAAATTTATACTGCAAATCTCGACCCGCCACTGTATGTCAGTGTTAATCCTCCTGGATTGTAACCTGAACAGCCTTCGGTCAGAGGGAGGTCGCTCATTCTTCTCTGCTGCCCCCATTATGTGAAAGTCCCTTCCCCCCAGCTATCCAAGCTGTTGACTTCCTGCTCCTGTTTGGGCCCAGGCTCAAAAACTTCATTTTTTCCCTCTGGCTAAGGCTGACTGCCTCTTTTTTGCCTCTAAAATTGCATTTAGATGATATATGAATCCAACCTCTACTGGAGGTGTGAGAGTCATCCCAGTGCTCACATGAGCATAAATTACTTCTTTTTTATTTAATTTTCCTCACTGAACTGAGAATATCAACCTCACTTTGCAGAATAGCCAAATTTCATCATGGATTCCAACCCAGAATCTCAGCAGTGTTGACCAAACATTTTTGTTAGAAAAGTTTGGGGTCGGTCTTATAATCTAGATAATATTTTGTCTTGCGAAATATCTGATTTAATCTCTTTGTTCATTATACTCTTCTGGAAGATTCCTCTGCCTAATATAGTACCATATTATCCCGGTTATAATACACACCTTTCTTTAAAATTACCCCAGGGGTATGGGTTGCGTATTACAATCTGGAGAATGCAGTAACATTTGGCAATACCGCCATGGCAATGGGCTTCATAATAAAATATATTTTTCTTAAAAGATTGTACACATGACACTTTAAACTCTGCTTTTCCGGGTGGCGGAGAGTCGTGACGTGTGTATGTATGTTGAACTTCGTTCTCACCGTACGTAGCCAACCATGCTCATGCGTGCAACAACACAAATATAGCCGGATCGTTTACGTAGCCTGACCAATAAAAATAAAAAATAAAAACAATTACGCATCGCGATACTGGCTGTGAAAACCTTCGCGTCTTCAGAGGTGAACGTGAATTGTGCCGTGCCCCGTGAGCCGCACCTCCACGACGAGCGGCTCGGTGCTGGGCCCCAGGAGGGTCACCGCCTCCGGCGAATCGTCCCTCTCGTCGCGACGCTCGTAGCGCAGCGCGGAGCCGGCGACCGGGAACGAGCGAGAGTAGTCAATCGTCCAGTGCCCGTTCAGGTAGTAGTGGCCGAGCGGGTTCTTGATGGCTGCTCACGTTGGGAGGGGAGGCGACGGTGCGGGCAGGGGGGGGGGATGCAAAATGAGAGACCACGTATACACATTTCGTACGCATAATTCAAAATGCACAGACTGGCCCTCACCATGGAAATGTGTAATTTCCATCACTGGCTTTGGGCCACCAACTGAGATGAGCACTACCCGATGCTCACATGAGCTTAGAAACACAACTAGATTTTGACACTCGGCTCGATGTTTTATTTCAACAATATCTAGACTTTGGCACGTCTGTTCTTGTCAAATGTTTCAAATATGTTGACTTACCTCGAGCTAGTATAACCTTTCTAAGTTGACGGCATTGCTTTGCTCTTCGTAATACTTCTTCATTCGTCATTCTTTCAACCCGGCTGATCTGCAGCATTCTCAGAATTGTATACGAGCCAGCCTTTGTTTCTCCATCTCTTTGGTTTGTTGTGCATAGATAGCCATGGACAAAATAAAATATATTCTCTTGTACCTTGCCTCATCAGCCCAATCAAATCTGTAAATTATGAAAAAACTATATCGTAACAGAATAATAGTGCTGGCTGGAAAAATCATGCGTTTGAAACGACACACATTTCTGTGTAACAAGCAGTCAGCCTGCGTGCGTTATGCTCGAACCATCAATCATTTCCTGAAGAGGTGGATTGTGGATCCATTGTGTTGGGTCACCAGTGATGCATCACTGCTGCCACTGCTGCCAGTTTTAGTCACGCCTGTTCGATGTTTGTGGTCACCTAAGAGTGCCACAATGGACTTCTGTAGGAAATGCTGACGGCCTTTGCGTTTCGGGAGTAGTTAGCGCTACGCTGCGCTACGAACCCGGCGACCCAAGTTCGATTCCCGCTCACGGCCAACACCGGTGACGATGATCTGAACTGATCCTGGGCCACCCCTAGGTGTTTGTATTTTCTGTTTGCACAGTCACATAGTCACTTTAAGATGATTTCTTGTTCGTGTTTTTGTTTTTTGTTTGTTGCAGTTGCACCCGATTCAAGAGCCGAATGGCTCGCAGGGCTATACCAAATAAATGAAACTTAAACTGAAACTGAACTCAGCATCAAATGAGTACCTAGTGTTGGTGTGTAAACATCGCCACCGGGGAGACAAAGGTGGCCGGGCGTGGTGCTGGCCACCCACCCCCTCGTGTGCCGTGTCGCTAACAGAACTTGCTCCAATAATTCATCTGTTCATGCGTCACGTGGAGTCTTTGTCTTTTGTGTGCTCTTTTACGTCCTGCCGAGTTTGCAACGAGCGCCCTCTACTGGCCAAACGTAACCATTTTAAATTGAAGGAATGTCCTCCAAATACCTTTTTTTAATTTCTACTTAGTTGATCATTATGAGAACGCAGTGGCAACTGAGTGCAAGCACAAATTAAAAAAACAAAACTCATCTACAAATAAGAATGGTTACCACTGCCTTGCAACAAAAGAAATGTCACACAAACATATAAATATATTACGATGATTTTATGTTTAAGGGGAAACATTCAAACTATACGTGTTGACGTTCCTGAAGCTATAACGATTTTTGACCCCCCCCCCCCCACCTCGTCACACGGCGTCACAAAGTCAGACCCCCCCCCTTAAATATGACGTCACAAAGCTCTGCCCCCCCCCCCAAAAAATATAAAACATGCTTCAAATCGCTTTAAACTATTGTCATTGTAGTGAGTATTTAATGTGGCTCTGCACTCTGATGTTGTATGAGAAAACATTTATTAAAAAGTCTATTTAATTAAGTAGAACGTGTTGTCTATATGTATTTAAAGTTGCGCATTTTGATGTGACGTCACATGTCTTAAACCCCACCCCCCTCGTCACACATCGTCACAAATGTCTGAACGCCGCCCCCCCCCTAGGTGCGTGACGTCATTTATGGGCATCTCGAGTGTCACCAGATGATGGTCTCAGCCCGGACACCAACGAATCCGCAAAAATCAATCACATGAAATTACTTTTGTTCTTCACTTGGCAAAATTCCAGCTGTGAAAATTAGACACCTCGATTTGAATGTTACGCACCGAACATTTCGCTGCAGCAGCGCGTGTGAGAATGCACGCCGTCAGTGCGCAGACACTCCCAAGAGACCTCAGAAGCACTTCCGTTATATCTATTTCCACGGGCCGTTCTCTTAACATGTGTAGTGGGTTCGAATTGGGTGCGCACACACACACACACAGCTTGGAGGCAACACTATTTAATATAACGGTAAGTGATATAACACCGCACATAAGGTGGTGACCACCTTTCTCAACTCGCTAACACTCTGGAACACTGCACAGCGTGACCCAGGCAGGCAACGGGCTGCCTGGTCCCGGACGACGACCCGGGGACTTGAGGACCGATGATGTCGTCTTCACTTGTGGGTTGAACATCCCCACTCCGTCTTCACACCCCGCTGATCACCGCTCCGCCCAGGCCACGCCTCCCTTCCCCCACCTCTGGGAAGGTCCGGGTCCTCCACCACGTGACCCCCCAGGCACTCCCTTGGGGCCCCCAGCCCTCGTACGGGCTGACACAGTAGTGATGTCCTATGTCATCACTACACATGCACTGCTCTGAAGGGGGTTCTGAATTGACACGTCATATCGTGACATGACACGTCATATCGTGACATGACGTAGACAGTATCGTTTCAATAACACAGGAGGGGAGAAAAGAAATACGAAAAATGCAGCACCGTTAAATAAACTGTGATATTTGCAGCATGGCAGCTTTATACACTGCCTGATGCTGTGTAAAACCGCAATATCTTTCGTTCTCTATTCACTTTTTTTCTGCCAAAGCCATGGGCTTTCTTAGCAGGCACGGGCTCGAATCTTACATGGCTCTCAGTCAATGGATTTGAAACCAAAACCCAAACCAGTCTGATCGGCTGTGCCCAAGCTTGTCTGCCGACAGCTGTGCTGCACATAACGGAAGTTGAGCGCACGTGTATGTGTGTGCACGTGTGTGTGTGTCTGTGTGCACTGTACCCAGGTAATTTCTAGAAGCAGACGATTCTTGAATTTTGATGTTCGTCGCTCCGACTGGGATGACAATGATTTGAACGTAGCCTGCAAGACAAAAGCAGAGATGAATGCCGTTTTGTTTTTGTACTTACTCAAGCGCAATCAAATGCAGACAACGGATGAGTTTTAATGGGTAAATTGTTTTCCCCGCAAACCCAAAGGAATCTAACTTAACATCCAGCTCTTTGTCGTGCGATGTATATCACGGGCGACCCGAGTTCATTTTTTTTCCTGGAGTAGGCAGAAGAAGGGGGATGGAAGCCACGAGGCAGCCTGGCCCACGCACTCACCCCGGGGAACTTCGGGCTTGTTGAAGACGCCGGTGACTGGGACGCAGGAGGAGCCGTCGCCGCCACACACGCGGCACGAGTCCTCCACCAGGCCGGACTCGAGCCTCCCGTCACAGCCCACGGTCTGCGGGCCGACAAACGGCCGTGGCGCTAAGCGTCAGCAAACTCAGCAAGAGTGTAGAAAGGCCCCCCGAAATAGTATCGCGGAGGTCCAATCATTAAAAAAATAGGGAAACACAAAATAGGATCTCAAATTCAGATTATAAAAAAATACCCACAAGGCTGAGGCCATCAACTCACTATACATTGGAATACAATTTAATCACACATGGCAGAAACCTTGATTTGAAGCCAGGATCTCAGCGGTGCCGGTCAGTGCTCTGACCCCTGAACCACATGGGCACCTCTTGGATTAAGCGATGTTCTGGGATATATTTGTCCGTGTGGCACAGGCAGAGCAATCAATGCACAATCATAATGCTACAAAGTTCAAATTAGAGTCAAGGGTCAACAACTCATACCTTTAGAGTCAATCAAATAAGGACCACTTTGTGAGCAAATACTTTGTGAGAATTTTGCTTTTGAACCTATTTAGTTTTTTCATCAAAGCAAACATTAACCGCATACAAACGTATGAACTGCAAAGGGTTGTCTTGTTGACATGAAACATCATACGCAAAGCAGCACCCTGTAATTTCTGGCATTGTGATTTGACATCAAAATCCAAAATAAAAAGAGAAACAAGCCAGTGGTGAGAGAGGAAGTTTTGAAATTGAATGCCATTAAATAACGATGACCAAGATGGAATGCGTCTAAAGGGGACGTCCGCCTAGTTAGATGAAGTGACGAAATCAGTTCCATGTGCACGTGATGGAAGGATTATTGCATCGCAAGACCACCAGAGTTTACGGCGACTTGGGGAGGCCTTCACCCAGCAGTGGACTGATCGTAGCTCATGATGAGTGATGATGAGATGAATCGATGTGTGCATCAGGAGTGTAGTGTGGTTGGCATGGGCCCTGGTGCATAGCACAAAATTGGGCGACTTGTCATATGTATTCCCCTCTTTGTCGCCTGGCCCTGAGTCCATCTAACCCGTAGGCTACAGCGAAGTCGCGTCCCCTTTACAGTCGACAGCTACCGCCGTTGGTGGGAATAAAACATTTCAGGAAGCAACATTTTTTAATATTACAACAAAAAACTTCCTGGACTTGAACGCTCAATATTGGCAGAAATATGTCTCAGTATATCTTCCTTTGAAGAAATAGTGATGAATATGATTCATGCCATCACTGTTGTCCGAGAAGATATGCGAGCTAGCATTTGTTCTGACAGGTCTTCTTGGCACTCATGACCACCGAGTCTCGGCTTGCAGTCTCTCACACGATTAGGCTGATGTCATTTTCACCAACAGCGTTGGCCATGAGCTGTTGTTTTTGCCTCATCAAATTGCACTTACGTAAAATAGTCTTTAGAAATGTTTTTACTTTTCCCAAACGATTACAATAAGTGCAAAGAAGGTTCAAACATGATCAGAGCCTAATTAAATCGGATGTTATTCATGTAAAGGATTCAATTACACCACCTTTCATAAGCAGATGGATTGCTTCACTATTCTGGTAAATTGCCCGATGATGCTGGATGATGTAATCACCAGCGAAACTTCGTACTACTCAAATTGTAAATGTTGTGGATTTACTCACCAACAAACCGGTGGGCTAAAGTAGTAAACTAATTGGCGTTTTATTTTGATTTAAAGCTTTCGTGACTGCAGGGATTCATATTCTTGGTTCTTTCGGTAAAGTCACGTAGAAGGGAAACAAAATAATAAAAATATAAAACAATAAAATTCTCACGACGTTTCGACTGCAACACAAGCAATCATTATCAGGTGTGAAAACCACAGCAATAAATTTTGAAAAAAGTGCGATTTTTTTTAAACGTATTTTTTATATTTTTATTATTTTGTTGTTTCCCTTCTACGTGACTTTAACGAAAGAACCAAGAATATAATTGGCATTTTGTTTACGTGACAAATCCCTTACTAATTGCTGTGTCGGGTGGTGAAGGGCTACATGTATACTTACGCGATCTAACCCAAAAACCTTTATTATTATTATTAATAATATTGGTTGCGAAAGCCTACGTGTTAAACTACACCACCTTCGTAAACTCCAATGGTGGTTGAACAGCTCACCACACCGTTTCGGTTAAGGAGCTATTTAACTATACCTCACCACTTTGATCAGTACGGGTTGGTGAAGGAGGGATCGAGATTTGGTTCAGATGTCTTTAGCCACTGACGTTAGCAATGGCGAGGAATCAAACTCGCGTTGCCGTAGCGGGGTGCTCTACTTAAAATGGTGGTAGGCGGAAACACAAAGCATGGTTTTTATTTTTTACACTTTGTAAGCAACGGCGATGTTCAGTGGCCGAGTCCATCGATGGGAGGGCAGCCAACGGAGGTAATTTAGCCGAGAGGTGCTCACCACAGAGTTGGAGCAATGACATCGGCTTGTGGTGCAAGCGCGAGATGGATTTCGTGTGCATTGGTTGCAATGCGCAAGCATTGTCACCTTTGCGTTTAAACTCCGTTGTGCCAAATTAACGAGAGCTAAAAAGAAAAATGGCTCGAATAGTTCAACAAAGTATGAGAAGTGAGCAAAGAAGCAAGGAGAGATATGTATTTATGTTGAACTTCTTTCGCACCGTACAGAGCTAACCGTGCGAATCAGAGGTTGGCGGGGAAGGACAACAAACCAAACTCAACGACACATTGGGAAGGCCGTTCTTCAGCAATGGCTTGATGATGGCTGAGTATAATAACAATCATCATAATCTTGATTTAAAGCTTTCGTGACCGCAGAAATTCATCCTCTTTGGGTCTTTCGGTAAAGTCACGTAGGTAGAAAAAAAGTAGATCGCGACGTTTCGATCGCAACACAAGCAATCGTCTTCAGGTGAGAGAGAGAAAGCTAATGAAACAAGGTTTTATTAAGGCCTGAGATGGGAGTCCCCTCATGGTAAGAGGGCAGGGCTAGAGATGGTCTCCCTGAGGCTGTGGAAGTGGCCATTGTATTGTGAGAGATTAGCATGTCAATGATGCTTTGGTGGCAGATCGAGTAGGACATCCAGCCTGTCAATACAAAGACATCCAACCTAGTGATGCCACTCAGAGAGTCAGCTAACATCGGCAGCAAGGATGGAAACATCACAGCAGGTTAAGACTTCACGTGGTTAATAACGTCCTTCCAATGATTGCTCAATTTGCACCCATCTTCTCGGTTGAAGTTGTGTCTGTGTTTATATATCTGGATGGCTTCATGGACTAATCTTTGATGATAGCCAGTGGGTTTGCATAGTACCTTCTATAAAGTAATAATTATAATAATGAATGAACAAATTATATGCAAGTGTTACATTAAGGCTAATGGGGCAAATTAACTGAAAACAAGAGATTTTTTGTTTAAAGAGACAGTACACAAGATACAAACAGAATGGACTTGATTGGGATCACAAAAAGTAAATTGTTATCATTCATATTCTTGGTTCTTTCTGTAAAGTCACGTAGAAGGGAAACAATAAAATAAAAATAAAAATATAAAACAATACAATTATCATGACGTTTAAACTGCAACACAAGCAATCATCATGAAGTGTGAAAACCACAGCAAGAAAATTTGAAAAAAGTGGCGTTTTTTTAACGTTAGCACCACGAAGAGCGATTTGGCAGTTATTCAGATGGACGAGTCCATCTATGTTCGGAAAAGAGGAGGGGGGAGACGAAAATAATGGATGCGGTCTGAAAGCCACCGTAAACGTGAACAATCAATTAAGACACGAAATGGTTTATCAAATCCTTCCAATGATTGCTAAGCCAGAATCCATCTTCTCGGTTGAAATTGTCTCTGTGTTTGTATATGTGGATAGCCTCATGAACGAATCTCGCATGGTAGCCAGATGGCTTGCAAAGAACCACTTTTTTCAAAATTTCTTGCTGTGGTTTTCACACCTGATGATGATTGCTTGTGTTGCAGTCGAAACGTCGTGAGAATTTTATTGTTTATATTTTTATTATTTTATTGTTTCCCTTCTATGTGACTTTACCGAAAGAACCAAGAATATGAATCCCTGCAGTCACGAAAGCTTTAAATCAAAATTTGTTATAATTAAGTTACGTTGGGGTGGGGTGGGGGAGCAGGTGAAACATAAAGTTATCTTTAGCATGATATTGACATAACTAATCCTACCCTTTGAGATCATTCAATGAAAACCCAATTGTGGTAATAAAAAAATCCAAACCGTGGGTTGCTATGGGTAGCACATACTGAATCGAGCATTAAAAAAGGCAAGACAAGGCTGCTAGACTGGTTTTTTTATGTTTTCGTGCAACTTGAGATGTGACCAAATATAGCCCCCCCCCCCCCCCCATGCGAATGGGCCGCACCTGTGAGGCACTCACGATTGCTGGGGGGTGCCCCCCGGGGTATCGACAGCCATCGCCGGCGTCGGGTGAGGTCCAATCAACGCTCGTGAATTACCGGCGCGAGGACCTCAGCAGGGGATGGTTGATGCTGAGGCCGCACTCTTTGAACGCGAACTTTCTCAGCGTTCAACTGTCGGGTTTTGAGAACGGTGGGTCTCGCATTCCCAGGGTCCTGGCCTCACAACCCACCAAATGCGTGCATTGGCGCTTATTTATCAGTACAGTTACTTCCGACTTCAGATATCACCGCTGATTTTAGCTCATGGCCAGGAAACGAACTTGGGTGCAGAGGTCAGTGCACGAATGGCTGTCGCCACTCCACCTCTAGATCTTTGAGGCCTGAACATTTCAAGAAAACTTTAACTTAAAGGCTCCGTCATTATACCAACACGTTTCAGGAAATCTATGCTGTAAAAAAAAGTGCATTCCGTACGCGTGACGGTTTGGTAACAAATATACGTTCTTGTTAAGAAATGCCAATGAAACTAGGTGACATCAATCGAAAATCAATTTTGTATTAAAATTATTCCAGCAAGGCCGGCTGTTGCAAAATGTTTAATGGCTGTGTACCAGAATTCTGTTTGGACGGTGTCCATTCCCCCGATTGTCTACCTGGGGATACACTTCGAGATGAACAGATTCCCCTGAACGTGAAAGCAATTGTTATTTGTGAAAGGTGTCTATTACCCTTCACATTAAGCGTGAACCCCCCCCCCCATTCGTTTTTTCAGTGGCTTTGAGGCAGCATCATTGAACACCCGTGCCTTGGACAAACACCTTCCCCGACACACGCCCAGACGGACGGCACTCTGGGCCACGCCTATGTCTGTGCCATGATACGTGGAACCAGTCAATGTCGGGGGGGGGGGGTAAGCGGAGTGTGGGGGGGGGGAGGAAACCCTGTTGTTAAAGGGCATTCGTGACCACACAAGAAACCCTGGGATGTGCAGTATGTGCTCACTCACACCGAAAACAATGTGGATGGAATCCAACCACGCACCATGCCTCCGTGGACAATTTAAAACGCGATTTGTTCCTTGGTCAAAAAATGTACCTTTGCAGATTGTTTTTTTTTTCTTCAAAATCTGTAAATTGCAAAACTATAGGAACACGGTTGGGTTTTAATGCGGTTTGGTTAAATGTGTCGGTTCATTGCGTAAACACTTGGAACTGGCTACAACGCTTAACCGGTGCTCAAAGTGCCCTGAATCGGCCCTGAGGCTCAGCGGAGAGCAACGCATCTAACGCACGCTTAATTGACGACTCTGCAGAAGACCCTCTCAGTTTCAACTTGCCCTGCAAACCAGTCGCCTATGCTGAACCGCATCGGACCATCACGTGGCACGTTGTGGCCGTCTCCTACACCAATGGACAATTAATAACGGCCTACAGTGCAATTGCGGACACCAAAACCCAAACCATGGGCCACATCGTAACACCTCCGCCAGCTTCGATAATTCACCAGCAGAGTTTAAGGTATTTACTCGACTCCTGTCAATCGACCAACCCCGCGATACGAAAGGAAAATAATTATTAAGTGCGAATTGGCAAAGCATATAAACATTAACATTTTGCGACTGCGCTTGGCTGTACATGTGAAGCACTTACATTGTGGCTTGAGGTTAGTGTTAGCGTTGCACAATGTTGGCCTTTTCAATTAGTCTCTGGTTTCAATTAGGCTGTGGTTTTACATAGCATGTGGTTTTAATTAATTTGTCGTTAAACTATTATAACCCCATGAGTAACAATTATAAAATTGCTTGACAATTGTTCATTCATATTCAGGATTAAGCTTTCAGTTATACTCAGGACTATCCATTGGAGGGGGGGGGGAGTGTGATATCTGAACTTGTTCCGAGTCAACCTCCTTCAGCAACTGGTACTGACCAGCGTGGTAAAGTAAGGTCAAACAACCTCGCATGAACAATATGGAATTGGGGGGGGGGGGGGGGGGGGGGGTGTTTGCCCAACGATGTTGAGAGGCGCGTGCTTGGAATCACTTTGAGAGACGGAAAGAGGAACCGTGGTGAGAGAAGATGGAGACGTTGTAATTGACTGAAGAAAGGTAAGTGGTCTTGGACAGGACGCATCTCTTGAACAGGACACATCTCTTGAAGGGACATTGACCGGTGGGCAATACAAACAATGGGAGTGGCTGCCAACAGAGAGAACGCTTTTGTGGGAACATCCGCCATGGAGATGGAGTGATGGAATCGGCTCGTTTGCAAGTGCCAGGCGGATCATTGCATGGCACGACCTTGAGCGATGGTGACGACGTAGAGAGACCTGTACCCAACACTGCATAGATCATGGCTATGTGTGCATGTTGAACTTCATTCGCACCGTACGTCGTCAACCGTGCTAATCGGAAGTGCGGGGGAAGGACAGCAAACTAAACACAGAAAGCAGTTCGAATGATAATGATGATGAATGGCGTTCAAAAGTTTTTCCATACATAAAACCGGTTAACTTCCTGAAAAAGTAGCCTGGGGGAGCCTTGATCCAGCAATGTATTGATTCATCATTGCTGTTAATGTTGATGCTACCATTTGTTGCCAGGTCGCTTCTGAAAAATAATTATTCACTAAATAGATTTTACCTGGTAAAATAATAAAAAAAAATGATGTTGTTTTCATTTACTTATTTAAAGCTATGTGCTTCCCTTCCCCATACTTTGCACTCCTATAGGGTTATATTTGTATTGTGCATTGTTGTAGCTTTGCAGCTCATCGGATATCTCCAGAATAAATAAAAGATTTCGATTGTGCTCGAGCATGGAAAGCTGTTGGATGGGGAGTGGGGGCCTTAGTTGGGGGCCCAGTGGATGGGGAATGGGGGGGGGGCCTTAGTTGGGGGCCCAGTGGATGGGGGGGGGTGTTCCTCCTTACCCGGCACACCCCTTGCACGCACACGTCTCGGCCGCCCAGCTCGCAGGGCGTGCCGTCCGCCACGGCCTCCGCTTGGCGCACGTAGAAGTTGTGACCGTGCACCATGCAGTTCAGCTCGCATTTATCGCGGGCTGATCGCGAGCGGGCGAACGAGCGAGCGAGGGGGCATGCGCACAACACAGGGGCAACGTGAATGAAACAAGGAAGAAGAAAAAGCCACGCATTACATTTCGCGGATTATGTAACGGCTTCCAAACATTTGCGTTCCATCCTTGTGAAGCGTTCCATTCGCGAAAATGTCGTCGCGTTTTTACGAGCCGCACAACCAAAGGACGTCACACTGAGAGATGATGACATATTTAAGTGACACCAATATACTGTGCACGTGCTTTATGAGATAGCCATGATTAATAATGATTATTTTCAGCCCCATGTCAATCTACTGCTGGATGAAACCCACCTGACTCCCTGTCATTCATGGGAGTTTGTTTGACCATACTTCACCACGCTAGTCAGTGTGGGTTTAGCGAAGAGAGGGCCTAGGGTCTATTCAAACAATCACTCACCGCTGTTGTTATCACTGGAAATTTAACACAGATTTCTGGGTTTATAGCGGAGTGCAGAAACCGGCGCTCCACCTACACGCTCCACTGCATCACACCGATTGTTCGCTACAAAGCACACCACAACAGGCACCTACAAAGGAACCCCCAAATACCATGGTGAAGCAAAACTCACCAAATAAAAATGCCACAGCATTGCTGGGATTGAAAAGGCTAAATAAAAATAAAGGTAAAAAGGTCGGTAAACTTCTTTGGTTCTTTCGGTAAAGTCACGTAGAATGAGAATAAAATAATAAATTGATAAAATAAAATAAAAAAATAAAAATCAAAGTAAAATAAAATAAAAATAAAATAAAATATAAAATAATTCTTCTCATTCTACGTGACTTTACCGAAAGAACCAAAGCAGATGAATCCTTGCAGTCACGAAAGCTTTAAATCGAAATTTAAGGTCGTTAAACTCAAGACCTTCCGCTGGAGGCATTCATTCGAGGCATCGGTTTTATTGATTCTGGAACGATCTCGCCGGCTAATGGAGGAGATTAATGGCTGTAGCTGACGTGGAGATGGTGAAAGGAGGCCAGCTCACGCCGACGCACCTCGGGGTACAGCTGCTCCGCCTTCACCGTTTATAGGAGGACCTTCCCGATGTTAATTTACATCGACTACCGCAAACCCCCAGCAACCTGCACCCTTCTGAATCGATCCCCTGCCACGGCCAATGTCAGGCGGCGAGAGGATATTCGAATTGGCCCCGGGATCAAAAAATACAGCGAAGAAATACCTTCACGCATTGCATTCTCAATCAAAGGGCCCCCAAAATAGTTGGATGCCCGGGGTGAAATGTCAGAGGAGGACATCTTTGAGGCCTGGTGATTCTTTCCGAGGCCCTCTCCTCCCCACCTGCACAACCACCCCCCCCGCCCCTCCGCGTCCCCTTCCCCCCACCGCCACACACAACCCCCATCTCACGTTCACACGACTACTCTGCAGCATGTGACGCGTGCTGTGCGGGGATGCCCCTCATGGCCGTGCGCAGGCGATGGCCGTACCTCCGTAGTAGGGGACCCACTTGTGCCTTCGGCCCTCGAACTCGCGCTGCTCGCGCTGCGCGCACTGCTCCTCGCGGTGCTCGCGCGAGCCGTCCGGGCAGCTCTGCATGCACCACCACGAAGACAAACAAAAAGACAAAGATCCGCCTCATAGCCTTAACAGACTGTTGGGGAAAGTGCTGTTAGTGAGCGCCTATGAATGAGGGGGTGGGCGGCCAACGCCACGCTCGGACGCCTTGAGCTGCTGATGTGTGACGCTGTTTTATACTCCGCACCAGGCACTCATTTATGGCTGAGTAAACCTGGGGGAGGACCAGGAACAATTATATAGTTGTCATTGATGTTGGGCGTGAGTGGGAATGAAACTCTGCTAACCACGTTCTTAGCGCTCCCCGCACACACACAGACGCGCGCACAGCGGCAGTGAGATTTATCTTTCAGTTTTTTAGTTTTCAGTTTATTTTGGTATAGCCCTGTGAGCCATTCGGCTCTTCAATCGGGTGCAACCACAACAAACAAAAAAAACAAAAACACGAACAAGAAAAACATCTTAAAGTGACACGAAACATTGCACTTGGATGTGTTGTCTCTCTCTCTATGCCTCTCTTGTGAGTTCTCTTCTCGAGTGCGGGTCCATGGTATAAGCTCCCTTCATCTTACCCAATCCACCGAGCCTCTCTTCACCTCACAACTCATCACCATTGCTCGGGTTCTTGAGCCATGATGAAGGAAGGATAGTCCAGGTGGCTTCCCATTGCCTCTCCTCTCTCAGCATTGGTTTTTGTTTCGGGTGACACTATCATGGGACAGAGTTTAACGTTATACCCAGGACACACTTTGAATGTATAAAGGGTGACAAGAGAACTGTAGACGTAAAGGAAGCATGCCTAATCAGAGAGTGTTAAGAGGAGTTTACAAAAAAAACATGAGGGGTTAAAGGCTACAGGCAAGAGAGAATTGCGATGATATTGTGGTTGAAGTGCATGGGCAGACAAATCACGAAGAAGCCTATAACCAAATTACCCAGAGGGCACTCATCACATCGCAGAAGCTAAACGAGACTGAACTTGGGGAGTGCTTGGACGGGGAGACCATCGTCCATAAAGCAGGTGCACAGCAGACTGCTGCAGGGCAATATCTTCAGCAGGGGGCAGTGCAGCAAAAACATCTATTGTTGTACTGGTCTCCTATGTCCCCACATCTATGCTCCCTGTCATTCATCAGCCTCCAGGACCCCCACGGCCCGGGGAGGTCGTCATCCAGCAGTGAATTATTGACAAAAGGGCTGCACACGCACAGAGAGAGAGAGATAGCCACGGTCGCGGGCAGAAGAGGAAAGTCCTGATGTTGAACCGGAACAGCAGCAGAGTGTCAGCCGTGTCGAGATTTATGTCTGCGGGGGAAATAATATAACAAGTCGCGGCGCAGAACAGGTCACACAGCTCGCCGCTCTACACTACACTGCTACTCAGCTCTAAACGAGATCGTTGCCTGAATCTGTCGCGAGGTACTGTTACCAGAGCAGCAAGTACGAAAGGCACCGGTTTGTCAAAGAGAAATGCAAAAGGATGATTTTGAACACGAAGGGAGGGGGCAAAATTAGGAATCAATATTTTTGTTACAATTCTGTGATCAAATAACCACCCCCACCCCATACTATCAGCCGCCAAAGATCTCCACTCTGTGGGTGGTCCGAATCCAGCAGTGGATTGACAACAGGGCTCTCACTCGTGCACGTGTTCAGGTGTAACGTGGACTGGGGGCCATTCACGCGGCCGCCATTGAGAAGTGGAATATTTCGTGTACTTTTTTCAAGTCGAATTTCCCGTTCATGTATTTTAGCGAGTTGACTCAACGTGCTGTTCACCGCAACATAATTGTTTCTCTTCAACGGCCACTGCTGACGGGCCATGTGCCGTGATTTACGCGTTGGTTTTTTTTACGGTGGCTTCCCCAATTGTAATAGTCTGTGACTTGATGAAATTCGTTGCGTGTAGTTTATGTCTTAACGTAGCACGTGTTTCACGCCTCCTTCAATCGATTAATTTGATCAAATATAAAGGGTCGTATCTTGATTTGAAGCTTTCGCAACTGCAGGAATTCATACTCTTTGGTTCTTTCGGTAAAGTCACGTGGTAGGTATAAACATAAATAATAGATCACCACGTTTCGATGAGCAATGAAAAGCTGTTGTTGCCATCGAAACGTCGTGAACTATTATTTATTTTTCTGTCTACGTGACTTTACCGAAATAACCAAAGAGTATTAAGGGCCGTGTCCACTTTTATCCTGTTTGTGAGTAGGCAACTAATTTTGGAAAGATATACATTTTCCCCTGGCCTATCGATTTTCCAAATAACTTTTTACGTGACTAAATGAAACCTATTTGAATACAAAAACGAATCGCAAACCAGGTAAAGGAGTACAGACTGCTACCGGGGGGTGGGGGAGGGAATACCTTCCACCTAACAGCGGTAACAGTCCAGCATTATTCCCTCTTATCGATGCAAGCACTGCCATAGAGCTCCTTCATCGAGTGCCCTTTAACATGAATTGGAAAACACCGCCCCTTGACAGTGAATTCGTTTCCACATCGCCACCCCGCACCCAGCTACTACCACCCAGCGGTGCTGCTATGAAGCAGGCGGTGCAACTGCACCGGTAGCACGTGGGTCGAGAGGGGCCCAGGTGCTGGGCTACGAAGAGAGAGAGCGAGGGAAAATACCCAGGAGGCCACTTTTCATTGCTCACACTCGGGGCCCATGCCAGAGCCATGCCGAGGTGGCACTGTACCCACTGGATTCTTGTTTTCATGCGCCGAGCCAAAAACATCAGTGAAATAAAGCAATGCTTGCCCCTGTGGTCCTGAAGAACTGTTAGAGGGGCCCTTTTGTCCTTCCTTTGACAACGCATATATATATCCCTTTCCTCACTTCGAGAACTGCAATAAAGTCTTCCACAAAGCGCGGCACACAAACGCGTCCGATTTGGATTCATTTCATTTCAATCCTCACGACCGGAATGTCCCTCCTCACCTCCGTGTTGCACAAAGCGTACGTCCTTTCTGACCCCGTGCAGTCCGAGCCGACATTGTTCCTGCGAAGGAACGAGAGAGAGAAACGTTTCCAGCTCCGTAAAAATCACCGCCTACACATTGACACACGGGAAAATCCTCCGCGGGAATTTATCGCCCCTATAAAAGGCGTTACATTTCTTAAAAGAACTTGACTGGTGACGTGGGGCGGTGGGGGAAAAAGGGGGGCACAGTGCCAAGGTTTTGACCAAACAAAGGGCAGCAGAAGTCGGCGGTACACAGCCTTCTCTTGTGCTCTGCGTGAGCACGCATTTGGAGCCGAGGGCGCCGCCTCTTTGGCAGTGAAAGGCGAAGGAGGGTTGTGAATTCATCTGGGAAGTGTTTTCAGAGTCACGCGCTGGGCGAGCGCCCACGCGGCAGGGCCGTGAGGCCCGGGCACGGAAGGACGCCAGGTGTCAAAACAAACACGACCCACCGTCACGAGTCCTCTCTGCGCCCTTCCTAAAGCCGTTCGCAAAATCTGATAACGAGAATTCGAGCGCAAACGTTCGGCAACGATAGTTGTGCACTTTGTCTGGCCCAGGAGGCCCAGGGTGAAGTTTGCCTGCGTGTGGCCTGCCAATGTACAGGAGGCCTCTGCGAGGAAGAAGATACCAAATCGTGTGGCATTATGCTACCACTGCGACGATCACAATCGCCAGAAATGCGCCCCATCTTGTCGCTCCTCGAAAATAAAGCACAGTTGAGCCTGGGTAGTGCTTGGATGGGCGATCACCATGGATAAAAGCAGGTGATATAGGCTGCGGGGCTACATTGGTGGGGCAGCAGTGTTGCTGTGCTGTGCTCACACCTTACCTTCACCAACCCACGCTGATCGGTGTGGTGGAGTGTGACCAAATAACCACCACGACCCGCGCCGCGTTGGCGAGACCCTCATCTCAGGGATGCCACCTCTGAGGCACAACAAAAAAGAACTGAGACCGGCGGAGGGGAAAACTGCACTTAGCTGACAAAAACCTGGGACCTTTGCCGATTCATTTTTTTTCTGAGACGGCTCACAGCTTTTCAAGGACAGCTACTTCATAAAGAGGACAATGCAAAGAAATGCAGAACAGGTGGCAACTGTAGCCTCATCCGGCAGTGGGCTGACAAGGGCGCTGTAAGCTCGTACATGTACAGAGCCGCCACTGATGGGGCCGAGAGTCCATTCGACCGAGGAGGGCGACTGAACAAGCCAGCACAGATGCTTGGTGCATGACGACGCCTGAGTAACATCGGTTGCAAGTAGCTTGATAGCAAAGACAATTATATATTTTTTTAAACGAAAATTCTCCTAGCGTCCAGACCACAATTTAAGATGGCTCAAGGATGTAAGAATGTGCCTAAGCGCTGGGTGTGGCACTTTTGTGGCTGTCTCTGTTGAACCATAAAATTCCACGCTTAGCCTCCACATCAAATGAGAAAAACAAATCTATGTCTGGGCTCGAATAAAGCAGGCTCGCGGGCAGCCAAACGCGGCAGGTGAAAGCGACGCTTTGTCAAGCGCGAGGAAGCCTCGATTCCATGTTCATATGTCGTCCTACGCGTGGGGACGGTGCATCACGTTATATCGACGATCGGCTGATCGATACGTTATCTGGTGTAACTCTATCGCTGGCCGGTGTGACTTGTTTTCGTTCACGGACACCAGCCCGTTTAACACTAAAAATATACGATTGACAGTTGGGGGGTGGGGGGGGGAAGAGACCACGTAAGGATGGGATGATGGCTGCGTTATTTCGAATGTTGTCAGGCCGCATACGTAATTACATTTCAGGCTATTTCAAAATAATCAAGAAACAAAACATACCCGTGATGCTTAAACCAAAAGAATGCAATTTTTCACCACTGTGACATATTTTTGTTACCTAATGCCAACACTCCAAGCAACTTGTTCAAACATTGTCTTCCCCCCCCACCACCACCGCCCCACCACCGCATGTGTGTCATCAAGCATGCTGCGTTCACAAAAATAATGAAAGATTCGTTGCACGAAATAAATGAATTAATTTGCAGTATACCGGTGGCAATGCCCCCAGGTGTCCATGCCTTAAAGCTGGCATCGTCATGCATTGGTGTTATCTGCAACATTTGCTTAACACAATTCAAGTGAATGTGTCCAATAATAAGAATGACGTCTCACTGCTAGACATGTTTGAGATTTCTCAATTCTCTTTGAGCAATCTGAGGCAGCAAGGCGTCAGTGGGAGGCGGTGTGGCAAGTTGGTTGCTAGCCTATCCATGCTAATATCTAAACATTCTTCACTAGTACGCATATCAATTTTGATTTAAAGCTTTCGTGACTGCAGGGATTCGTATTCTTGGTTCTTTCGGTAAAGTCACGTAGAAGGGAAACAATAGAATAATAAAAATATAGAAATATAAAACAAATACGCATATATTTCCTTTAACATGTAAAATGTGCAATGTCTACAAGCAGGACCTTCTTGAAAGGTGTTCTTGGGACTCCTTCCTAAGTAAAAAAAGAAAATTCACTTTTGCAAATAACCATTATTTACCTACAATATGGCCATTCACAAAAAAAAACTATTTAAAACTGGGATGAAATAAATAGTTGTATCTATAGACTTGCTTCAGTTCCTGTGACTAAATCAGTTCATGCACAGGTGCCGGATGGATTGTTGTATCACAGCATCGCGAGAAGTGGAGGCGGCTTGGAGGGGCCTTCATCCAGCAGTGTACTGATCACGACTGATGATGATGATATTAGACAAGCTTCCAGGGCATCCCACCAACCTTGCCTTCCATACAATCAGAGGCTCATGCTTATCTTAGTTTTCATTCTCGAGTAATACGGGGAATTATTGACACAACGTGTTTCAACAATTAATTCACAACCAAAACTTGCTTTTATTTTTTTATTTGAAAAAACCATAGATAGTATGTATCTAATCATTCCCTCATTTTAGAGAATTTAAAATGTTTATGTTTGAGCATTAATGTGATGATGGCGCTTTGAGTGGCAGATTTGTGCCAGAAAGACACCCCACGTGTACAAGCAAAAATAAAATTGACTTGACAATCAAAACTATGAGCATGATGATGAAAAAAAAACTGTACTTCCGGCCATCCTTCAACCGATGTGTCCGGCGAGCAATCACAACCAAATCGCTTCATTACAATGTTGCACTTTGAGAAGGGTAATTTCTGTTGATTTTCGGGGTATTGCGCATCGTTCTCGGAGCGTTTGTGTAGTGGTAGCACACACTTAGCCGTGTGAACCCGCCTGACTGATGGCCTCCGCTAACATTAGCGGCCAACCTTCATGAACCGGCCCTCACCAGCGTGGGTAAGGTATCGTGCGTGGGTGTAGACATGGTGAGAATTGACAATGGGCTGTAAATTATGAAATGTACTTCACAGCTATAATGCTTATCTGGATGGGTGGTGCTGAGCCTGTTATAAATATTTTATTCTTATCGTGATAATAACATCATTATCGCGCATTTTCCAGACGGGGTGTATCGACAAAGGGCTGAAATTGCTTATTCTTGTACTCTTTGCGATTATAAAGCCATTCGTGGAATAATAAAACATGTTTCAATCAATCTTGTCATGATGAGATTAGCTAAATAAAGTGTCCTCTTATCCCAACATCACATGGAAAACTTGACTCTTTAAAACATTTAAATAATAGTGCTCAGCGGGGTGCTGTGAGCCAGGTTAAGCTTTGGCGGTGATCTCCCCCTCGCCAACTGGACACTTCAATTTTGACTTAAAACTTTTGTGACTGCAGGAATTCATATTCTTTGGTTCTTTCAGTAAAGTCACGTAGATAGAAATATAATAATAAAAATAAAGTGAATACAAATAGAAATTATAAAAATAAAATTAAAATAAGAAAAAACACTAATGTAGACTGTAGCCTGGTTCTTAGTTGGAGTGAGTGTACTGGCAGTCTATAATGTAGACTGTAGCCTGGTTCTTAACCTCGGTGAGCGTACTGACAGTCTATAATGTAGACTGTAGCCTGGTTCTTAACCTCGGTGAGCGTACTGACAGTCTATAATGTAGACTGTAGCCTGGTTCTTAACCTGAGTGAGCGCACTGGCAGTCTATAATGTAGACTTATTCTTTATTTCTTGTATTACTGAAAGAACCAAGAATAAGTCTACATTATAGACTACCAGTACACTCACTCCGATTAAGAACCAGGCTACAGTCTGCATTCATGTTTATTTTTATTTTTTTATTTTTTTTTATTTTCGTAAATTTTTTTTATTCACTTTCTCTTTTATTATTTTTTCTATCTACGTGACTTTATGGAAAGAACCGGCGCACATGAACTGTACACTTCCTTCTCCGGGGGCACACGCCTCACACCCCTCACCTGCGAGGGTGACACGGACTCTGGCGGAACATGATTCCTCCGCCGCAGGTGCGGCTGCACTCAGACCAGTCGGTCGACTGCGATCTATCGTCGTACTGATGGAAGAAAAACAGAGGATGTAGTCACACGTGTAGCACAGCAATCGGAGGAGGAGGAGGGCGTGGGGGGGGGTGGAAGTGGAAAGTCGCACGCGTCTGTGGTTGTTAGGTGAGCATGCGTACACTTACGCACGCCAGCTCGGACAGCATTCTGCGCCAGGAGCTGCTAATTGTGCTGCACTATGAACCCGGCCACATGAGTGAGATTCCTTGTCCATGGCTAAATTAAGCAGTGTTATTGATTTAAGTGTTGAGTTTCCCCTCACCCCCCGCACCCCCCCCCCCCCCCCCCCATAGTTATGCTGGCTATTGACAACATACATGTGAAATTTCCACAACTGCCAGAGGGCCCCCATCTGAAATGAGCTCTGGCACGTTGCTCGTTTGAGCAGGTGTAGACAAATGTGCCTATTTTTTTTTTATAACAGCGGCTGATTAATTTTGTATAGATGTCAATGACTAACCAAATCCTTCTACGATGCCTGAAATTTCTGTCCGCACACGATCACGACATTATTCTCAAATGAGTCATATCTTGTGAGCTACTGTGCAGTTTTACAGAAAATGTCATGGGATTTATTTTAATCCGCACGATTTTCCCAATTCTGTACCATAATGCTCGTTAATGCGCTTGTAAAAGTACATCGTGTACTTTGTTCGGAATTACTGAGGCAAACGTAAAAAAAAAAATACAGTACATTATCAATTTCGAGTGACGGCTAATAACAGCGACGAATGTTGTCCAAATAGATCCTGGGCAGTCCCTTCACCAACCTGCACTGACCGGTGTGGTGAAGTATGATCAAACCATCCCCATGATTGAAAGCCGTGAAGAGTCTCGCACCCAGCAGTGGATTGATAAAGGGTTCTACTTTTTTAAATATATATTTACTCGGGATAAGTAACTGGTCAAGAGCAATACAGAGCACTGCTTATAAAAAATTAAGTATTATTCGAATGTATGTGACCCATTCTGGGCTTTGATAGACTATAATATTTACACGTATAGTGTCTCTCCCCAGTAAGTATGCAGTACATGTGAATAGATCTTGACAACAGACATTAAAATCAATGAAAAGTAACACATAGCCACAACCTCTTCCCCGTTCTTTGTCTGCTAGTCGGTGAATAACTTAATATCACACTGGATAATGAATGGACTCTTGTGAACAATTCACGTGAAATTCACCAGATCTCATCAAGGTCTCAAAAGGTAAGCAGGCTTGAGACTTCATAGTGTTCGGATCGGTGACCGACATTAAATAAGTCAGATGCTGCGAGTATACATTGTGGGCATTAGAGTCCACTACAACAATATCCATTATTGTACTGTACTTCTATACCCCCAGGTCTATGCTCCTTGCCGTCACCGAATTTGCACTATGCAGCGTGGTGAAGGATGATCAAATTACCCCCAAGAACCGTATGGCATGGGGAGGCCCTCATCCAGCAGTGGATTGACCAAACAATAAGTGTCACTGACGTTCAATCAGCGATGTGGAAATTTTGACTGCACCCGGAGTTGGGATTGTTCTTTACATTTATATCCAGGATAGGCACGTGAGAAACAAGGCCCATTAACCCCCCTCCCCCATCCCCCAATGAGCAGCAGGGCTCCCCTAATTTTTGTGCCCCCTAATCAAACGCAGCTCCTCACTGAGGCTAGTGAGGTACTCGAGTTCAATAAAAAAAATGACATCACAGCCATTACTGTATGTGCTATTGACTTATTGTTGATGCCATCGCAGCTTGCCATCACTCCCTTCCTTCTGCCGGATTCCACAGCAGTAATGCTTTCGGCACGTGAGCTCCAAGGTCTGCTTCGCTTTTGCAGGCTCTTCCAACCTCAATGGGTTCACACCGAGGATGAGGATGTGAGTGCCGCTCCACCAAACGAGGTGGTGCCTCCCTCGGTACTCCTGTGTGTTTACCTGCATCCGTGTAATATCGAGATCGTGGTTTTAAATGTGCAGCTGGTAACACTCACCGGCGACGCTGGAGAGACGGGGGCAAGGTAAAGTAGAAAGAGACAGGCCACGATAACGAGCGCAGGCACGGGCTCCATGGCTGGGCTGGTTCGATGCCACGTTCCTACATCAGACACGCGCATAAAGACAAAGATACCCCATAGAGTCTTTAACAGACTGTTGGGGCAAGTGCTGTCCGTGAGCACCTATGAGGGCCGGCACCACACACGAGTTGGTGGGTGGCTAATACCACGCCTGGCCGCTTTTTTCTCCTCAGTTCTGATGTATTACACACCACAGCATGTACTCATATGAGGCTGAGCCGATCTAGGGGAGGCACAGGACTGGTTCAAATATTCGAGAATCAAACTCGGGTCACCAGGTTCATAGCGGAGTGAGAACCACTACACTTCCAGTCCCCACACACAGACATGCGCGTACTGTAACACCTTAAGCAAAACACACCACCTTGTAGCAGTGGCGTGGTGTGGTTGATTAACAAGGGCCCTGCTGCAAATAATTAAATGGGGCCCCTGTCTAATTCTTCCCTCTTAGTAGCCCAGCAACCGGGCCCCCTCTGGTCCATGGGCCAGGGTGCAGTTGCACTGCCTGCACACTCGATAACTATTCCACTGCATTGTAATAACATGGAACAATATACCACAGTTGAACTAGGAGGTTTTACATTACTACAATATGGCATTGTCCCTTTATTTAGCCTTACAGATTTTCCAAATGGATTTAAAGAGCTGTAATGGAATTTAATGGGTTAATCTAGCGATTATATTTTTTTATGGAGGTCATATTCAAGATGTTTGGTCATTAACTATTTGGGTACAGCATTTTATTTTCAACCTTGGTCAGCACAACCTGCCATGGTCTTCGTGGAGGGATCTTGCCCCATAACATCAGGCAGCCCAGCAGCATTTATTTAAGAGGCACACTCTGCTGATGAGACTCAGAAGATTGAAAGCCACTTAAACCAATACGACATCAACAGCATTCAATAGATAGCTATTTTAAAGAGACAATTAAAGGCCCCCTATTTCCCATGGCTTTTGAGTGGCATTAACCTTGGCTTCATACCTCAGAATCATGGTCATTAATGTCTGGGAAATTCGTGCGTGTTACAAATTGTATAATTATTATGTTGGGCTGGACAGCCTATAGGCTAAAATCTCATTTACATTTATGTGGTTTTTAAAACAGATACTGTACTCGTTATGTTGAACATTTTTTTTTATTACATCCCACTGCTATTGTTTAGCTGTCCGAATGATTTATAGGACAGGTTGATGGTGATGCACGTACCTCTAATTCAGATAGTCTGATACTTATATTATTTGCCTAAAAGGGCATCCTTAGGAACGCCTTGTCTTTTGAAATCAAACTGATCATTACATATTGTCTGACGACTTTTAACCTGAAGTACACCACCAATAATCCTGTGTTAGGCTGGATGTATCTCGAGTGCAAACACATTCAAGTACAGTGTGTTTGTGTGTTTGCATGTTGATTCCTTGACATGGGAGCCTGTCCTGGCCGTTAATTGAAACAAGTAATGTTCTTGGCACAGTGCGCGCTAAATATCAACAATGGGGAGTGAAAGGTGTACCGGGCGTGGATGTGAACAAAACAACCCACTCGTCTCACACTGGCCGTCTACTCACGAGCAGGCACTCATCCTACGGTATATTCTGCCATGTTTCGCAGTCCTAAACCAAGTCTACGCCCGAGCGACCGGTTTGCTTAACTGCTTGCAACTAACTGGTCACAGAGACGTCAACACGTAAGCGATTCAGTTCCATGCAACCAAGTTGAGCAACATTTTCACGGCTATCTTGACGGTTATTGCACTGCCTCGATTACATTGAACGTGTCCATGAATGTGTCACCGTGAGGACAAATTCCATTGAGTTCTACCCCCGTGTAGACAGCCACACTGCTGCTTGAGAGTGAGGACACTCGGCACAAGCCGCCAAGACAGTAAACAACAATTGGCTTTTCATTTGAAATGCACACAGACTCACCCTCGCCAGAGAAGTGTGGGATTTACACCACTCGCTCTGGTTTCACCAACTGAGATGAGCACAAACCCAATGCCTCGCGTGAGCATTTTTCATGAAGATATTACAAACACAGCTGCGTTTTTAATGGGCACCAAACGTCTGAGGGTTGGCTATAGAATTTTATATTAATCACCAGCAGCAGCATCATCTATCATGATCAGTTCATTGCTGGATGGAGCCCTCCCTCACCCAGCCAAACCATCCGATACGATATATCACGATCCTGTGTGAAATAATAATATTATAACAATCATCTGGGACGCGTTGCCGTGCCATATATCGCTTGCAGAACAAATCACCATGCGTGCCAAAAGGTGTGGTGGTGCGAATGCGAAACAATGTCACAGTTTTTCTTTGTATAGTTTGTGTCTGTAGTGATGGGTTTTCTCGCCCTTTGGACATTTCAATTCCACATTTGCATATAAAACACACACATGGTATTTACTAAATAACAGTAAAAACTCGGATACGGTATTTTGGAATGAATAACAATGCCCAATTGTTTGTTCAGGAAAGCCTCACCGAGGCTCAGGAGAATATTTCGGTGAAGTCCTGTTCGGTAAATATAATCCAGGTTTCCCTCGCTTCATGCGGGTTCGGTTTGTGCGATTTTGCGTATATGCGGATAACTATTTTTTCTGACTCAAAATTCGTTATATGCGGTTTGATTTCACTCACATGCGGCTACGCAGTCGGACGTGAGACGACGTTGTGCGTGCATTGTACGCGCGACTCGGCAGGGAGCTGTCTCGTGCCGTTTCGCTGTGCGGGCACTTTTTTGGGAACGCATCTACTACCGCATACAGCGAGGGAAACCTGAATGCCATTGTAGCATAGTAAACAAGAATCCTAATGATGAGTCCAATTACAGTACCCAGCTAAATATCTCCGAGTCTCAGGACGTTTTAAAGGTTCTGTAATCGCGCGCACACGCGCGGCACAACCAATGTAACCTAACTCTAATTTAACACATTAAGAACGACTGTGTCACTCCACTGCTGGATGAAAATATTCCCACGTCATGGGGGAGGGGGGGGGGAGGTGGTTTGTCCATACTTCACCACACCGGTCAGTGTGGGTTGTTGAAGGAAGTGCCCATGCAGAATCACCCGCCACTGATGTCAGCCGTGGCTGGGGGAGCAGAAGTCGAACCAGGACAGTTGGTTCGTTCGTAGCGCAGTAAGACACTCACTGCGCCACCACTCCTCCCCAACACACGTATAGCATCACGACAAAACTAATAATAACAACAACAACGCTGTCCATTGTCTCGCCTAGGAAATCCTCAAGGAGGAGTCCAAGGACTCATTTTGAGGACCGTCCCGATAAAGAGTCGACTGCGTTTTTAAATAAAATAAAAAGCTACCTGCGTACAAAGTCGATGTCAGCAGCATCACGGGGCAATCTGAACGCAGCTCGCGGCACGCAACACACGCGTGCGTAATTCAAGCCACAGGTGTGAGCGTTACTTGCGTGTGCGCGTGGGTAACAGGAGAAGAGCAGTCGGAGTAAAGTTCCCAAACCTCTGTGTCTTTCTTCAGCTCAACTTGAGAGGCGCTCGAGTGGTGGAGGTTCGCGTCGGTGTCGACCTTGCTCTCTCCGCCTCTCTCTCTCTCTCTGTTGCGCCGTGAAGTTGTGACTTCGGGACAGGGAGGATCCCCTGATTTATTTAAATAAAAGGTTACGCGATGCGTGATGTGACTCAGTAGGAGGAACGGGGAGGAGGAGGCAGGCAGGGGTGGTGATGCTGTTGGGTGTTATTGGTCGGAAGGTGTCGCGGTGGAGGCGCTTGTTGGGAAACATTTCCTGGCAGACGAACTCACTCTTGGACAGGGGTCGGCAACCTGCGGCTCTTTAAGGACTGCAGTGGGGGGCACAGTTCACTGTGGCAGTCCAGCATGGGAGTCCAGTTTACTATGAGAGTCCAGTTCACCATTGGAGTCTAGTTTACCATGACAGTCCAGTTTACCATGGGAGTCTAGTTCATCGTGGGAGTCCAGTTTACTATGAGAGTCCAGTTCACCATGGGAGTCCAGTTCACCGTGGGAGTCCAGTTTACCATGGGAGTCTAGTTCATCGTGGGAGTCCAGTTTACTATGAGAGTCCAGTTTACCATGGGAGTCCAGTTCACCATGGGAGTCTAGTTTACTATGAGAGTCCAGTTCACCATGGGAGTCTAGTTCATCGTGGGAGTCCAGTTTACCATGGGAGTCTAGTTTACTATGAGAGTCCAGTTCACCATGGGAGTCTAGTTCACCATGGGAGTCCAGTTTACCATGGGAGTCCAGTTTACTATGAGAGTCCAGTTCACCATGGGAGTCCAGTTCACCATGGGAGTCTAGTTTACCATGAGAGTCCAGTTTACCATGGGAGTCCAGTTTCCTATGAGAGTCCAGTTCATCGTGGGAGTCCAGTTTACCATGGGAGTCCAGTTTACTATGAGAGTCCAGTTTACCATGGGAGTCCAGTTTACCATGGGCAGGGGTCGACAACCTGCGGCTCCGGAACCGCATGCGGCTCATTCAGGACTGTGGCCTAAAATAAAATAAAATGTTTCGCTCCGGATGACCGCTGCAAAGTATTCTGTATTTTTATTTAGTGTGCTGATCTTAAAGGTGCATTGAAAAATGTGATACTCCAACTGATGCTCCTGTTGTTGTGGAGTGACTCATGCAGCCAGCTATGGCTCCAGGGTTTGGTGTTACATGATATTTATGTCGTTTATTGTTAAAAATTCGGTCACAGTCCCTATGATCGCTGTTACATTGCATTTATGACTTTAGTTTGGTGATTTCAAAAAGTTTTTTGGTTTGGCCATGTTTTGGTTTATTGTCGTACAGAGTTAGACGGATGGCCTTAATCTAAATTGTTTTGTGGTTGTTGTTTGACTTGCATCCCACTGGGATTTTTGCACACAGCGTTGGTGTACGGTGCTTTTTCAGGAATATTTTGATGTTTTTTTCCTGGATTTTCTGTTTGCACAGTGACATAGTCACTTTAAGATGTTTTCTTGTTCATGTTTTTTTTTGCCATTGCACCCGATTCAACAGCCGAATGGCTCACAGGGCTATACCAAATAAATGGAACTATGGAACTATGTTACGTGACGCCGTTCAGGACCACCGTCTCGTATTCGCACGCATTGCGACTCTTGAAGGGGTTTTTTTCTTACTGAAATTGAAAAAAAAATCGCTCTTGTTGTTTGGGTTCCCGACCCCTGCTCTAGCCTGTGCTAAGAAGAATAACCGGTTCCCGAAACGTCGCCTATATTTTATTTCAGGCAGTGTTATTGACGAATGTTGTTTTCGATTACAGCCGGGCGTGGCGACTCACAACTGTGACCCAGCGCTTTGGAGGAACGAGGTTGGTGGATCGTCCTGAGATTTGTTAAGGATATGCGAAGTGGCCAGGAGATGTCAGTACAGCAAGTGGGATCGTCAACCCGCACGTACGGTCTTTTTGAGTGTTATGACCTTATCAGCGAAGTGGGGGTTCTCAAGGTGCTCCGGTTGCTTCCATCATACAAAACCCGCTCCTTAAACTAGAATTGGCCAAACCCTCCCAACGCAGGACCCTCCTGAAAATCCTGAGACTCAAGTGAGGCTTTCCAGAACAAAACACATTCTCACAATTGTCCGATTCTCTTCGATACACCACCCTCCGCTCATCATCAGAAATGATCTACCCACTGCTGGATGAAGGCCTCCCCAAGGTGGCACCATCCCGCAGTCTTGCGGTGCAAGAAATCATGTAGCTCCTGCAGAGATGTTGTCGCCACCTCTACCACGGTGGATGTACTCTCGGGTGTGCTCCCGCCTTTGGCTGCCATTGCATCAAATCTCGCCGTGGAAATGCGGAATTTCCACTGATTGAAATTCCACATTCCTATGGAGGGTGCTTGTCCATCCAGAGGACAACCACCGCTGACTTCCCAAAAAATGCTACTTATTTTTTCGACCCGAGTAATGAGGCACAAATAAGCTAAAGTACTGTAAATTAAATATAACCACAGCTAAAGGAGGGAACACACTTGAATGGACATCAGCCACAAAGCTGGAGCGATGAAATTAGCTCACGTGCAGGAGCGAGATAGATTGTTGCATCGCAGGGTCGTGAAATGGTGATAACTTAGAGACCTTCATCCAGCATTGGGTCGATCATGGTCGATGATGACGCACTCTTTCACTTTTTATTGGTGGCCTAAATTAAATACACATGCACAGATGCATAACAACATCGCACCAAGCAGCATTGTTTACCCAATAACAATAACTCGTGGCCTCTCCATGCTCAACAGCTGTTTATGTCTTACACAACTGCCAGAGAAAGCCGCTGCTCCCGATCCATGTGGTTCCCATTTGCCAAGACACCTCGGTTGGTAAAGGGGGCAAGCTCCCAAAGTTAAACACCAGTTCAAGTCCAGGCCAGGGTTGACTCGGCCCATTGTAATTGTCACACCTCCGCAGCAATTCCATCGTCGAGCGAGTCAAAATCCCGTGAACCTCTTACACACAATGCATTTATGAATCGAAAGACATTCTCACGGGACACCACACAGGTGTAATGACCGAATATTTACCCCAAGCCATATGATGAAAAATAAACAAAGGTCTCCGATTGGAAGAAAGAGGCCTCCACGGTGATTGGTCGGGAGGCAGACTTTAAAGGGAGTGCAGAATAAGAGTCGAACGGAAAAACAAAAAGGATCCTTTAATGACAGGGATTGGCGAGAGGTAAAAACAAGGACAAGAGAAACAATAAAATAATAAAAATATAAAACAATAAAATTCTCACGTTTCGACTGCAACAATCATCATCAGGTGTGAAAACCACAGCAAGAAAATTTGAAAATCACAGCAAGAAAATTTGAAATTTTCTTGCTGTGGTTTTCACACCTGATGATGATTGCTTGTGTTGCAGTCGAAACGTCGTGAGAATTTTATTGTTTTATTATTTCCCTTCTACGTGACTTTACCGAAAGAACCAAGAATGAGAATTGTTTTATATTTTTATTATTTTGTTTCCCTTCTACGTGGTGACTTTACCGAAAGAACCAAGAATAAGGACAATAAGGTTCGAGAAAGACGGCTGAGGGAGATAAAAGTGAAGAGCACGAGGAGTGTGGACGTACGAAGATACAAGCTGTAAGTCAAGCAGGAAGCCTTGGGTCCCTTATTGTGGACGTCTTCTAATAAAGGTGTCTCTTTATAACTTGTCGTTAAAACGGGTAGAATTATCAGCTTTGAGAATGAATCTGACGGATCCATCATTACGTCTCAATTTACGCTCGAGTCCCTGCTCAAATAATCATCGGTGGAGGGGCAGAGGGCGATCGCCCCAATAATCAGCCCATAGCAAGGAGTAGAATTTTCACATTTGTCTAAGATGGGTGCCCCTGTGGTGGTGTACAAGTGGTACAACTAAACCAGGGCTCATGGACCAGACAGGTGCAGCATCAACAACACAGACCGAGTGAAACAAAAAGCGCTTTATTGCAAGTCATATCAGTGCAACTTGAAGCGTAATGCCTATCTAATTCGTTACTTCTACAGGAGTAGAGACACTCCTTCACCACTACAACTACAAGACCATAGGCATTTCAGAGCCACAACAGCAGAGGCCATTGAAGTGGGTGGGGGGAAAATGGGCTGTTTTTCCGATGATGGCCTGCAACGTGTTACTTTGTAAGCGGCGAGTATACATGGAAAGCGTGCTCCAAAAAAGGTACAAATGTGTAACAAAATAAGCATGAAAACACAAGCAAGTGTAAATAATTTGGAGTTGTGAAAATTAAAACGGCTTGTTTTTGCTTTGTCTGGGTTTTTTTTTGTAACAGTAAGCAGTTCTTACAGGCAAAGGATTTTTGACGAAACCTTCAATCGATGTTAAAGAGCGGATGGCAGATCGGACAAAAGTCGACTTAAGTACACGTGCTGCATGCAGCATTGTTCTATAAAATGAGACGAAGTCTCAAGGATGAAAATGGACTCCACTGAGCAGCATGACCTGCACAGATTATCCAAAGACTCCCAGAGAACACGTCACTCAGTCTCGCGGGGAAGTCCTCAAAGCACAAAAGAAAGTGAACATAAGCTTGGATTGGAGAAAAAACCCTTCTCATCCTATTCTTGAGCTTGTGCAATGGATACGAATCCACAGGGGCTGTGCGAGATGGGCAATGCACGCATCCGCCAACACAGCGAGCAACGATAACGTTTATATCACCCACGTTTCCACATATGCCCGTCAACCCACGGGTCAGACCTTTTCGCACCATTACACTGTATTGGTGAGGGGTCATGACCGTCACGCACAACTTCAGTACAAATGAGCCAACATTTTACAACACCAGTACCGCACTGCTGAAAACCACGTTTCATCCAGTTCCTAGCATTTACACAGCAGCATCTGCAAGGGGATTGTACAGGCCACAAACTTCAATCATGTGACAAAAATGCATCTGCATGCTTCTCAAATCCAGCTGTTAACCTGTAATGTAAACGTGCATCATATGTTAAGTTTTTGCCAGTGCAGGAAAGTTACCTTTAAAGTGAAATTTGTAATATAGAGACAGTTTGCAATCGATGCATTCCCATTGCATTTTATTTTCCCCATCTCTTTGTGCATAAAGCCTTACAAGCAACAATTTTACAATACCACCACGGCTTAATACTTCTGCATCATAAAATTACCTAAACACTTGTTAATATGTTTATATCTACGATACAAAGCCACAATGTAAACTGCTGTCTGAATATATTTGGTTAGCAGTTAGGAGCAGTGAAATTGTCGAGAAATAACAAGCTTTATACACCGTAAAAGATTGTATTTCCCTTCTGCAAGAGCATGGTATTATTTAAGCTTGAGTAAATAGTTCAGACATTAAAAACATCCACACACCAAAGCAATTAAAAGGAAAAAATAAACCTCACAAAAGCAGAGAACATCGAGGCAACAACACATCACAGCAACCAGTCTAAAGTCTGCCTTTGGATTGCAATCAGTAGCGGCGAACAGCCTTCTTCAATACTGCAGCGACGCGTCTGGGCACTGCAAACAACTCCTGCTACCAATGTCAAACCTTTCAAGACCCACGCGAATCTCCGACTGACACACGCACACGGGCGAGAGAGAAAAAGCCAAGTGCAACGTATTCGGTCGATGGTCGGACGGGTCAGAGCAGCACCGCCAAAAAGCCGAGCCGGATGGAGAAAAAGTGAGCGAGGGCCTCGGCCGGCGATGCCACTGCACGGTGGCCTGGGTCACGTACGAGCGCCTTCACGACGCCTGCAGCGCACCGGCTGCATAGCTCACGGAGCTGTCCTGGAACTTGCGGCAGTGGCTCGACTGCGCGTAGTTCAGGAAATTGAAGGACAAACTCGCGCCTTTGTTCCGGAGCTCCGCAACCGCCTGCCGTCAACAGGGAATGACAAACGCCAGAGCATCTTATCCCCTTCCACTGTCACGTCTGAGCCAATGCAAGGCCCTCACAGTAAGGGTGGTTTTATACTGGCTATTTGCTGTGCCATGCCAGAAGCAAACAGGATATGCTAGCATCACAAGACATCTGAATCTGCCTCAGTGCCAGCAGAACCAGGGGTCAGGCTAATAACGCAGCGATTGCGTATGATGTCAGTCAATAAATACATTTGCAAGCACACAGTGTCACCTACATCTCGGCTCGTTCATTGCGTGACAACAGTGGCACAGGGAGGCTACTACAGTGCGCTGTGCCAGGCTGGCACAAGCACAGCTTGATTGTACATCGGAAAAGAGATAAGGGTGTGTTAATGGGATGGCTCTCACGTTCAGCATGACCCCGATGGGATGTCGTCCACATATCGTATTTCGGTACTTCTTCAGGTAACTGCTGAAAGCTGCGGGGTCAAGCTGCTCAATAATGTCCATACCCTGCAAAGAGATGGCACATGGAGAGGTACACATTAACAATAATGCCCTATTGTGTAGGTTCTCAGTCGTGCTCAAAAGCTATTCGATGTATTTTCAAGTTGTACGTTTCACTCGCACGTGCTGGGAGCTTCTTTTTCAGGAAATAAATTCCAGCGAAACATCGGTCATCATGCCAAACAACACGCGATACAATACCGAAAACAGAATGGAGATCTATAATTTCTATATTTATAAATTAAAGCCTAACTATATTCAGGAGGGTCCTGCATTGGGATATTTGGTCAATTTCGCTAAAAGATGTTTTCAATGTGGGAGGAAACTGGAGTACTTGGAGGCAACCCACCATGCACATGAGCGAATAACCCTTGAAGCTCTGCAAGGATTCCAGAAATAATTTGCTCTAATATCTGCTGGCAGGCCAGCAAGAGTCATGAATCTGTATTGATCCAACCATCCTTGCCTCCAGAGTGCTGGATTCAAGCCATACACTGGACCATGTGCCAGCACATTAACAAATGTGTGCAATTTTCAACTTAAAAGGATACTTGTGAGATAGAAATTGTACCCATACTTGCTTGCCAGTGAATTATGCAATAAACTCCAAACAAAGTTACACATTTTATCATTGTGTTATTTGTATAATTTAACGTAAATCTACCACCAGACGATTTATTTATTTACTTTCTAATATCTTTGGATTTCTTCTTATAATACGTAATGGTAAGGAAAAAAATAACTTGCTTAAGTATCACAGCATCTAAAACAATAACACAGGATTTAAAGCTTTCGTGACTGCAAGGATTCATCTTCTTTGGTTCTTTCGGTAAAGTCACCACGTAGAATGAGAATAAAATAATTGATAAAATAAAATAACACAATAATATTCTCACGACGTTTCGGCCACAACACAAGCGGCCTTCATCAGGTGAAGGGACAGTCTCCGAAACGTCGTGAGAATATTATTGTGTTATTTTATTTTATCAATTTATTATTTTATTCTCATTCTACGTGGTGACTTTACCGAAAGAACCAAAGAAGAATAACACAGCAAATACAATAAACCCATCAGGACAAAAAAACACAGGAAGAGACATATGAGAGAAAAAAAGACAAAAGATCACAGGCAAACCTTTAAAACAGCCTGCATCAGCAGCTTTTACCCCTCTTTTTTCACCTGATGATGATTGCTTGTGTTGCGGTCGAAACGTCGTGATTTTTATTATTATTTTAAATTATTATTTTTTAGTCACTACATTTTTATTGTTTTATTGTTCTATCTAAGACCCCAAGAATCTGATAACAAATCCAATGGTCAGAGGAAAAAAAAATCATCAGAACAGACTCCAAAACAATGGGATCCTCAAAAAGCACTAGTTTGTATCATGACCTTCACACCTGCTGTTAGCTTCAAGTGAAACAGGAAACTGTATTGGAAAACGTAATGTACACCATCTCAAGCACACAATGCACAAGCGAGCGTGCTGTACGCGATAAGGTTACCATCTTGTCAATGTACTCGATCGATTTGTGGATCTCTCCTTGAGACTCGTCGTAGTAAGTGTAACGAAACCGCTGGCCTGCAAACAGACAAAGGATATATTTTCATGTTACTATGATGTCATATTTCTTCCCTGGCTAGTTCCAAATTAATGAACAGTTACTGGAACAATGACTGTTACTTTCCTGTGCCATTAGAAGGGCCTCCGTTATATCAGTGCTTTTAAATGTTGCCCGAGTAGGATGACGTCATTATTTTTTGACAGCATGTGCATATTAAAAGGCGTGAGAGATTGGAAAGTTACGATGAGAAAAATTAAGTGCAAACGTATGTCTGGTGGGCTGCAGTTGAATTACTTTTAAAATAATATAAATAGGTACGTCAACACACAAAAGATTATTGAAAAGTGTGACACTTTATGTCGTGTCGTGAATCAATTGCATTGCGGCAATCCTCATTGTTACTGGTGGAAAATAATGGTTGCAAAACCTTACCCCAGTGACAGAAGTCGGAGGAGAAGACAAACAGGTTGCTTGGGTCATCGAGGTACTTGCTGAAAAGTCTCCCGTACTCACACTCACGAGACTCGTTAAGAGAACCCACCAGGACTGGCACAATGGTGAAATCATCCCGTCGGCTGGGGGGGGGGGGGGGAAAGGGGCATCAAACATTTTTCATTCGTTTCGAACGTTAGACTGACCATAACTAAACAAGTTCTGCTGTTATTATGCTCATGAAAAAACAGCATTGTTCTAGTTATTTCACTTTCCACAAACATTTCATAATTGAATCTGACCATATCACATTTTACACAAGACAATGTACACATGAGTATGCATGTACAAATCGAAAAGTTATAATTTATATAAACTCTGTAAATGATATGCCAAAGATACATTTACGCGAACGTAGTGCATACAATTGTGCAAATGTGACAGGACAATGGGAAACAACAGAAATGACAGTAAAAATCATAACCTAATCAGGATACTAAATTGTGACAATTCATTTAATCTATTGAGGCGGGGGGGGGAATAAATCACTGCCATGCCTATATTCTATACACAGTACTGTTATTGACACCGACAGCCTCATCTCTGACCTCTCCATGACCTTGGCAATGTAAGGCAGATGCATTTCAATGCTGTGTTCATCCTCATCCACCTCCACGCTCATCTTCTCAAACATGCCTGTCTGGGACAGCTCCGAGTAAACTGTAAGTAAACGAATTTGGAAGCAAGAGACAGGTCAGTTCATATATTCACACACATAGACTCCCCCGTATAGCCTTTCAAAGACTCTTGGGGAAAGTGCCGTTAGCAAGCACCTCTTAAGGCCGGAATGGTACACGAGGGGGTGGGTGGCCAGCACCACGCCTGACCGCCTTCTTTCCCCGAGTGGCAATGTTTTTCACGCCGCACCAGGTACTCATTCGAGGCTCAGTCGACCTAGGAGAGGCCCAGGACCGGTTCAGATAAGCGCCACTGATGTTTTAGCTGTTCATCTTGGAATCAAACTCAGGGTGCTGTAATTCATAGCACAGAGCACGAACAACTACACCACCACTCCCCACGTTATAATGAGACACGTGCCTGCGAGCGTTATTGAACTTACTCTTCTGGTCAATGCGGAGGTTGTAGATGGGCGTTTTGTAGATGGAGACAGAGGAGAGTGCGCATCCCGACAGGTGTACGTGGTGGGATGGTCCCAGAATGAACACTCGTTTCCTGTAAACGGAATAATGGCAGGCGCCGCTCACACACACAGGAGGCGAGAGAGGACTGCACACGACTCGACTCTTAAGCCGCCTTCCGTTCATCTGCGTCTCGTGTGGTTACTCACGTTTGAGCAGGGTCCACCTGTGTATAGGCGTGAGCTGCACACGATCCGCAATACGAGTAGCCGGCGTGCCTGCAACATCCGAAGCAAACGTCTCTCACAACTCACAACGGCTACAATGTTTTTTTTATTATAAAATCCACTTGTTTTTGTTGGTGTTCATCGAGCCATAATTGATAAAGGGTGGCTGTGTAAGGGTACACCATCATCAATATCATTAGCTAACCTACCAATCAAGCCTTGTGCTCAAGCCAGATGGGGTCATTAGACTTCAACCACCCCGACGGTGACTGTAGCTCTCGGCCGGTACTCACGGTGCAATGATGGCTCTTGCAGGCCGGCGGGTGGCCTGCGCCTGGGAAAGCCAGCCCTCCAGCTGGCTTGACAGCTGTGAGCCTGGAAAAGGGTTTAGAGAAGCCAAAAGCACTCCCATTTACTACCAGCCACACCGCCAATGCCCACAAGGTAAAGTCAGCCGTCATGGCCACGTAATAAAATGTTAAGAAACGTACATCCCGATGAAAACAAAGGTTCAGCGGAACACTTCATGCTCTGCACTGTACATTACACTCAGTATCTGAATTTCCCAAGTAAACGTTACTGCCATGTGCAACATTCAGTAGATGATGGGGCATTTAAAGCTATTTAAAGATGTGTACAAATGCACTACATCAGGTATTAAAACATGGTGGATTAAATAAGCTCCAAAGGTGATACACTGCCTATTATTTATAGCAATAAAAAAACCCACTATCCTTTGTGCTACAATTATGGTATAATAGACAAAAAATGTTGAATTGGGAAGCGAATATTTATTCACTTATCTAAGCTAAAATGTATTGTTAAAATACATAACATATTTTTCTGTTGTGGATTTGCAACCAATCGGTTGTCTTCAATACCAACAAGAATATGAAAAGTCACATTTAAAAAAATGTTTTGCTGTATATGAGGAATGTTGATATCCCGGAGTGAAACGCCCCATTCAGGAACCGTAGCTTGACTCGTGCAACATGTCATAGCTTCCCACACACACATTCCTGCATAATAGGCCACCCAATGGAACAACTGTCTGTCTAGATGTCTGCCTAAGTGTCAACACATATCAATTAGGTAAAGTCACGTAGGTAAAAATAAAATAACAAAAAATCACGACGTTTCGGCCACAACACAAGCGGCCTTCATCAGGTAAAGGGACGAGACTGTCTGGAGGACAGCGCTGTCCTCCAGACAGTCTCGTCCCTTCACATTATGAAGGCCCCTTGTGTTGTGGCCGAAACGTCGTGATTTTTTATTATTTTATTTTCACCTACGTGACTTTACCCAATAGAACCAAAGAGTATGGATCCTAGCAGTCACGAAAGCTTTAAATCTAGAACATATCAATTAATTAATAGAAAGCCAGATGTCTGGCTGCACAAGTTTCAAGCCACGTGCCTGGCTAATTGTCACGGCCCATACCTGACTAATGATCACGCTTCATGCCTGGCTAATTATCATGCCTAGCTAAATATCATGCCTCATGCCTGGCTAATTATCACGCCTGGCTAATAATCACGCCTCATTCCTGGCTAATTATCACGTGTCATGCCTGGATCACGCCTGTCTAAATGTACCGCCTCAAGCCTGGCTAAATTGCCCTATTGTCATCTCGCAGTGCATTGCGAGCCTGTGGACACGAACGGGTTGAGCGGAGTGGGTTGAGGGGTCTAAGGGGGTTGAAAGGGGTGGGGGGGGGGGTCGAAGGGGGTGGGGAGGTTGAAGGGGGGGGGGAGGTTGAAGGGGGGGGGGGAGGTTAAAGGGGGGGGGGTTGAAGGGGGGGGGAGGTTGAAGGGGGGGGGGAGGTTGAAGGGGGGGGGGGTTGAAGGGGTGGGGAGGTTGAAGGGGGTGGGGAGGTTGAAGGGGGGTGGGGTTGAAGGGGGGGGGTTGAAGGGGGGGGGGGTGTTGAAGGGGGGGAGGTTGAAGGGGGGGAGGTTGAAGGGGGGGGGAGGTTGAAGGGGGGGTTGAAGGGGGGGCGTGGTCAGACCGATGACGTTGCCACGAGCTCGCCCATTGACCGAGCGCTGTCTCCAAGGCTCCTTGCGGCAAAGCAGTGCACGACCTTTTCACCACCCGCTTACAAAATCCCGTTTTCACCCACGCCAAACCGATTGAATTCCATTCATAAAACTTCCCCGGAATACTGCGCACACAATACGCCCGTCTCCCTCGTTGCGGCGTTTTACTTATACGCTCCTACGAACGACGAAGCCTCTTAACGGGACTCACTTTCTCATCGCGTCTTGTTTCGGAACTACTTTCTCCCTCTCCAAATTCTGCGACTCCCAATTGGCTAACAAACATCGTCCAATCAGGAAGCGTTATCGCGCGGTGTTGCAAACCAATCACAAGGCGTCCACCACAGCAGACGCTGTTAACCAGGATCGGCCACCTTACTCAGGGTGAATCTTGATTTGAAGCTGTCGTGACTGCAGGAATCCATACTCTTTGGTTCTTTCGGTAAAGTCGCGTAGATAGAAAAATACAAAAAAATATTAATTTCTCAGGGTGGTTCGAGGCTACACCGCAAGAGACGCGGTTTACCAGGGCCGGCCATCTTACTTAGGGAGGTGGTTCGAGGCTACCAGGGCCGGCCATCTTACTCAGGGAGGTGGTTCAAGTCTACACCACGAGACGCGGTTTACCAGGGCCGGCCATCTTACTCAGGGGTGTGGTACTACATGGGGCACACCAACGTAAGATGGCGCACGGGCAGTCAGCAACACTGCGATGACGCCATGCAAACGCAATCCCGTTCGGGTGTTCTCACACACACATACACCAACTCCGTACGACGGATGATTAACAATGGGGAGCGAAATCGAGCGGCGCTTTGTTTTGATTTCGCAGAGCGGTCAATTTCCCCAATTTCCCTTTGACCACGTTCTAAGTTCGATCCGCCCCACTTTGGCTGTTCGCGTCAGATTTAGCCAACAGACGTCAACTCCACCACCACCCTCGGCCTTCACTATCACTCATTTGTTTTTGTTAGTGCCAGTGGCTGCGCTTCGCCGATGAGTCCCAAATGTCTCATAATCATCATCGTCGCCGTCAGTCATGATCACTCCACTGCTGGAGGACGCCCCCCCCCCACCCACCCTCTCCCTAAGCTGAACCTCGCCGTCCTGCAATGCCTCGAGCGCCGATTTCACCACTCCGCGTCTCCAACAAGCACTCTCTGAAGCGTTCCATGTTGCGGCCTTCCTAATGTGTGACCAATCACCTTATAATTATCCTCTTCACTTTGCTACGTTCCCTTAATTCAAGTGTTGCGCAATTTGCCAACGGTAACATACTGCCACGATTAATAACACATGGCTCCTCCACATAACGCACTTTTTTTACGTGAACAAAAAAAAACAGGCTGTATTGAGCGACTCCTGCTTAAATGCAGCTTAAAACACCGTCTAATAGACTGACTTATCCCCAACGATGACAATATATAATTCCAACCATTGTATCAGAAGGCACGTTATAACTCCCACCCCTCCATTCTGAGCAATACCCTCCAAGTGAGAAAATCACTTATTCCTTTGCGTGTACCAAAAGCGGCGATTGTGAAATAGATCGTCGGGGATTTCGTCGCCGAATGCAAATTGTCGCGGGATGACGGCCGCCGCAAGGCCGCAGGCCGTCAGCCGCGGTTCCCGCAGGCAAAACGGTAGGGCGAGCAGGCGAGGAGCGGCGACCGCCCGCACGGCGATTCTCGGAAACCTCGACCCCGCTGTCAGCCGCGCCTCGTCGTCTCCCAAGCCACCGGGGTGCTCGGCGTGGCGATTTCTCTGCGAGGTGTTGGTTTGTGCGACTGTGTGTGGGTGAAGAAGAGGAGAGAGAGAGTGGGTGAGGGTGTGAGGAGGTTGCGCTTGTCCGACTCAACTCACCGGAGGCCGAGTACCAGCTGCCGGCGTGGCTCGCCTCCCGCTCAAGGTCCCGGCTCGACATCCTATCGCCCATTGGCGTCGGCTCTCTTTGGTGAGTGCGACAAGAGGCAGGAGGAGGAGAGGCGACACACGGGACAAGACGGCGAGAAGCAGGCGATATTTATAAGAGAGAGAGATGGTGGGGGGGTTTAAAAAAAAGTCTTAACAAGGGAGCGATGCCACTAAATTAAATGGGAGTTGAATTTCGAGTGGTTCGGGTCGAGTCGTGGAGAGAAATGAAACAAATTGTACGTGTTTTTTGCTGTTGTTGTTTCTTTTCTGGGCTTTATGGCTTCAGGTTGCTGCTGTCTGCTGCTGCTTAATAAAGAGACGAAAACAAAGAGCCGGCCACTGTGGAGGTGGTGGATGGAGGAGGTCGCTAAACGGTGATTAGTGCAGACTCGCGTTTGGGAGGAGCGGAGCGCCGGGGAGGGCAATGGGCTCGAGGTGTCTTGCCAAAGCAGAGGTTTCACCTCGACATTTGTTTTCGCCAGTGAGAAATTTTGGGTGAAAAAAGTAAAAACTGATTTTCTTTTGTAGATTTTCGTGCGCTCGACAAGTGGACCCGCGTTCTAAAAAAAAAATATTTACGCGTGAAACCGATGTAATTGTCCCAGCGTGGCTCTTGCCTAAATCGAGAAACAAGATTGTCTCATGCAGAATGGCATCAGTGGATAGCGTGTACGAATGGTACATTTGGAAAGACCGATATAAGTTGGCAATCGCGCGTGTGCCTAAATTGAGGTGGCCGATTTATCTCTTATGGAGGCTGTGCGTGTAAATACAGCTCCAATTCACGTTTCTTCATTTGTCTGGAGGTTTTTAGCCTCCGAATCTGACAACAAACTTTGGAACGAGGCTGGCCCAAAATACAAACCCAGACACCATTGGCTGAGCAGTGACAGAGAAGGGATGCCCCCACTCCACCCACCCCGTCGTAACATCTCTTCCAAAACATTACACACCACGTCAACAAACAACATCCAAACGCCACCGACTCCCACCTCCAGAACTGCCTTTTGTCTGCGTTGAGTTTGTCGTCTTTCCACAGAACCTCCGATTAGCACGGTTAGTTGCGTAAGGTGCGAAAGAAGTTCTTCGTACCTGTACATCTATTACAATATTCCACTGTTCCACAGGCTGTATGGACCAGACACCACCAAGAATCCCACGTCTCTCTCGTCCCAATTTAGATACGTCTATAACATATACCCCATTAACATTCTGAGATGTTCATATTCCAGTGTTCTGTTAACATGGTGCGTATTTTAAGAATGTTCAAGTGGCGTTGAATATTGAAAGGTAATTTATCATAAGTTCTGTATTGGTCACAGAAAAATTACATTTCAGAAAATGTTTGACAAAAAATAATTAGTAATGATTAATGTAATTTCATGAGTTACATTATGTACTGTAGTTATTTAAGAAACGAAAAATGCTAATAGCGTCTCTAATGCGTATTGTTAAATGTTCAGTTATTGCTTCCATATCCATCAGTGCAATAAAGCAGTAACTTTTGCCATGATGCTATATGAAATGAATATGTAAGAGCACCTTTTGTGGATGTCACTACCATTACAACTATTAAGCACTCTAAACAAAGGATAACGTTTGACAGTTCAGTATTAAATGTCATAGTAACGTGCACATTTTTCAAGTATCATCTTCAATTTTTACAAAACACTCTAGTTAGAACTGACTTGTCATTTTAAGTTTTAAATCACTTATATAATAACAATTAAAAAAAATAACCACTTTTTATTAAACCCAACAAATACAAACTCAGTGAAAATATATGTGGCATATTTAAACTGTATACATCATTCAGATCTCTGGTACTTTAGGAAAATTATACACAATTCAGATCAAACCTTGTTTGATTACAAATGTACTTTAACAGAGTAGTCTTTTATATACTGCTTGTATTTAACCTTTTTTCCCAATCAAAATTAATTTAACACATAAACCAATGAGTCACACTGAATTAGCCAAATACATCTATTTGGTATTCATAATTGACAATCCTCATTAGCATCGTCCGCTCTCAATTTATTAACTATAGCAAAGAAAAAGTAATGTAAGATTAACATAAACATGAAAAAAATTGCATATCTGTGATGCTGCAGACAAGAATTTGAGCTGCCATATTTTGAAATGTTGATGGCACAACTATGTTGCACCACCTTCCTGGGGCTTGGGTGGTTCGTGATTAATAAACATCGTGGTCTGCTCCACTGCCCAGTCGGCCGGTACATCGTCTGGCTTGTGGCTTTTCATGTGCTGTTCCATCTTGCGACGAGCCGGTGTAACAAACTCGCAGAGAGTGCACTTGAAGGCCTGGCACCCATTGTGTTTTGCGATGTGTGCACGTATGGAGGAAAAGCTGCGGCAACGCTTTTGGCAAATCTTGCATTCGAAAGGTTTCACACCTGCGGCAGATTAAGTACATCTCATTAATTTACATACACGCAGAAATCATTCTGTGCAATTATATTTTTTTACAGGACAATGAAATGAATGATTAAACAAAAAAGTTATTATTAGTCGCATCTCATTGCAAAGTTGAAATCACATTTAACAGCTATGAACATTGAGTTATCTTAATGTGCGCAGTATATCAAGAGAGATGCACCTATGTGAGTCCGAAGGTGCAGTTTGAGTTGAGTCAAGGTTTCACATTTCTCCTCGCACTTGCTGCACTGAAAGGTGGCCACGCCAAGGTGGCGGCGCAGGTGTCGTGTTAGGTTACCCACGTCCGCAAAGCACTGGCCACAGTACTCGCATACATGTGGCCTTTGACCTGCCGGAAACAAGAGATTAATGAAAAGACAACGCTTGAAGGAACATGTAAACCAAAAAATGTACGTATTTTATCTTGTAGAAAATGCAGCTCTGTGTCTCAGGTTGTTGCACACAAGTTGGAAATTTGGTTAATTAAAACACAGAAATGTGTGACACGACTGCAACCTCTTTTCCATATATATTAATTACATAATTGCGTGCTCTAGCGATGCACATGATTTAAAAGTACTCTAACAATCTTAAAAATGTGTCATTCACTGATTAACATTAAAATATGAATTCCCATTTGTCATTAATGCAATATTGAATCAGCCACAAATAAACAAAACTTTTTTTACCTTGTGCTTTCAAACCATACAGCCCAAACAAACGGTAACTTTGTAACATATAGTCTCTAGCTCTAAGTGCTGCTAGTGGCATTGGTCTTACCTTTGTGTACAACACGGAGATGGCGGATGAAATTCCCGTTACAACGAAAGACGCGGCCGCACTCGTCACACATGTAGGACTTCCCACGTCCGTGCACCTTGCGTTTATGTAGCAACAGGTCCTGCTTGAAGGCAAAGCCCTCCCCACACGTGGCACACTCCAGCTTCCGCTCTCCTTCAAGGTCACACGACAGTGCAACTTGTCAACGTTTTCATTACCACCAAACCATATTTGTACCACAAAAATGTCTTAAACTGCACCTCGAAGAAACGAAGTTAATATAATATATACTCCTATTATTATCACAAACATTGCTGTTTATCCACATTATTTAAACATGTACCTGCATGGTAGAGAAGATGCTTCTGTGCTGCAATTTTTGAATTAACAACCTTTCCACAAATTTTACATTCGCCTTCATTGAACAGCAAGTGTTCCTTCCATCTGCAAGGAACCAAAATAATTCAAATTATAACATTTTATATTGGTCTTTCATGCATGGCTTTATGCAACATAATGTAGTAAAAGTATATGCATAAAGCTAACTTACAAGTGTGCTCCGAGGTCTGTGGAGTTGGACACATTGAGGCCACACACGAAGCACCGTGACATGGGTGGCTGGGACGTGCTGGGGGTCTCCACTTGCGTTGAATGGGTGACCAACTGACAATCAGTGCTCATCACTTCCTGGGTTTGTCCATTGGCAGCCACTTCAGCAGCGGCTTGAGAAATTTCATCAAAATCATTCACAGGAAGCACCACCACTTCTCCACTAGGCTGGGCCATTTCAGTCTCAAGCTGCAGCTCCTTGCTCTGCTGACCCAGCATGTCCATAATTTCTTGCTGCTCCTGTTGCTGCTGCTGCTGCTGCTCAGAAGCGTCGCTAAAAACCTTGCAGACACTCTCGTCTGACTGCTCCTGAGGGACTTCCAGTGTTATGTCCCGGCCCTCGGCAATGGACACGAGGTGTTTTTCGATGTCTGAGAGCGACTGGTTCACCGCGTCCTGCGTCGACACCTGCACATCAAAGCCAGCGGTTGTCTCAACCGTGTACGGCTCGCAGAACCCTCCATCGCCGATGTCCTGGCCCTCGCCGTCGATCTGCTGCGACAGGAGCTCGTCTCCCTCCACCACCTGACTCACGGTGAGCCCCGACATGGCAGACACGGCGGCGGAGGAGCTCGTCACGGCAGTTACCACACCCTGCTGCAGCACCAGGCCGCACACCTGCTCGAGCGGTCCCAGCTGGAGGATCTGCGCGGCCGAGCGCAGCACCTCCAGGTCGCCCACATCCACCTTGAGCAGTGTTCATTTAGTCAGCATTGTTTATTTTAGTCAATTATATGCGAGTCGACGACAACCTGTGGAATTTTTGTCAACTCTTAGCGTGTTGATTTCATTTATTAATAATTAGTCATTCTCTTAGTCCAGTCGATTAAAGCAGTTACATGTAAATTTTGATTTAAAGCTTTCGTGACTGCAGGGATTCATATTCTTGGTTCTTTCGGTAAGAATTTTATTTTTTATATTTTTATTATTTTGTTTCCCTTCTACGTGACTTTACCGAAAGAACCAAGAGTACAGTTATATGTAGTCCACTTAACTACTGAATGTTGGTGTGACTGGCGTGCAATTTCTGCTCCTCAATATCATCATGTCGGCCAATCGGTGAAATCGTTCAATCGTCTGACATACATAAAGAGTCAATGGTATTTTTTTGTTTTCGTCATTGCACTCGAGTTTCTAATGTTACTAAATTACCTTATCCTGCGTCACCACTCAAACTAGTTAATTTCATCTTGCCATAGTCGTTACACTTCAGCATTCGGTGCGTAGTCACCGTCATCATGCTTTGCGATTTTCGTCCACTCGTGGCCATCGTTCCAAAATAGTTTAACCCAAAAAAAAAGAAGCAACCCCAGCGCACCAAGAAATATTTTCCGCCACGGGTCCTCACGAACCGAACAACCAACCTTGAGCGAGGCGGTGTAGAGGAACTCCAGCACAAGCCCGAAGGCGCGCGCCGTGAGGAAGTCCAGGCGGTAGAGCTTCATGGGCTGGCTCTGGTGCTGCGTGAAGAGGTTTTCGAAGAGCCTGCTGGCGCCGGCCAGCACCGAGCGGTGCGCCCGGTAGTGGACGCCATCCACCTCCACCGTCACATCGCAGAAGTGCCCGGCGATCCGCAACTCGTTCATCCGCAGCAACAGCGCCGTCGGGTAGTCCACGTAGCGCAGCTCCACCGTATTCATGTGCTCCGACTGAGGCTGCATCCTCCGCAGGCTTTGAAGGCAGTTTTCACGGGATTATTGGTGGGGTTATGTGCACTTGCTTCCTGTTGACAGGAAAGACGTAAAAAAAACACGTTCCGATTTTAAATAAATGTTCGGTGTAAATTAGTGTCCATGTTACAAAATATTGGCAATATACGACTATATTTCATAATTTAAAGGCAAGGCAAAGGTGCGGCCCTGCAATTGCCTACACCTTTGTTTGGAATGAGGGCCTCCCCTAAATGCTAGTTTGTTTAACATTCATAAAAATGCGTGAAAATGTTTCGTCAAATTACTTCGCACTCTACTTAAGTGTCACTTTCATCACAGCCAGACCATTAATAATGCAATACATTGACATGATCTGTGGTGCAAGTCCATCGATTTGAATTTTATGGACAATTAACGCTATCTACATAATGTTTGTTGTATTCGAGTACAGCATTTATACAAAGGTGGAAACAGCTTTTGGTCCTATGACAAATCACCCAGGATCCGCCCGACATCGCAAGCTAATCAGTTTCTAGCCTGTACAGTGCTTAGACCACGTGGAACGGGTGTTGTAGGCTGTGGAGTTATACGGTGGCCAGCAGAGGGCAGTGCACCAAACGTTAATGTTGCACTGCACTTCTAAGTGCCCACAACTACGCTATTCACCAACCCGGACGGCGTGCCGGAGGCTTTCATCCAGCAGCGGACTGATACAAAATGGGCTGCACAAATAAATCACTGCACCTCGCCATAGCTTCCTTCCTTCTGCCCGAATCAGGAGACGGTAACCAAGCCGATGGCCGACGTCCAATGTGTGTCGTATCTATGGCCTTAAGGTGTCCGGGTGTGTGCGCGGGTACAATCAGGTTCACCGCAAGTAAGCGCGAAGTTGCAAAGACAATTCTAAACGTTACATTGTTCGCCGAGGCCTAGCGCAGCATTCATTGCGTTTAGACGCCCGCCCGCCCGCCACCATTCACACACAAACACACTCGACACGACAAGACGAGGACACTATACTCACGCTCAAAGAACAAACGCTGAATAGAGCAGAGGTTGTCGTCGGGAATGGCGACAATAATAATAATAAAGAATACAAGACCATGAGGTGAGGTACAACCCCGAGCAGCAGGGTAGCACGGGGTTTATGTTTGCATGTCGACAACTTCACCTACCGCCTTCCGCCAACAACCTCTCACCCCATTGGCCCGCCGCCTGTATATCTTTATTGGTACCTCCCACCAACTCCTCCCACCGACCCCCCCCCCCCAATCCCACCAATCTCCCCCTCGCTCACACCACCTATTGTAGATCTTTATTGATAACCGGCCAATAGAAACGCCCGTAACAAGAGATGAGTCGCGTTTGAGGACGTCAGCGGTTTGTGCGAGGCGAGAATTCGGACGGTCATGTTGCGTGCGGTTGGCACGGTGACGCGAGGGGGGTAGCCATGTTGGGTGGGGAATGGGGAGGAGGGGGTCACCATTTTGGTTGGGGAAGGCGGGGGGGGTAGCCATGTTTGGTGGCGATGGGTGGGGGTAGCCATGTTGGGTGGGGATGGCTGGGGGGAAGGGAGCCATTTTGCGTAGGGAGAAATTTGAGAATCCGATTACCTATGAAGCTATTTTTTTCACAGATGTCCAGTAGGTGCGGGTCAAACAGTTACGACGAAAACAATTTTTAAAAACAAACACGATAGGAGTGCAAAGTGATTGGACAGTGAATGATACATTCAGTCATGCCACATTTATACTGCACGTCTGTGAAAATTAGCCTCATAACTCATCGGATTTCGCGTTGGGTGGTTAGAGGATAAATAACAAGGATTTTGTCTCGGCATTAACGTTGGTTCACAGACACTTTGCGTTCATTTAAGGTTATTTTGAGGTTTGTTTAATAAATCATGAAAGACCATTTCAAAGGGCTCATTACGTTTGTGTTCGGGAAAATCTGGATTAAATTTACTACTATATTGAGCCAAGAATCTTGACTTAAAGCTCTCGTGACTGCAGGAATTCATTCTTTGGGTCTTTCGGTAAAGTCACGTAGAAGGGAAACAATAAAATAATAAAAAATATAAAACACCTGTTTTGTTGCCAGAAAAAAAGGGGAACACCTATTCTCATAGTTTGGTACTGGGAAAGGAGGCCACATGATGTAACCACACAACATTATTCATCTAAGATGTAATCGAATCGTCTCGTACTAAATTATCCAAATCGATTCCAGTTTTCAATGCACACGGTCGAGAAAGAATCTACGCGATCGTTAAGCGAATGCAGGAATCGATACAAGCGACAAATCGGTTCCAGTTTCTATGCGCAACGGTCGAGTTGGAATCTACGCGCTCGTTATTCTCATATTCGAATCGATACAAGCGATGTCACTCCATCGTTAAGGAATCGCGCTCAGCCAATGAGAACGCGGTATACTCGTGCGTCTCCTCCTGGGGGGGGGGGTGGATGCCAGCAGCCAATAGGAACGCGCGCCACTGCTGCTATGGGGGAGGGAACGTTCCGCAGCGTCCTGGCAACGGCGAGGAGCGCGCAGGCCTCCGCGTTGATTGACGGCAGCGGTAATTAAAAGCATTTAGCTCATCGCTAACTTCACGCGAAGTGACTGCAACACGGCTCGTCGTCCTCCGACACGCCGCGTCGCGCAGTGTGGAGGTTGTTTTGACCGCACTTCACCACGCTGGTCTCTGTGGATCGGTCGATGGAGGGAGCGAACAGCAGCAGCAGCCCGATTCTGATGTAACTCGCCACTGATGTTAGCCGTGACCACTCCGGTGCTTATTGTCTGATCTAGTTAGTCGAATAAACGAACCCCCCTTGATTGAACAAGACAGCGTGCGGAGGCGTTTATCGGTGATTTGATAAATATATAATTAATGCGGTTTTGAAATAACATCGTTCTTTAATATTAAACATTCACAACGCTCTTTTAAGCACTTACGTTCAGGGATAATGTTTGTGAAACTATGTGCAATGGAAGTATGTGCGGTCTTGGATAATCGTCTCGATTGAAACGTGCTTTTTGCATCTGCCTCAACCCTCTGGCATGTTTCACACATTTTGAAAGCTCGAGAATCTTCCCGAGCGGTACATTTAAGAGCTATGGCAATTGTGGCACACAAATGGCCTATTATTTTAAACGATATACATTACAGTATTCTATTAAAACACCCCATAGCATTGAAGTAGAAAACTCCAGCGCTGGCCCTTCAAGACTAACAAAGGAGGAACATCGCATAGATGGAGCGATGAAATCAGCGCACGTGTAAGATGGTAAATGGATTGGTTGAGATGTTGACAGCTTGTGGACGTCTTCATCCAGCGGTGGATTGATCATGGCTGATGACGGCGTTTCAGAGTGCTGTTGTATGCATTGTTTTGACTGTGAGCTGTTGTGTGTAGATCGCCATCATGACGGCAGGTTCCATCTCCGTGCCCCACATCATCCCCTTGCGGTTCCCTGGGCCGGACAGACCCAAGTCATGTATTGACTCCAACACCTACATCGCCATCAAGTCTGGTGAGAATCGCACGGTCTTCCAATTGTGACCTCATGGTGTTCCATGTCATCACAGAATTACATCAATTTATTATAGTCCCACAGTTTTTGAGAGATTTGGTGACTGCGTCAATTTCCACTGAGTATAATTCCAAGAGGCTAGGCATTATGGTAGTTGATATCCCCATTCGTCTTTTTCAGAATCATTGATAGTATGGTCGATGGCAGAACCTTTTCCAAAATGACTCTTATTGGACACATTGGTATATTGCTTTAAAATACTAAGTTACATTTTTCAAAAGCTTACCACTTATTTTAACCTTTTATAGTCCAGTTTGCCTTCATAAGTAATCTAGATACTGTGATGTCATTTCCATTTGTGTCCCTCTAAGACATTCAATTTTATTATATATTATCAGCAAATCTGTTGGACGTGACTTTGTTTTGCTAATGTTTATCTCGAGCCCCACTTCGCAACCTTCTTTATCAAGCTCTTATATGGTTTTGTTGAGTTAATATCCATTGGTTGTTATAATGACTATCGTTAGCCAAATGTTGATGTTATATACTTTTGATAGTGTTCCGCACATTTTCTCGGTGCTATGCCAATCGTTAAGTGGCACATGCGACACTTTATTTATAGACACGCCGGAGGTACTTATCTACTTCTCAGTGGATGGGAGCAAGCCAGAGCTACTCAAGAAGCCAGGGCACAATGAGATGAACGCCATGAAATATAAAGGGCCATTCACCCTCAACGAGGGCAAGAGAACCGTCAAAGCTATGGCGGTCACCAGGTACTGTCGACTCACAGCTTCTTGAGATGTGGTTGCATTGAGATATTCGATAAATACAAACTGTAGTGAATTTTATTTGTATACCACAGAGGGTACATTTAGTCTTTAATCATTAACACTGCTTTGAAGCACATGTCTCTATATTGGCAAAATGTGTGATTCGCATTTTTAAAACACTTTTATATTGCCTTTTTTTTAAACACCATGCATTCAAAAGATATGTTAATAGGGATAACTTGGGCATATAAATTGCTTGCGGAATGAATTCATACAGAGCTGCTGTACGAAATCTGCAAACGTCGCTCCGCTGTAAGGAAGGAGTTTCATTTTTACTTTGCTTTGCATGATTGCCAGGGATGGGCGCGAGAGCGGCGTGGTGACCAAGGTGTTTCTAGTGGAGTATGCCGCTCCGCAGCATCTCGCTGGCCCAGAAGACAACGCGGAGAACTTCCTGCTTGAATACCAGGCGGATCTGGGCAAGACTGTGCGTTTGATGCTTCGTGATTGAACCTTGCACGCTTTCATTCACACTCATTTGTAGAACCAGAGGGAACCAGGATGGTGTAGTGGTAACATTTGTGCCTCACAGCAAAAAAAGGACCTGGGCTTAATTATCGAGTCAGGAATTAGCCCTTTGTTTTCTGCATGGATATCCTTCGGCTTCTCTCATTGCTAAAAAAACACATCAATGTACAGGTATTGGCCAAACATCCCACTGGAAAAATTTGCTGAAAATTACTCAATTAGGTTTACACATGGCAACATCACCCCCGACTGCAGACACTTGGCAGGATCCTCCTGAAAAAAGTCTTGAGATTCTATGAGGCTTCCCTGGGTAAATAAGCATAACAAGTAATGAAGCATGCACACACTTGATTCGTTTTACCATGACCCCCTCATGGGAAAATCCATTGCCTTAATTTTTTTAATGCAGTAAAAAAGTAACTCCTTAAAGTGGTGGTGGTGGTGGTGTTAATGTTCCACTTTAATTACAATATTCCTTAGGAAACATTGGAAGGATTAAAGACAACAACGGACGTCATCAACAAAGTTGTGAACCAAGAACAAAAATCAGCTTGGGGAGACACGACCCAGAAAATGAAAGGTTTGTTTTTAGTTGTGAATAGACCATACACTTTTATGTAATAAACAATTAATGCCAAATGCTGCAAGTAACTCAATTATGTAAAGACGGTCATTGCATTGCGCACTTTCAGATGGGCTTCTGCGGCCGTCTGGAACGCTCTTACAATATTAGGAAGCCACTGGAGCTATGCACTTTTAAATTTAGATTGAAAACTAATTTCTTTAGAACTACTTTTTTGTGTTTAGTTTGTTGTCCTTCCCCCACACCTCCGGTTAGCACGGTTGGCTATGTACGTTGCAAAATAAGTTCAACATATTTACTTGTTTATTTACAGAGATGACGCTTGACGGCAGCCGGCGACAAAGGCCTAGAACAGGCAAGCGCATCATGGAAGGTGGACCCATCAGCCCAGGCCGAGACTCTGGCTTGCCGTTCTCCCACAGTTCACAGGTGTTGCAGTCATTAACCCCTCCACCTCCCTCACTAAAATGTATTATCTTGGAGCCACACGGTGATACAAGCTTGCTTTCAGTCCAATTCTTGTGTACACATGATCTTAACATTGCATTAAGCATCAGTACAGTAATTGAACAAATAGTAATGTTGACATTGCTGTCTCACTGCCTTTAGTCTCTGTTGTCGGATGCGACCAGCCCCACCAAGACTCTCGTTAGTTCCCAGACACTGCGGCTCCAAAAGGAACTGGAATATCTCAAGTAATGACTTGCGTCCACACACCGGAGCAATTCTGTTGAGATCTCAAAACTGAAATGCAGAAATGTTACCTTTAAAAAAAAATCCACATTGCATTCTTTGTAATCTTGATTTGCTCCTTTCCTTAAATATTTTAACTTTTCTGTCATTTATTTTTGCTATTCCTTTTCTTTTCATGTCTTCATCTATCCAAAAAGTGATATCATTTTTCACAGTAAGTTGCTTGTATAAGTAGATATAATCTTACTTTTGCCTACACACTGTCTTGTGCTTATTACTCATGACCACACCTTTTGTGAAAATTTACAATACTCATTGAGGTATGTTTAAACACTTTCAATATATGCCTTTGATAATAAATGCCTTTGATAATAAATGCCTTTGATGACTTTGATATTAACTCATCAGTTACTAAGATTGCTGTCCCATTTTCCCCAGGTGTGCAAAATGCCTGGCCGCCCGACCCTCGGACCCGTTTGCTCTTTTCTGTCAGGAGTGTGGCTGCACTCTGCCACCAGTGCCAGGGCCATCCCAGCCACCTCCTAAGGCAGAAAAAGTAAGACCCCTGAGAGATAAACACCGCAGCTCAGGATGCTACCGATCTTTTATCGGCTAACGAGCGTGGAAATAATGCATCCAACTCTGCTTATGTTTGGTCGGTGAGAAAATGGATTAGGAGATGTGCCTCCGTCTCTGTTTGACCTCCGGGCGTAACACTTTGTGTTTGTATCAATAGATGATCCTGTGCCTCTCGTGCAAGTCAATGGTGCCAACGAACACACTCAATTGCATTGTGTGTGAGGTGCCAATACCTGGCAAGACTCCGCCACAAGCGAGCAAGGTCTGTTGATGCACAAACATGTAGCCACGTTAGGGTGGATGTGGGTGTACGTTGTGCAGACTAGAGGTCAGGTTGTTAATATTGTGGATTTGGTCTCCAACACACCAGTGTGCTGTACTAGTAACGAATTGGCATGATCTGTTTACGACACATTTATATTTACGCGATCTAACCCCCAAAAAAACTCCATTATGGAGAGGTCCTGCTTGCCAACTGTTCTTTGCAAATAGATATGTAGCCATCTAATGCTCATTTTTTTTGTTATAAATCATGACATAATAAAGCAGCACAGGACCTTATTCACATTGAGTTGATATGCCATAATTACATGACCATAGCAACTGCCAAACAGTGGGCTCTTTTGGCTTTCTTGAAATTAAAGTGTATACTATGACCAAAACAACAGTAATGCATCCGATCATTAAGATCTCAGAAGCTAAGCAGGTTTGAGCTTATATTCTTGGTTGGGTAAAGTCACGAAGAAGGTTTGAGCTTGGCTAGTACTTCATCCACCTCCACTGAATAGTGTGTTGGAGTATAGTGAAACTACCTCCACAACCTACGTGGTGTGAGGAGGCCCTCATCCAGCAGTGTCTTGGCAAAGAGCTGTACATGTGTGCATATTAATGAAATGAATACAAGTTGTAAGCCAGCTTCAACGGATTACAATAGTATATTGACACAATGAAAAATTAAGAGGTTAAGTGCTCATATATACCTGGTTTCTGTCTACGTGCTAGGATATGGTCTTGTGCAAGGCCTGTGGGACTGGAAACCCAGCCAACGTCAAGCACTGTGTGACCTGTGAGACCCGGCTTCCCGAGACTCCCATGGTAGCACCACTCATACGCACATCAGATTGCGCTCTGAATACTTTTGTAAAATCACAATGTGCATTTTATATTTATTCTGAAGCTTGCCAGTCATTATTACTTAAAAGATCAGTCATTGTTTGCTCTACTCATGAAACAAATGACCTGTGTTGTGTCTTAGGCTTTCAGCACCATTAGTGTGGCACCACCCCCACAGACCACTGACAAGAGGTTGCTGAACTGCTCCAAGTGTGGGCGTTTAAATAACTCGGATGCACGCTTCTGTGACTGGTGTGGGGCCAAGGTAATGCTTTACTGTGATTGACCAACATATTTATGAATGTGCAGCATATAGGTTGCTATTGCATTAACCCAATTCATTTGTTCCACAGATTTTTGCGGTTGTGCTATACAGCTCTCCAATGTTCTTTTTGGGTTGTACCGCATATTGCTGGGCATGTCTGACGTTTTTGCTCTTTAAGACACTCCTAGTACATGGAATAAAACATCGGACATCACACTGAACAAGCCATGGTACAAGCCAAAAACACATCGGAAAGCTGATGCGTACATTGGAGACCTGATGTGTTTGTGTTTGTTTGACTCACTATTGATACAAAAAATATACAGCTCCCATTTACTCCATCTCTTGCCAGAATAAATGTGGGTGTCTGGCATGGTCCGTGTACGTGTATTTCTAGCCAAGCCCACCAGTGAGTTACTTAGCTTGCACAAAGTGTGGAGCTACCAGCCACTCGGAGGCGCGATTCTGTGGTACGTGTGGTACCTACCTGGATCCACCGGCCCGCTTGGATGCTGTGACATCAAGACATGGTGGTTTTTTGAATGAGGTATACATTGCCGTAAATATTCCATCTGTGTCCCGCGCACTCGTCATTTCTTGGCACCATTATATTTGGCTATAATCTTTAAGAGGCTACTTTTAAAGACTTTAATTTACTAACAATTAAACATTTGTAAATATTTTAATGTGCATATGATGTAACAATTGTAACATAAGTTCTGATTTTGTAAAAAAAAAAAAATCAAACTTGGAAATTTAAGTGTTTAGATCTCTACATCCCAATCAGGGCCAGATTAAGATTGTGTAGGCCCCAGGGCTACAGGTACTGTGAGGCCCCCAGTAATATTTTCAAAAGGAAAACAAAGTTAAAGGAAATTTCAATTTATTTTTACAAGGCTAACAACAAATCAAATTTGGCATTAAATTTCGATTTAAAGCTTTCGTGACTGCAATGATTCATCTTCTTTGGTTCTTTCGGTAAAGTCACGTAGAATGAGAATAAAATAATAAATTGATCAAATAAAATAACACAATAATATTCTCACGACGTTTCGGCCGCTTGTGTTGTGGCCGAAACGTCGTGAGAATATTATTGTGTTATTTTATTTTATCAATGTATTATTTTATTCTCATTCTACGTGGTGACTTTACCGAAAGAACCAAAGAAGAAAAATTTGGCATTCACAAATGAAATAACTTTTCACTTAATCTCTAGAGGCCCTCCAGCTGGCGGAGGCCCCTGGGCTGCAGCCCCTAAAGCCCCCTGCCTTCATCCGGCCCTGATCCCAATACACCTTTACATTATATTGGAGTCACATCATTAAAGCTTTGTTTCAAAGCCCTCCAGTCAACCGTCACTCAGCTGGAGGTTGCTCATTCTCCTGTGCTGCCCTTCCTTCCCCCAGCCATTCGTGCTATCAATTTCCTAGCCCTTGTGAAGTTGATATTCTGCCTTTGACCGACTGCCTGTCTGCCAACTTAATAATGGCTGATTCTTCACAATATCTTACATTCCCCCACCTCTTGTCAATGCAGAAATATGATTCATCGGCAGGTGGCGTATCGTGGGGTAGAGTATAGCTACTCCCACTTCCAATAAATCTGGCCAGCGTGGAGTAGTAGGCCAAGATACCCTCTAGTGTGCCCTCGAGGGCTTCTGCTAGTGGAGACAACAATCGCAGTTGCACCTTTACCTTATCCATGGAAACCTCCCACTGCTGTTGTCATGGGGTTGCCGTGCTGCTCTTGGCGGCAGCCTCTGCGTGCGAGCTGGCAGATGGTGTCGCTGCCGCTGGTACGTGCCAGCTTGGGCCTCCAGACAGCCGACCAGGCCACGCAGACAGTGGGGCTTTTCTACCCCTCGGGTCGGGGTCTGGAGCAGAAGGTGCAGGAGGTGTCCACCAAGCGTGTGCAGCAGGATCGCATGAGCGACCGCAGGCCTCCTATCACCGCCGTCAGCCCCGGCAAAGGTCATCATCTGTCATATCATAGGTTATCATTGCCATCATCATTGTTATTATCATCAGTCCAATTTGCATTGTGATTTTAACATTAACACTTCCAGAATAATAGGTAGCTTTTATTAATTGTATCACATTCGTCTTTGCTGACTGTAAAGTGTTAGCCAACATACAATGGCTATCAAATTTTTTGCCTACTTGCAAGTGTGGCCGTATACGAGTGTTTTTTGCATGGCTGTGCAGGGTATTGGAGGAAGCAGATTGACCATGTGTGCGCTCACCTGAGGAGCTACACACAGAACACAACGGAGTTCCGGGCGCTCATTGGCGAGCCGCGGATGGGCAAGGTGAGAAAATACATTTCCCATCAATACCACAGCATGTCCATTCCATTTTCTTCATATGGGGTTTGTTATTATTTCCTAATCTTGACTGGTAACCAATAAACTTTGGTTTTGTAATAATTCTTCAGGATTTGACGCAGTATTATAATACGGCACAGGCTGGCTTGGGGTATTTTGTCGCGACTTGATTCATTTGCTTTAGTTTGGCTGTTGGAACCTTTGCCATTAACACCGAATTGTACCAATCCTAAGGATAGTTTGGTGTGACTTAAGCAACTTGCGACAAACCACATTACTTAAATTCACTGGTTGTGAAAGTATTTATCATTTTCCTATATTAGCAATATTCACATGCAGCACTGCTACTGCATGAATGGGAATATTTACAATGTTTTAAAACTGCACGTTCTATTCATACATTTTTTTGCATGTCACACCTAGAGGGTCACGAGTTTTTGTTTGCCGTTAATCATAATTTTGTCGGCAATGTATGGATGTAAAAGATAGGGATAATATATGATCCTACCAACTATGTATCGCCCTATGGGAGAAACTATAAAAATCAACGTGTTTCTGCAGATAATGTCTGCCACAGTCCAAGAGGAGGGAGACATATTAAACTTGACGCTAAAATTTGTTCTAAGAGACAATGAGGTAAGCAACTACTCACTTTTGTTGCTCAATCACTCGGTGAGCTAGAATTTACAGAGCATGTGCAATGATTTAAATATTGTCTACACACTCACTTTGATATAAAAGCATACATTAAACTTTTTAACTTGGTTTTTCAAACTCAACTAATAACAGCAATTTGCCTCCTGTCCAAAATATGGAGTGAATTAACATTTTGTATGCAATCATAAAAAATAAATATATTGGTCAAATGAATGTTTGCCAGTGAATATACATTCAAAATAAACTGTATGAGGTAATATTTTAACGAGATAATTACTGAAGTGCTAGAGTTGTCTACACTGTGATTCAAAGCAATCCTTCATCCGTGTTGGATCTGTTTCCTCTTAGCCGAATATGGAGACAATAAGACCAGCCAGCCTCTCACAAAACAGCCAGCCTTTCCACAGCCTCGGAGAGCGGAGGGGGGGCAGCCTTCACGGCAGTCAAGCCAGCCTAGGTGGGTCCTACTCTTTGAGTTGTGCATGCCAAAATATTGGAAATAATGCAATCACATGTATGTATGTTAAACTTCTTTCGTACTATACGTAGCCAACCGTGCTAATCGGAGGTGCATGGGAGTGATAACAAACTAAAAACAAAAAGCAGTTCTAAAAAAATGAGTATTCAATCTAGATTTTAAAATGCATAGCTCAATTGGTTTTCTCATATCAGAAGAGCATTCCAGACGGCCGCAGAAGCGAATCACGTGGGCTGTCAATGGCACAAGTCACCGAGATAATTAAGACTTTGTCACTTCTTCAAAATGAAAACTTACAGGAATTAGCGGTGAGATTAACAGATTCTCCGTTGTGCTTATAGAATTACTTTGGTGACATTTGTATGACCAAATGTATACAGTGAAACCTTGGATTGCGAGTAACCTGGTCTGCGAGTGTTTTGCAAGACGAGCAAATGTTTTTAATAAATCATAATTTGATAAAGGAGCGATGTCTTGCAATACGAGCAGTACGTACAGTATACGCTTTGTCTGCCGAGCATCACGTGATCACAACTGAGCCAATGGTGCTTCTCTCTCTCGCTGCGGGATTGTGGGTAATCGTCTCCCATGCTAGGTCTCAGTTGGCGTGCCTCACTCGTATAGTCAACATCCGTGCGAGCGTATACAATAAAACTACAGGATAGTGTTGTGACCACGTGTGTGTGCGTAAAGCATTGTTTTATTTTGTGTCCAAGTGTAGTGACTGTTCTTTAGTAACTGTACTGCAGGTGAAAGCCGTCCTACACAATAACCCTCCTCCTCCTCTCTCTCGTCTCCCTTACACCAGCCACGATTAAATATAATTAATAAATTTGATTACTTTATATTAAATTTAAATAATAAAAATATAAAAAGGTATTTTGTATTCATCATTTTTATATGAATACAGTATTTTTGGGTTGTGGAACGAATCATCTGAGTTTCCATTATTTCTTATGGGGAAATTCGCTTTGATATACGAGTGCTTTGGATTACGAGCACGGTTCCGGAACGAATTATGCTCGCAATCCAAGGTTTCACTGTAACTTGAAATTTCTTAATTATCCATTCTGGATTGCTGGATGTCTATTCTGTTGCTTTTGACTGCAGCGAGCGACCAAGCCTCAGTGGGCAGTGATATGAAGTTGAGGAACATTAAGAAAAAGAAGAAAGCTTTTCTCAAAGAAGACACAATGTCTGTAAGTTACACAAAATGAAATTGCTGCGTATATAGAATTAAACTGAGTCCAATGCAATATGTACCTTACTGCTGGGATAAGCAACCCTGATATTAAAATCAGAAAGGGTTTTATTTGCCATGAAAGTTCGCACAGACAAGGAATTTACTTTAGCAGGAAGGTGCATACATTCAACATATAGGAATCTTAAATAAGTGGTATACAAGTCTAACTATACTAAAGGTACAAAGTCTAACTAATACTAAGGGGCTAAAGTATGTACAATTTTGAATAAATGTTGAATGTAAAGTAGCTATAAGATACAATCTAAAAATACAAATTGGGTAACATAGTGTAAATATGGCAAGGTGTAATTTTGTAGATAAAATGTTAAAGTCAGTGTAAGCCCTTGGCCTTGTTGAAGAGGCCAGCAGCGGATGGGAAGAAACTGTTTTTGTGGCTTGAGGTTTTGGTCCTGATGGACCGCAGCCTTCTGCCGGAGGGGAGTGGAACAGAGAGTGTCCAGGGTGGGAGGAATCGGCCACAATCTTCCTCGCTCGCCTCATGGTCCTCGAGTTGTGCAGGTCCTCGAGGGTTGGTAGATTGCAGGCAATCACCTTCTCAGCAGTGTGGATGATACGCTGCAGTCTGCTCTTGTCCTTGGCAGTGGCAGCAGCGTACCAGACGGTTATGGAGGTGAGGATGGATTCAATGATCGCTGTATAGAAGTGCACCATCATTGTCTTTGGCAGGTTGCATTTCTTCAGCTGCCGTAGGAAGTACATCCTCTGTTGAGCTCTCTTGGTGAGGGAGCTGATGTTCAGTTCCCACTTGAGGTCCCGGGAGAGAATAGTGCCCAGGAAGCGGAAGGACTCTACAGTTTTGACTGGGGAGTCGCACAGGGTGATGGGGGTGAGTGGGGCTGTATTCTTCCTGAAGTCCACAACCATCTCAACTGTCTTTATAGCATTTAGCTCTAAGTTGTTCTGGCGAAACCAGGTCACTAGGTTGTCAGCTTCCCACCTATAGTCAGACTCATCCCCACCAGAGATCAGCCCAATGAGGGTGGTGTCGTCCACAAACTTCAAGAGTTTGACGAACAGATGATTGGAGGTGCAGCTGTTGGTGTACAGGGAGAAGAGCAGTGGGGAAAGGACGCAGCCCTGAGGAGTTCCGGTGCTGATGGACCTGGACTCAGAGACTTGTGTTCCCAGCTTAACCCACTGCTTCCTGTCAGACAGGAAGTCTGTGATCCACCTGCAGGTGGAGTCGGGCACGTTCAGCTGGAAGAGCTTGTCCTGATGCAGGGCAGGGATGATGGTGTTGAAGGCAGAGCTGAAGTCCACAAACAGGATCCTGGCGTAGGATGCTGGGGAGTCCAGATGCTGTAGGGTGAAGTGGAGGGCGATGTTAATTAAAAAGTATTGAAGCTTATGTTGTACTTTTTACCGCTTGAACAGTTGAACCTTATGGCGGGACCCCGGGGTCCCATAAGCCCCCGGCTCTCGCATAAACATTATATTACTAGCCTTTTGCCCATCCAGTAAATCTGAAACTTGCAAGCGAAAAGCAGACCGCGACGTGATATTCATTGCATCCATTCGTATGCAATTTGTAAGGGCGCGGTGACACAGACCTATTTCATTTAAAGGTTATAATTCCTTGTTCGTCATAACGTCCTTTTTACTTCTATGTTTCAATAGCATTAGAGATTGCGTGACGTGAGGGTTCTGCCTTTGTAGTGAGGGTTGTAAGTTGACGCTGAGGAGGGGGGGGGGAAACGCCTCGCCCTCCCATGTGGAGTGACTACACCCGCTAATTATTATTAATGGTGGGGGGGTGTCCATTTGGAAGACGTCACCTCTTCATGATTATTGATGGGGGCTGGCCGACGTGGAGTGGCATCACACGCAGGACACACAGACATTATAGTAGTCTATAATGTAAACAAAAACTTTGCTCTTTTTCACCAATGGGATTGAAGCATGGTGGCAAGTGTTGTCTTGTTAAACTATGCCTTTAAAATTGAAAACTACTTACCTGTTGTACCTCTATTTAAATACACATTCGAAAAAATCATTTACACCCCTCTGTCAATCATGGTGTTTCTCAAGTGTGGATTTGTTAACACACTTTGTAAACAGTACATAAAATAGTACACGTTATCAATGCGCCGTTCATATTGTAGCAAGCGTTTATACCAATGTTACTCTACAGAGTAGTGGGTCGCCGCTCCTCTTATCAGCATTGACATGGCTTAACTGAAAAAAAAACAATGCACAGATGCATATGGACAAATATTATCAAACAGGAGGAATTAACGGTGCAACGCATCTCATCTGTTAAATATCCGCAGTAATAGGATTGTCATCGATTGATCCTGGCTGCAGACATTGGTAGGTCACAAATAATAAAGAGAGCAGTTTCACTGTATTATGCATCCGTTATGACAGTTTGAGCAGCTTTGGATAAGACTTATTATGATCCTGCCCATACCTGAGCATGGAGCGCATTCGCTTGTTCAGCTCTTCTGCGCATTCGTCCTCGCCACTGCGCTTGGACGACACGACAACAAAATTATCCGCGCCAGATGGGTCGCGGCGTTTTGTGCGCGGTGGGACGGAGTCGTCAAAAATAATTACGATTTTGACTTCCGTTTATTCGGGACCCTGGGGTCCCGCCATAAGGTTCAGTTCACGAAAGGCTCTACACATATACTTTATGGCAAAACTGTTTTCATGATATTACTCTTTCCGATAACTCCAGCTACCTATTCAAAACCGTTACTGCCTCATGCAACCTGTAACATAATGTTTTGTTGCTGACGTTTCTGTAGGCAGAGAACAGACAGCTCCTGGAAGAGGTGGGAACTTCAGGGCGGGGTCAGGCCGAATTCCTTCAGCGGCTGCTCAATGAGGTGACCCCATCCCACAGATTATCTCCCAAGATCCCATTAAAGAAACCATGGGGGGTTAAGATCCTTTAAATGGAGCACTTTCAGGTGATAGCCATCAAACACGCAACACACCTTTTAACTTTTCTCCAAATTTTATCCAGAATTGTGCTCTCATGTCACGAGATACATATTCCATTTGTATCTATTGCAGAGCAGTACAACCGTTCATGTTACGGAATGGCCCCACGGAAGATATTGTAGAACTACATGACATCCCTTCAATTGAGCTTTGATTCACACAGTAAGGGGCAGCACCTTTCCTCCCGCATGTAGAAACAAATATAACGCAAGTTGTTTGTGAAGTCATTGGTGACCGGGCTGAGACCATTAACTCGCTACACTTGAAAACCTGGTTTAATCACTAGCAGCGGTCTGTATTGGTGTCAGCTCAGCACTCTGACCTCTGAGCCACTGATACCATACACTTTAATTATAAGTTTTACTCATTAACACAAGATAACTAAGCAACATTTATTTTTCGGAAAAACAGATTGATTTCTCCATCACATTAATTTATACGAATTAAGAAAAGAGCAGATAAAATATCAGAATGTCGTCGTGTCAACTGTGTCAACATTATTGCTTTCTGACATGTCTTTGGGTTGTACGTGATACTCGGCATTATGTCCAGCGTTTCGTACCACACGCTGAGAGCTCCTTCAGGAACATGCAAACGTCAGGTATCACAGCACAACTATGAAAACCTACGTGATGTAAAAGTGTATTTTTCTTACATTTTTCGGATGTTTTGCTTGATACTACTGCAGGGAGCAGACCCCAACTTGGTGAGCTTTGAGGGGCGCCCGGTTCTAACCCTAGCCGTGATGAACCGGCATGCGACCGCCATCTCCATCCTAGTCGAGGCGGGGGCCAACGTGGACCAAGCATCGGGCCTGTATGACCCACCCCCCTTTCCTTTCACAACTGCAGCACCTTCAGCATTCGCACCGTTTACTATTGTAGTCATACTGCTTTCTGCGTGACCGCCAATGGACATTGGTTTTTTTTGTACGTTTCAATCAGAATTAACAACACAGCGTTGCACGAGGCCGTCGAGTTGGGGGCTCAAGGCGTGAAGTGTGTGGAAGCACTGCTGGCGTGAGTGTCTCCCGATATGTAAACAAAACAATTAGATTGGATTTTACACAGCATATTGTTTGAAAGGCAAACAAAAGCTATACAAATGTACAACATAACTGCTTTGATTACATCATTGTCCATGCCTTGTAGGTGCAATGCAAGCTTGAAGAAGAGAAATGACCGTGGTATGACAGCACAGGACCTGGCCGTGGCTGGAGGGAATGACTGCCTCGTGACCCTGTTTGCCAGCCACTTTGGTCAAAGTCTGCTGGAGAAGCTCACCCAGGCCAAGCCAGCTTCTGCGATGAAGCAAACCTCCTTAGAGGTCTTTTAGTCCACCCAGTTGTGGCATAGGAGTGGGTTACACCCAGAGATAATATATTACTTCAAAAGTGTGTTTTTTTGGGAATCTATTTAAAATAATTGTAATGTGTTTTGTCATCATTAGCCATGATCAATCCACTGCTAAAGGCCTCCCCAAACCATCAATCTCTCATGATGTACTGTGTTGTGTATAATTTGAAATACAGATATTATCTAATAATGATCGAGGGATAAATTCACCGCGTTAATGTCTTAATGTTGTTTGTACAATGTACTTGTGTGTTAATGTCTGATTGGGTTCATGCATACATTTGTGGTATAAAACAATTTATTTTGCAAGTTGAATATAAATTGACAACATTGACAAAAACAATGGAGTAAAAAAGTATATTCATTTCAGGGCAGTGAAAATGGTGGCATAATCTGTACAAGAAAACATGCATGGCCCTTGTACTTTAACATCGTCGTTACAATGACTTCTTGGCTAATGACACGTGTAGATTACCCCATCATAGTAAAATAAAAGAAAAAAACTTGCAAATAACAAAGTCATATTCTACACGTCTGTGATTCTATTGAACTATATACACATCTCCAGTAAACTCACCTTCCATACATACTAAAGGGGGGCACACATTGAGCTTACATCTTTTGCACGCAACAGACCGACTCGACCCTCGCACACAAACGCCAAGCGGCGCGGTCATCTGCGCAGGCGCAGCAGGAAGGCATGCTTGCACTCTTTGCTGTCCAGCGGGTAATACTTGTCATAGAAGTCTAGGATGTACTCCTCGGCCTTGAAGCCAAACCGCTGATACAGCAGCATTGCAGGGTTGCTGGCCGATACGTGCAGGGTGATGTCCTTACCCATGCATGTCTGCAAGACCAGAGGGGAAACGTGTTTAATTATTTAAATGCGACCGGTTGAAGTTTAGGACTGTTCCTATTACTCTGGCTCCGTTAACTGTTCAAAATCTACTCTGTAGTGCCTGCGAACGAGCCCATATATGATTAGAGGTGTAAGCTGCTAAGTTAAAAGTGCCACTTTTGTGTTTAATCTTTACCCATTTTCAGTTTAACCATGAAATGAAGGTAATTTCTGCAATATAAAAAAAAGCAAAGCACTGTAGTAGTAACTTCGTAAAAAGCCACTTGAGCGCATAATGCACGTCAAGTCTTAAACGTAACCACCATGCTATGTTTAAAACACTTCAACTAATTTAACAAAAGAAAGTGGGAGCACTTTATAAGAGGATTTCAAGCATTTTATCGTCAAATACAATTTGGAGAAGCTGAGATAGTCTTGTATTTCAATGCAAAAACCATTGCAGTGAGTTACAAAATGTTAAATATGAATCTTAGCTTTTTTAGAGACTAAAGGGAAGGATCTAAGGTTTCTCTTACTGGCCTGATAGTACTCGATGATAATCTATACACAAAGGTCCAAGATGAATAGCACTGCAGCATTGCAAGATGCTGCTCATGCATGTCTCCTATAGACTTTTGTATTGGCTGGAATCTAACAGTACAATGTTTTCATCGTAGAAGTAAGATTACAACAATAGTTATAACACAAACGTTTACAATGCAACTCATAAAACATTGGTATTAAGATTTAAACAATTTAACAGCACGTAAAATATCTAAGCTTAATATGAGGAACCCTTCTTGATAAATTAGCGAGGTTTATGTAGGTCAATGGTGGAGCATTAGGGCAGTGGTTCAGCGCATTACGCTCTAAAACCGAATGCCAGAGCTTGCTTTCCGATCAGGGCTAAAATCAATGCGAGTGATATCTGGACCGGTGCTGGGCACCCCCTCTTCACCAAATCGTGCTCACCGACCAGCGTGGCGAAGTACGTATCAACAACCCCAAAACCGATGTCGCAGATCCCGCACATGGATCGACTCGCAGGGCTCATAAAAAGGCACGTAGGTCTGAGCTCAAGACGCGCGCAAACCTGTATGAGGTGGTAGATCATGAATGTGCCGATGCCGGCGCCGCGCCACTCTGGGTGCACCAGCAGGAAGGACACGTACGCCTCGTTGTACTTGACGTCGGGAACCATGAAGCCGAACCCAACGATCACTTTCTTGTAGAGGACCACAACGCTGAAGTCCGGGTACTGCAGGCACTCGGACAGGTCTATGCCTGGCCCACGAATGAATACGCACAAACACAAAGATCCCCCGTATAAACTTACACACTGTTGGGGCCCAGTGCTGTTAGCAAGCACCGACTAATGCCTGCATGGCGTACAATGGGGTGGGGTCAACACCACGCCTGCCCGTCTTTGTCTCCCCCCCGTGTTGATGTTTACACACCACACCAGGTACTCGATTAAGATGGAATCGACTTTAATTCAGCACATTTAACGCACCAGTAATATTCCAAACGTCACCGTGGACGGGTTTTAAAACAATCTACCGCACCAATGCAGACGAAGAACGCATCGCGTACCGGGCCAGAAGAATTGGCGGCACATGGAGTTGATGGTGGGGATGTGGTTGGGCCGCACATAGCAGTAGTCGATGGGCACGTCCGGCTCAGGGGTCCACGTGGGGTCGTGGCGATGAGGGAACGCCCTGATCTCTGCCAGGAGCTTTACCTTGAGGGGCTTCGACTCAATGTCTCGCCTGGTCCAACAACGAGTGAAGAGATCTCATAATGTTCAAGCAAGCCTTCGCGCTCAATCCCACAGCAGCAGTGGATAGGTGTGACCTTTTATCTGTGATGTATTTATTTCACGAGAGTTGACGCAAGCTTGTGACCAAATCGCCCAGAATCCACCCGATCTCGTCCAATCTTGGAAGCTCGGCAGGCTTGAGCCTGGCCAGAGTGCTTGGATGGGTGACCACACACAGGTTGTTATAAGCCTTGTGGTATTGTGTGGTCGGCAGTACAGGCCATTGGGGCCAAAATGCATTGTTCTGCACTTATGTTTCCACATCTATGCTCCCTGCCTTCACTAAGCTGCTATGACCAGCATGTAGAAGTATGGTAAATTAACCTTCACGTCCTGCACTGGTGTGGGGAGGAACTCGATTATATTACTAGTGGAACTACGAAAGGGCATTGATTGTGCATCAGCTGACACAAAAATATTATTTTTCTAGTTCCTGGTATGTATGTGTGCGTGTGTGTTGAATTTACTTGCACCGTATGTAGCCAACCGTGCTAATCAAAGTTGCGGTATCATGGGATGGTGCGCAGTAGTGCACATTGGTCAACTTAAACAGACAAATTTTGATTTAAAGCTTTCGTGACTGCAGGGATTCATATTTTTGGTTCTTTCGGTAAATCACGTAGAAGGGAAACAATAAAATAAAAATGATGATTGCTTGTGTTGCAGTCGAAACGTCGTGAGAATTTGATTGTTTTATATTTGTATTATTTTATTGTTTCCCTTCTATGTGACTTAAACAGACAAGTTCAAGTAAATATTTTCTTAAATCAGGTGAAAATTAAAATGGGACCAGGATGACCTCTTTTGCGAGAGCGACCTGGTTTGACAAGAGCAACGAGAGACGTACGTACCTGATGTATGGTTTGAGCACGCGCGACGTGTAAGGGCTGATGATGCTGCGGTTCAGGAAAGCGTCGCCGCTGCCAACGAGGCGCTGCAGGAAGTGCGTGGGCTCCTGCCTCCACACCTGCAGCGCCGGGAAACTTGTCTGCAGCAAGAAGTGAACGAGTGGCGAAAGCAACAAAAACAACAACATAAAAGAAAATCGGTGAGCGCTCCTCGCAGCCTCGGGTAACAAGTGGAAATCCAAATCCCCAACAGCGTCGTCAATCATCTGTCATCGAAATATGAAGGGATGTATATACAGTAAAACCTTGGATTGCGAGTAACTTGGTCTGCGAGTGTTTTGAAAGATGAGCAAACATTTTAAATAAATAATAATTTGATAAACGAGCGAGGTCTTGCAATACGTGTAGTACATATAATGCTTTGTCTGCCGAGCATCCGTGATCACAACTGATATACGAGTGCTTTGGATTACAAACGTTTCCGGAACGATTTATGCTCGCAATCCAAGGTTTTACTGTATTTGAGGAATTATCTTCAGCTCAACAAAAAAGCAAGGAGACCAAGCATGCTCCCAAGAAGGCAAAATTTGTTGATCTATTCACTACAATTATTTGAGCTTCCATTCGTTGGCCATGACCACAATGCAATGGTCTACATTTCTGAAACAAGCCATTAAGTAATTATACATCCATTGAACCTATTGGATGTCAATAGTATTCATTATTAATGCACCATTGCACAATTTTACTTTTAAAACTCTGCACTTTGTAATAGTTCACAAATACCTATTTTTCACCAGACCATCCACCCATTCCTGGAAATTTAAGTACATAAACAACTCTTTGTCTATTTACTGCTGGATGAGTTTGTTAATTTGACCATAATTCACCATGCCGGGCAGTGCCCGTTAAGAGCATAGATATGGGAGCACAGTACAGCACAACAAATGATTTTGCTGCAACCCCCTTCACCGCCCACCAACAATGTAGCCCCGCACCAGCCTTTAACATGTGTGTATACATGGTGGTCGTCCATCCAAGGACTTTCCAGGGTCCACATATTCCAGGTGATTCGGTCACAGGCAATGTAACTACGGGCATGTATATCATGGATGCTGCTGTGCTATAATGCCTGGCACACCTACACCAGACTTGCAATCCAGAAATCGCCTTTCGATGTCTTCGGTACGGCTTTTGAAACAATGGGCAGATTTCCACCCATGCAGTACAAATGGATATTCTTAGTCGATCAGGAGGCCACATGTAGTGGAGTAAAGTGTGGGTACTCCCACCTCTACCAAGACGTCTGGCACCAAGTGGATGAGTATGCCGTATACAGCACCTCTAGAGGGACTCTCTAGAGCACCCTGCAGTGGAAGCCCTTCGCCAGCAGTGGCGTGAGCCAGCGATTCTTTCTCCACGTAAACCTCCGGGTATCGGTGCCCAGCGCGCGGCGCGCTGGGCACCACTGCGAGCGCGGCCCCGTCACCTGGTAGCGATCGAGCACGCGGAAGTCGCTGCTCGTCGTGCGGTAGACGTGCAGGCCGGCGGCAGAGAGCGCCACCTCCTGGCAGCTCGGCGCCTCCTCGCGCCCGTCGCCCGTCAGCACAAGCGCCAGCGCCCTCTCGACGGCGCGGTCCAGGTCGAAGAGCGGCAGCCCGCGCTCCCGCTTGGCCTGGCGCACGAGCAGCTTGCGCCGCAGGCGACGCGCCTCCGAACTCGCGGCCAGTGCGCGTGGGAAGCCGGTGAGGCTGCGCAGCAGAAGCTTCTCCTCGTACAGGCTCAGCGAAATCATTCTGCCACGCACAGACGGCAGGTGTTCATTTTCACAGAATCGCTAGCTACCAGGGCATTCGCTGTCGATGGCGGGCACAAATGCAAGCCCGGAGTGGGCCAAGTATGAATGGGAAGCATAGCTCCAAGGCTTGATGTTTTAATCTGATTGTGGAGCAGTGTCACAATGGTTGGTGTACTGTGCTACGACCCAGGTGATAGATCCATCGCATATTATTAACTTCCTGAAGATTCATGCAGATTTTCTGCAAATTATACTGTTAGACTAACATTTGGAAAACGAGATACTAAATGACATACTAACGAGAAGGCAAAACACATTTGACAAACAAGAATAGATCCTCAAATCAAACAGTGACAACGGATCTCTCCACAATTAACTTTAATTGCAAAGGGGAACGAATCATCACCTCCAAACATCTAAAAAGTAAAAAAGATAGAGGTGCAACCCTGCAATTTCTTCCTCACCCCACTACTTGACGGAACACTAGAGACCCTCCAGAGGGTAAATGGTCTACTCTTGACATCCTGAGGTGAAAGTACTTAAACGTTTACCCCAACTCGGCTAACTGTGGTGCACCCATTTACCATTTATACTGCTGGATAAGACAGCAGTGGGGGGCGGATTTTTTTCTTAAATCGCCCATCGTTTCAACGGCCACGCCGGCTGATGAAAAACAACGACCTCTGAGGTCCAGCATGCTAACCGTAGCACCACGGGGGGGGGCGGCAGCATCCCGTGAGCAGTCGCAGCGGACAAAACCTGCGCGGGGAAACCGCACGAACCTGGGAGCGGGCGCGGGTTCATCTTCGCGCTCCACCTTGGCGTGCTCCCTTGCGCGCGCCACGGCGACGGCCGCCGGAGCGTCGCCGACCGGCTTCCCCCCCACCGCCACCGCCTCCTCCTCCTCCTCCTCCTCCTCGGCCTCCACCTCTGTCTTGGGCTCCAGCTCGGGCTCACGCACGCGCTCCACCCTGGCGGCTCCGCCCTCCTCGGCGAGGCGAAGCGCCACGGGCTTCACGGTGGGAACGAACTCCACGCCCGGGTCGATGACGGCGTCCAGCTCCATGTCCTCGTCGTCCCCTGCACAAAGCGAGAACCGGCAACGCAGTCGGGCGTTACGATACACCGCGCTGCATTGACGCCACGGCTCTTTTCGTGTGTATGCGTGCTGAACTTCTTCCGTACCGCACGTAGCCAAACGTGCTAATCGGAGTTGCGGGGGGAAAGACAACAAACTAAACACATCAAGCAGTTTTCAATCTAGATTTAAAAGTGCATAGCTTCAGTGGCTTCCTAATATCGGAAGAAAGAGCATTCCAGACGGCCGCAAAAGTGCTTATGAAAGAGCTTACAGCGAAATGGATGATGCCAAAGACAAATAAATGGTATCGCATATAATGACTGTTGACTACCCGTAAGGCATGTTTGTCCAGTGTGATGAAGTATGGTCAAATAACCCCCGTGACCAAAGGCCATGGGGGGAGAGGCTCTCATTCGGCAGTGGACTGACAAGTTTCAAGTATATTTTGTGAGAAGTCAGGAGACAAAAGCAATAATATGAACACGTGAAAAAAACAACGAATTACAACAGTAAAGCAGACAGAAAACTGAGTAAAAACAACTGCTTTAGACAACCCGTTTACAAGCCCCACCACCCTTTGCTCATATCATGATTCAAGGATGACACCCTTTCTGAAACCACCACAACTGTCCTGGTTAAACCAGGACGTTTGGTAACAGTGGCAGATGCAAGGGGAGAAGCTATCGCCGCGCTTGAGACCACGAATTTTATATTTGACGAAGAATTTCTCAGATTTAAAAAAATATATATACTATTTATGTAGGAGCCTATTAAAAAAAGCTTAACGTTTCAGGACCACATCCCCTCCCTTCCGTAGTTTCGAAAAAAATCGATCTCTGTTGGTAGCCTTAACCTCACCGTGCAGTAGCGCCTGTGGGGGCATCACGTCTGGCACGAGGTCGGCCGCCGAGAAGAGGCTCGGCGTCGCCGCGTGCGAGCGGGGCGTGCCCGGCGCCGACGACGATGACAGCTCTGGCCCCGGGGATGGCGCTGGGCTGCCGAACGGCGTCGTGCTGCTGCCCCCACCGCCAACCCCGGCGTTGTCGCACGAGAGCAGCGAAGAGTGGTCCAGAACCTCGCCGCGCTCCAACCCCACGGTGGCACCGCCGCCGCCGCCGGCGCCGCCTCCGCCCTCGGAGGAAACGGCCGAGCCGCCGGCACGTCGGGAGCGTGGGGTGGCGCGGGCCGGCGGAATGGAAGTCGGGGAGACGGCACCCTCGCGCTGGGCCCGTCGCATGTCCTTGGCCTCGGTAGTGCGCAGTCGCTTTTCCTTGAGCTCCATGGCCGACTCGACGGCGTTGCGAGCCGAACGCTTCCGCAGGCTGTCCACGCGCGCCGCCGGCTCCGCGCTCTGCTTGCTGGCACCTGGGGCTCGAAATAATAAGGGTGGGCAATGTGACATCTTTATGCTGCAGGCGTGTAACAATGCATAATTTCATCCATAATAAATATTTATTATGCTCGCAATACATGCGTAGGATCGTGTTTGTGAGATTGTATTATGTATGGATAATTACATTAACATGGAATTGTTATGCTTATGATACATTAAGCATAATAAAAAAAAAGTATTGAACCAGAAAAAACAATAGGAGAACGGTGTAAATGGTTAGGTCAAAACCAAGACAAAATTATTGCGACCAAGAATCTTGATAATTATTCAAATTACTGGGGGGTTGGAATCATTACATTACATTACATGCCTACTAATGGCCAGCAATATTTACAATAACTAATTTTAAGAACACATTGGGTGATGTTTTTTTTTTATCAAATGTCATTTGTTTTAATGCTGGCTCTCATGGCCAGTACATTGGGTTGTAGTCTTTCATAAAGAGGTGATGTCTGTCCCACTGAACTCTAAAGCATGCCCCACACCTACAAAACATTTCTATTAACAGGCTTATCAGATCTGAGCAATAACCACAACCTTAACATTCCTGGTGGCAATTCAACAGAAATGCATACTTTAGCACTATCTCACGAATATGGTTCAAAAGCCCTTGTCCTTCTCCCGCACCTCCGATTAGCACGGTCGGCTACGTAGGGTGTGAAAGAAGTTCAACATACATACATAAAGATGTGTATCATACTCCTTGTTACATGTAACACAAATACAATCATACACTCTCCACACCGTACAATACGCTTCACAAAACAGATCACACAGCCTATTCAGGGTGCTCCTTTTCTCTCTCCTTTCTCAAACTCCCGTAACGGATCACCGCCCACCACCACCCCTCCCCAGCACCTATCTGATCTGACCTCGGCCGCGCTGCCCGCCAGGCGCTTGGACGCTCTCCAGTTCTGGCCGGAGCGAGGGAGGCTTGGTGCGCGCCAGCTTCCACCATCCCGGCTCGCCGAACTGCTGCGCCCCCGAGCGGAAGTGCATGGGCGAGCCGACCGAGAGGCAACCGGCCACTGTGCTCCACCAGGTGCTCGTCTTCTTCCTGTCGCACACGCGGAAGCGGACGCCCGAGACGATCCGACGAATAAGCCGATCAGTCGACGAAGAATTGTTTGGCGAACACTATTTTGTGGTCGATTACTTGAGAGACATTGGCCGCCCAACCCCCCTCCCCCCCCGACAAGCAGGAAGCTTCCAAGAAGCCATAACCGATAGTGATTAAAGACATCTATTACTTTATAAATAATATGAAGCGTCATGATATTTATCCAAGCAGCAGACGAGCTATGAAAAAGCACCATGACAACTCCCACAAGAGTAATAATAATGGAACTATAAGATCATCATTATCTTCATCACCATCTCTAGCAACCAAATCCCTCTGTGCCCAAAATCACACAATCATAGAAGCTCAGCAGTTGTGAGCCTGGCAAGCACTCAGATAATAATCTAGATTTGAAGTTTTCGTGACTGCAGGGATCCATACATACTCTTTGGTTCTTTCGGAAAAGTCACGTAAGTATAAAATAAATTAAACCACGACGTTTCAATTGCAACACAAGCAATCATCATCAGGTGGGAAAACCACAGCAATAAAAAAAAATTCCCAGTCCCACTTCAGCAAAAAAATGTTCTTGCTGTGGTTTTCCCACCTGATGATGATTGCTTGTGTTGCAATCGAAACGTCGTGATTTAACTTATTTTATACCTACGTGACTTTACCGAAAGAACCAAAGAGTAGCACTCAGATAATCTTACAAGCTAAGTTGGTTTGAGACTGGCAAGTAGGCAAGTACCCTGATCGAAGCCTATCCGGCAGTACGAGGTGTTTCTATTATTTGTTATACTTTTTTAAATGAATTATACCGTGATTATAATGGCGAGTTATGCTACATGATTTGATGCTAGTACAAACATAACTATCAAATACAAGACAGCCATTGGTTTAATGTATCCAAAATCTCATCTTCCATATTCCACTGGAGTAGCATCTTCCATGCATTTCTGCCGGGTCACATCGGATGCTTTGTGAACCACCAGTTATGGACTAACCTGTTTCCCAGGAGAAGCGTCCAGTACTTGTCGATGATCGCACAGATGTCTTCCTTCCAACGGAAGAAGCCTTGACGGCCACTACCTTCCAGTGACAGATTGTACATAGCCAGCATCACAACCTACAGAACATGTTACACGCACGTGTTACCACCATCATCATCAGCCATGTCTATCCAATGCTGAATAACAAAGGTATCTGCCTTCAATGCCTCTTTACAACAGATGTCCTGTCGGACGCGTTCTCGCTTTAACGCTGCCATTCGGTCAACAGTCTCGTCCATCAGCCATCATCCCATCTCGTAAAGTGTCCTGCCCGAAACCAATTTACTTGGCAGTTGTCAATGTACTCTTTGGTTCTATTCGGTAAAGTCACGTAGGTAAAAAATAAAACAACAAAAATCACGACGTTTTGGCCACAACACAAGTAGCCTTCTTCAGGTGAAGGAACAGAACTGTCGGGACGACAGAGCTTCAATTTGAAGCTCTGTTGTCCCAACAGAGTCCCGACAGTTTCAATGTGAAGTTCTGTCATCCCGACAGAGTCCCGACAGTTCTGTTCCTTCACCTCTAGAAGGCTACTTGTGTTGTGGCCGAAACGTCGTGATTTTTGTTGTTTTATTTTTTACCTACGTGACTTTACCGAATAGAACCAAAGAGTATGAATCCTTGCAGTCACGAAAGCTTCAAATCTAGAGTTGTCAATGTCTCCGATTTGTACTTGTTCAATGATCCATGTGCCATATAGAAAAAAGTACCCATAAAAAGTGTGTATATATATGAAATATACTGCATCATACCAAATGGTAATTCAAAATCATGATATAATTCGGCGACCTACTTCCTGTACTGCCATGTGCTTGCACCCCGCTACTTGTCTAGGTGAGTGTTCTGTGCAAATGACGACCTCTATGTAAATTAATAACTGCCTCTGATGTGACTTGTCATGTGCTGGATTAGAGGTACCTGTTGCCAGGTCAGTTTCATTCTCTCAAAGGTCTCGCGTCCATCTGGCGAGCAGTCAACACAGCAGAACTTGAAGAAGTTGTCTCCCTTCAGGTGACTGGGTGGATCCCCTTTCAGCTGACCTGAGCCAAGCAAGGAAATAAACATGGTTAATTGAAATATTTTATTTATTTTTTAAACAACTTATTGTCGAAATTAATGTCTAAACAGGATAAAGTAATTGACCAAAACATGTTTTCCACTTGAACAAGAATCTATCGAGATGCAGTCTCTTATACCCCTTTATCACTGGCACATCCGAGCCACAACTTGCCACGGACTATTTGTCAAGCTGAGCCAGAGCCAAATCCTGAAACTCTGGCCTCGTCCGACTCTGCCTTGAGTCCAAACAGGGACACGGCCAAGAGAAGACAATGCAGTACATGAAAAACAACTGCATATAATTTGATTGTGTTATTTTATTAATTTATTATTTTATTCTCATTCTACGTGACTTTACCGAAAGAACCAAAGAAGAACTGCATATCATTAAAGGCCAATGGAAATCCAGAAAAGCACAAACATTGACATTGATTTATTAAATTAAAAATAAAACTGTGGCAGCATCTGTGCCTCAAGTAAATAGAAGCACTTTAATTCTGTAATTATTTTTTTGTTGTTGCAATTGCAGTCATATTTTACAACCGGGTATAACCCCATTGAGACAGTCTCCTTTTCAAGGATGATGCGAGTCAAACAAAGCACCACAGTGAACATGATTTAAGTCAATATGAACAATGTACAACATCTTAAAATAAGAATATTAAGAAATAATAACAAGTAAACATTAACATTTTAATATTACATTAATGATGCAAAATAAATCAAGTGTATTGTCACAGGCCATGTGAGAACTGAACAAAGATGTACAAAGTAAACTAGGGCTGGACACCTGTGAAAAATAACTTTATCGCTCATCGAGTTCAACCAGCTAAAATGAAATGTCTATGTCCAACTATGCAGAAGGCAAAAGAAGCAGAGGAAGAGACAGCGGAAGAGTTGGCGAGATAACGTTAAAGCATTCGGAGGCCACTAATGGACCACGACTAAAAACAGAAAAGTATGGAAGAAATTTGGCAAGGCCTTTACCCAGCCCTGGGAAGTTACAGACTGACAACAATGACATTGCATTAATTTTAACAGGGCATTGGAGCTGCTTTGCTGATGAAAAAGAGCACTGCTTACTCGCCACAGTCCACTTCTGGCAGCTCTGACAGTGGTAGGCCAGCTCCTCGGCCCATGCCACCTCCCCTTCTTCCAGCATAGAACTCCCATCCTCCCCGTCCGACGGCTCCGCGCCAACGACGCTGACGCCTCCCGGGGGCTGTCTCTTGCCCGGCAAGGTCCCGCTTGCAGCACCAGAATCTTCCGCCGAGCTGGTCTCAACAGCCATGGACGCGCCACCACTGTAGTCTGTAGGTCCAACAGCAGTGGACATGTATGACGGACGGTGCACACTTATACAGGCCATTTACACATCAATGCATTGTTCATTGCACCTAATGCTCACGTATAGATGGAATTCACTGCCGAGCTCTTGATAAGCATATTCATTTGCAGTTGTAAATTATAACATAAAATGCAAATATGCCAAGCTTACATATAATGAACTATATTTGTTGCCTGTTGTAAATTCTACGATCAATACCTTACAATTAAATAACAGGCAAGTAACCTGCTTTAGTCAGTGCGTACACAGCCAGAAAATAAGGGAACAGTGGTCTCTCAGATGTACTTAATGGCTCATGAGCCACACAGTGAGCATGTTAATCAGACAGTCCACAAATCGCGATAGTTATAATACACATGTCCTTATAAACTAAGTTTAATGTGCAACCCATGGCACTTGTGCTGCAATGCATGACTTTTGATTGCTTCTTACCCAACCTGAACGGGAATTCCAACGGTGCATCTGCAGGGATTAATCTTTAAACAGGCAGCCGCGAAAGGTACACCCACACATGCTACTGTTGTTCCAGGACAGATTAACATTACAGAAAATAATCAACTCCTACAATCCAGTTATTAGCCACATACTATATCCATTACTGCTACTAAGCCGTAGCAGTACAAAGTTGTACACAGAATTGTTACTAAATTACTGAGGTCAGTAGGCTGACAGCGATAAACATTTGCAAAATGGAACTGTGTACGAAGGGCACAATCATGAAAATAAAGCATGGGGCGCATATACTACATATGTACTTAACAAAGACATGTGAAACAAGTTTCTTTAACCATAGGAAGTATTTATTTCAGATAGCAGCCCATTACCAAGCATTTACAGTTGGTAGCAACCCACTTTAGCAACAATAAATCACCAATAAGGATGCAGAAATCTCTTGCTGCTTTGCGATGGAAGTGCTCGCAGTATAAGTGCAACACATCTATAATACCACTCCCGTTCTTCACGCAATAACTCCCGGCCACAGATTTTGCAGTGCCTGCTTCCCTGGAAACCACGTTCATTCTCCACTTGTATCCTTACCCGCAGGGGTATCACCCTCACCCTTTGGGCTGGTGACAGTCCTGACCATGTCACTGTCCACTTTAGCCTCGTCCGCTTCCACAGTTAAGTCTTTAGTCTTCTTCATATCCGTCATTTAAGTGGTGCAAACAAGTCGTGCGTGCACACACACACACACCGACGTGGCAATGAGGTCTTATACGGCCTTTCAGCTATTCTTATTTACAATCCGATACAGGGCACAGCTTGATTTTTCCCTAAGAGCTGGCTCTGATCAAGGAGAGGGGGGGGGAAAAAAATGTATTTTGGCTTCAGGAACACCGTCTCGTAATGAGGACGGCACTTGCTAGTGTTTGCCGGTGTCTCCGTCTTGTTCGGCCAACTGGAGCTGACGTTCGGCTTCGAGTATGCGAGAAAGCTCTGCCTGCTCTTGCAGTCGCCGCAGGTTCTCTGCCTTGCGCTCCTGTCGTTCAATGTCACGGTACACACCCTCACGCAGCCTCTGCACACACAAGACACAACACAACATGCAACACCAAATGCTTACACGTGGACGTATATACACGAGCACAGCCATGAATATTAGACGTGTTTGTAATTATGTGTTACGCCATTGTGAGGATATTGACATGTTATGGGTCAAAGGGCGACACTGACACCCAGGGGACTCAAACCAGCCAGCTCAATGTGTGATGTCACATTAGCCACCGGGCCACCTTGGCAATATTATTACTCTGAATACAGCTGCTGCACATGCTTGTAACCCAGTATTTTGGAGTCACGGGTTAGCGAATCACATGCAGAATTAAGACACTATACCCCGCTGGGGTGCGAGGTGGCCAGCTGATGGATAAATGCAAAGTTGGTTCCTCAATCTTTTTGTCTGCTACCTTTTGAGTGCTATGTAATATTAAGGACGATATTTTTCTCCAGATACTCCAGTTTCTACGCACACATTTTTACTCTTTACTTTGAAAATATCTGAACCAACGTGTCGATGCAGGAGCCGCCTGGGTAAAAAAAAAGTCTTGATTTTCTGGATAAATAAAATTACAGTTGAGTACATCTCTAGCAATGTTTCAGACGTCACCAGAAGTCAAGTGGCATTCAGTTGCTGCATTAACACCAACATCAGTACTAGCTCGGTCAGACTACGGAACTTACGTTATACTTAAGTCTTTTAATGTAATGCCTGAGGTTGGAATACATGGACGTTCAACAAAACAGGGCCACAATTGGCGCATTTAGCATCCTTCCGATTATTTTAAATACTGTAAACGAGTTTGTATACTTAGGGTACAAAGTTTTTTCATGAAGATCTAACCCCCAAACTATGGACATTTTTTGGTCCTTAAAATTGTTTTAATTTACAAAGGCCATACACAACTCTATGACGCTTATACCCTTCAATGGAGATTAATAACGCTCTGATCGAACGGACACTTTGGGAGCTAATTACGCTTCAATAATAACGCCTGAAGCTCACAAGGCCACACTTTAAGAATTTGCGTTTTAAGGATGATTCGGAGTCAATACTAGACCCGTGGTGGGGTCCTTAAGAGTTCAATATTCTATTCTATAGCTTTTAGCCAACACAGGATTTAGGATTCTATTGTTTCACTGGTTAAAGTAGCATTGTACTCATATATCATTCTTAGGGTTGGACGTTTATTTCGGCGAAACAAGACCACGCTACATTAAGTATATTTAACATTCAATGGCAATTTATAAACGCTTACAGAGCCAGATGAACCATTAAGCGTCACTTACTCCCGAATATCACTGGGCAAAAACCCAGGCTAAGCACTGTACATTTTTTACAAAACGCCGAACTCTTATAACCGAGGCAACATCACGAGCGTGCAGTATTCGTGGACTGTAAAAGCTCTCTTAAACAAATTACGTCTTTTGCGTGCTCTAACTTAGCGCTTTCAATATTTGCGAAGAGTCTCGAATCGTCGTCGGGCAGCGAACAGCCAGGCCCGAGGGACCCAAAATCCGCGTTGTTCTACGCCGTTAACGTCAAATACACAGCGCTCAGTAATTTACTCTCTCTTTTTTTTGGTTTAACAACAAATGGAATAGCTGCGGTTACCAAAAAAAAACTACGCACAGACAAGAGGCCAGCCTAGCGTGTGCGCTCGCCGCCGTTAAGAACGATAAAAGCCCTTCCAGGTCAAGTATCACAACCACCGGGGGGAGGGCGGTCAGGCGGGGTTCACTCGGCCGGGCTGCGCCTCGCCTCCCCCGGCAGCGCTCGCTATCCGAGTGCCGGTTGTAGCTCGAGTTGCGGCCCGGTAACCAGTCTGTCGCGACTCGCGGCGAGCACGCACCCACCTGCCTGTCGTACTGCTGCTTCAGGTGGACTCCGGCCACGGTGGACACCGTGAAGACCACGGCAAGGCCCAGGGTGACCTTGGACACGGTGGACATGGCCAAGAGGAATCGAATGGGTGTGGCGGTGCGGGGTGGTTAGGGTGACCCTGTACGGTCGCCACGCATGGCCGGTGACCGCAGTAACAACACGAGGAGGAGGAGGGGGAGGAAGAAGAGTTGGCGCGTGTGATGGTGGAGGCGATGCTGTGTGGATGTTACCGATGCCTCTAGAGGCGAACTGTGGACGTCGATGTGTAAGCGATTGGGGAGGGGTGGGGGGGTGTTCGACCTCAGGGCACAAACGTGAGATTGGTCGGCTCCGTCGTCGTTGTTGATGCAACGTTGGTTGGTGAACGCACGTGCGAATGTTAGAGGTCAAAAACATGAGTGGGAACGCGTGCTGGAGTGCACGCATTGATCCATTACGCTGCGGTACATTGATACCGAGTGATGTAAATTCGAATCCACTTTTTTTTTATCCCTCTCTCTCTCGGGCATATACGCAACGAAGAAGGGCCATTGCCCGAAACGTCGTCTATTATATATTTTTTCCCCTTTTTACGGCAGAGTTATTGACGAATGTGTTGCGTTGTTAAATTTTAATGATGGAAATTTCTAAAGCTCACAGCGAGTTGATATTTGCCACAAAGCAAGGCCGTGTTAAAACGTGTAGAAAATATTAAATCAATTTGTGAACATGGAACCGCTACATAAAGTAACACTTACATAAAATAACAGTATATAAATAACAAGGGGAGCCAGGATATTCAGCGACAATATCTTTTCTGGAATTTGGTTATGAAAATTAATCGTGAAATTATTAACCATTTTATATATTTTTGCTGATGGAATACTCATAAGAAATCGATATGAATGAACTCCAATAAATTATTGGAGAAAGCTTAACAAGAATAATTATTGGAAACCCCACAATTGGAAAACACAATAGAATATGTTTGTCTGTCGCAATTATTGAAGGCAAACTAAGGTATTAATATATAAAGGAGGTGAGCAAGTGTCGGATGGAGTGTTTACAAAAAAAATCACTTTATATTAATAAGCACATTTCATGTACGTGAAAAATAAAGTTTTGTTCATTCAGTAAATATTAGAACATGGAACACAAGCTGAATAGTACACACACAAGCGTGATGAGATCAATGCTTGGAAATTAAGCTGTTAAAGAGGAACTCGTCGTCAAGATAACTTATGCAAATTAGAACCACGCTGTTGACTTAAGAAAATTAGGTTTTGGTAGGGATATAAATCTCTAGAATGGATGCTGATCAATGGATGGGACCGGCCATGGAATGGCAACCACAAGAACGTGAGGACAATCACCATGAAGATTGTGCGATGAGATCAGCTGGCTGGGTCAGGAGTGGAATAGATTGTGGCATCACATGAGACGGCGACAATGCAGGGAAGCCTTCACCCAGCAGTGGATACAACACGGCTGATTATGATAACCTTGCATATCTGTGTTTAAATTTTGCTATAGATGAACCAACATACATTTAGAGAAAATAATGTTCGTGCGTACATTACATTTAAGTGTATTTTAAAATTATCTTTATCGTCATGTGAATAAAATATGAGACGCAAATAAAGGAACTTTTAAATTATTGTTTTGAGCTCATTGTCATAATGACATCCAACTACCGTGCAGACAAAATAAGCAGCAATTGATATCTAAATCAGTTTTTAGTCCCCCCCCACCTCCTATAGGAAAACCTGTACTGACTAGCATGGTACAGTTGTTGTGGAGTGACTCATGCAGCCAGCCATGGCTCTAGGAGTCTAGGGTTTGGTGGTACATGTTGTTTATGTCGTTTATTGTGAAAATTCGGTCACAGTTCCTATGATCACTGTTACATTGCTTTTATGGCTTTATTTTGGTGATTTCGAAAACGTTTTTTTTGTTTGGCCATGTTTGTTTGTTGTAGTACGGAGTTAGACTGATGGCCTTAATCTAAGTTGTCTTGTAGTTGTTGTTTGACTTGCATCCCACTGGGATTTTTGCACGCAGCGTTGGTGTACGATGCTTTTTCGGGAATATTTTGTCGTTTTTTCCTGGATTTTCTGTTTGCACAGTCACATAGTCACTTTAAGATGTTTTCTTGCTCATGTTTTTGTTTTTTGTTTGTTGCGGTTGCACCCGATTCAAGAGCCGAATGGCTCACAGGGCTATACCAAATAAATAAAACTGAAACTGAAACAACAACCCCGCATAGCTGACAGCGTGGCGAGGCCTCACCCCCAGTAGTGGATTGAGAAAGCACTGTAAATCTGAACTTTGTTATTATATAATACCGAACTAAGATGGTACCTTTACGGCGAGGTGGAGTCAAGTGGCTTCATTTGAAACCGTTTTAAATGTCACGAATGTTGCCATACAACATGGCTTTCACAAATTGTCCTGGCTAGACGTGTACAAGAAAAACCGGATTGCAATGACAAATGATGGGGACAATGGAACTGTCCTGCGTTGCTTTAAACCGTTCAGAGAAAATTACTAGCTGGGACCTAAAAACCCAGCATGTAGGCAAGCACTTATCAGCACGTGGAGACCTGCACGTTAGCAAGCCATGCAAGAGTGGGTACGTTTTGAAGAATGTTGCCATTTTTTGTACTACAGCATCTGAATAAAATATCTGATTATAACAGTAGTTTCTCTACAAACATTTTTGAAGCTAATTCACATCTCAAACTTTTTCTGAATTTCAGCCATTCTCAATTCACAAATAGGCTAAGTCAGTCATGGAGGGTTTTTTTTGTTAAATACGTCACCATCTTGGTCAGTGCTTGTTGGTGAGAGTGGAGAGGGCGCCCTCACCAATAATCTATTACTTTTGTTAATCATCGCCAGAGATCGAATTTGGAAAATGGCAAGTGATGAGAACCGGTCCTCTCATATGGACACCAACAGTATATAAAATACAGAATTGTCTCCTCTGTAATAATTTGGGTATTT